TTAGAGAACACATTATACATATACATCATTAATACACATGCACGGAGGATTTCAGAATGATTTGTTAGCGTTTTAATGAAAAAAATAAATAAATTATGTACAAAAGAAGAGGTCGCGGCAAACCCGGGACAAGCTATTATCATGAATTGAACATTATAGGACACATCTGCAGAGGACCTGATTATGGATATAGGTTCAGTATATATCTGATTATGGATATAGGTTCAGTATATATATGACTATGGATATAGGTTCAGTATATATATCATTATGGATATAGGTTCAGTATATATATGGGTACCTCAGCGCGGATGTTCAGAATTATTTTTTCAGTTTTCTTGTAGTTCCAGAGCCTAAAGGCTTGATTCGGAGGCTCCGCGAAAACAAACAACTGAGCATGAGCAGCTACGAGCATCAGCGCAGATGATTGACAGCTCTTGGCATGACTCGATTGGTTAACCTCGATGGCATCGTGGATTCTGAGCTATAGCTTAGAGAAGGGAAGGTGGGACTTGCCCGTAAAATTAGAAATAATAAAATGACTTATTTCATATCAACATTTAAGGCCAGGAGGTCAATTTAACACCTACACATTTTTTACACATTTTCCTAAAATGTGTAATTCATTTAGAGTTGCATACTATCACTTTAAGTCCCAGTCGTCAATTGAAAAAAAATGAAAGGAGCGACTTGGAAGTCCATCGTAATATCAAATTCACCCAAATAAATGTGTGCAGGATTCTTTCAGATCTTTTGGCACAGTTGAAGGGTCATCAATTCTGGACTATTCATAGAAAACTAAGAAATGCATTATTCATAATTTTTCAAAATACTCATGTATTTTGTATTCATTTTTCCTTTTTTCCAGATACAATGCAGCATGTGCCAAAAATGGTACCATGAGGAGTGCTTGGCCTTAAACCCATGTGAGCGGAAAAAAGCAAAACAGCCAGAAACGTTATGGCATTGCTGCCTGTGTCCAAAAAAATCATTGAGATAACCTGGCATCTCAACCTTTTGATGCATGTTTTTTATTTTCTTACTGTCACGGTTACTGGTTTCTCAAATCCGTTCATAAAAAAAGATTGGACACGAATATTGGTGTTTTTTTTTTTTTTCTGAGAGTGTACAGTGAAAGTTTAGAATATTTCTTTTCAGAGTAGTAGAGGACATCACAGTGAACAAGTGTGCAGTGAAAGCTTTTTATAAGGTTTTTTACTTTTTTTAAGAATCCAGGTTAAAAAGTGCATTTTGGATCATTATTGCACACTTTGACCCCCCTTTTCTTGGAATTTCTACAGTAAAAGTGAATGTGACTTTGCACAATAAAAGAGGGCATCACAGTGAACAAGTGTGCAGTGAAAGCTTTTTCTAAGGTTTTTTACTTTTTTTTAAAATCCAGGTTAAAAAGTGCATTTTGGATCATTTTTGCACACTTTGACCCCTTTTTTCTTGGAATTTCCACAGTAAAAGTGAATGTGACTTTGCACAATAATAGAGGGCATCACAGTGAACAAGTGTGCAGTGAAAGCTTTTTCTAAGGTTTTTTACTTTTTTTTTAAATCCAGGTTAAAAAGTGCATTTTGGATCATTTTTGCACACTTTGACCCCTATTTTCTTGGAATTTCCACAGTAAAAGTGAATGTGACTTTGCACAATAAAAGAGGGCATCACAGTGAACAAGTGTGCAGTGAAAGCTTTTTCTAAGGTTTTTTACTTTTTTTTAAAATCCAGGTTAAAAAGTGCATTTTGGATCATTATTGCACACTTTGACCCCTATTTTCTTGGAATTTCTACAGTAAAAGTGAATGTGACTTTGCACAATAGTAGAGGGCATCAAAGTTAACAAGTGTGCGGTGAAAGCTTTTTCTAAGGTTTTTTACTTTTTTTTAAAATCCAGGTTAAAAAGTGCATTTTGGATCATTATTGCACACTTTGACCCCTATTTTCTAGGAATTTCCACAGTAAAAGTGAATGTGACTTTGCACAATAGTAGAGGGCATCACAGTGAACAAGTGTGCAGTGAAAGCTTTTTCTAAGGTTTTTTTGTTTTTTTTTAAAATCCAGGTTAAAAAGTGCATTTTGGATCATTATTGCACACTTTGACCCCTATTTTCTTGGAATTTCCACAGTAAAAGTGAATGTGACTTTGCACAATAGTAGAGGGCATCGCAGTGAACAAGTGTGCGGTGAAAGCTTTTTCTAAGGTTTTTTACTTTTTTTTAAAATCCAGGTTAAAAAGTGCATTTTGGATCATTATTGCACACTTTGACCCCTATTTTCTTGGAATTTCCACAGTAAAAGTGAATGTGACTTTGCACAATAGTAGAGGGCATCAAAGTTAACAAGTGTGCGGTGAAAGCTTTTTCTAAGGTTTTTTACTTTTTTTTAAAATCCAGGTTAAAAAGTGCATTTTGGATCATTATTGCACACTTTGACCCCTATTTTCTTGGAATTTCCACAGTAAAAGTGAATGTGACTTTGCACAATAAAAGAAGGCATCACAGTGAACAAGTGTGCAGTGAAAGCTTTTTCTAAGGTTTTTTACTTTTTTTAAAAATCCAGGTTAAAAAGTGCATTTTGGATCATTATTGCACACTTTGACCCCCATTTTCTTGGAATTTCTACAGTAAAAGTGAATGTGACTTTGCACAATAATAGAGGGCATCACAGTGAACAAGTGTGCAGTGAAAGCTTTTTCTAAGGCTTTTTATTTAAAAAAAATATAAACATGTTAAAAAATGCATTGTGGCGGCTGACCCTCGCGGCTTCTCTTTTCTGTGTTACCGTAAGTAACAGCATAAAGCGGCAACCCGCTAGAAATGTGCGGGCCTCTTTACTGTTGACTCCGAAAAGCCGGACCTCTTTACCGCGGTTGAAATACTCTGCATTGCAAAAGAAACAGGTGCTTTAGTTTTCTTCTTCATTCAAGTATATTTTGACACTTTTTGGCACGCTTTTTCTAAAACTTTTTTTTGTCTTACCTTATATTTGCGAATGGGACAAACATTCATATCTTGCTTCGAGGGCATTTGCAAATGAGAATTTGCTTGTCTCAAGACTAGAGAAACCAATGTAGTTTTTAGCTGCAAATGGCCAAGACATTTCATTTTGAAATGGAATCTTGAGCTTGCAACCTGCTAAAATCTTAATGAATATTTCATCAGTCAGTATTATTATTTCTAATTTTCTGAAAAATGTTTACAGAGACTATTAGAGTCAAAAGTATCTCCAGCTAGAATATTCACCTGAAATAAAATAATTGTAAGTGTGACTTGGTATTACAGTTTTGGAGTGTTTCCGCACCCCTCCTTCTGTTTCTGCCAAAGTTTTTTCCCGAAAGCGATTGCGCGTCCGTGTGCCGCCGTCGCGACGTGTCAGCCCGCTCCTTGCCACTCCATTTGCTGTAGCTGCACCGCTGTGATCACAGACACATGTATAAATCAAACGCGCCTTGATGGATTTGTGGAAACGACGCCTGCTCGCACGCGCAGGGGCCGATCTCTGCGTTCCGACGAGAGGGTATGCAAAGAGCCTAAATGGATGAATGCTTGATGAATCCTTCGCCGGAGCCGTTTGTGGGTTTTTTCTTGTTTGTGTGTGTGTGTGTGTTTGCACGTTGGTGAGTTATGAGGACACCTTAAGGCTGTTGTTCATAATGACGGAGGCAGGTTGGGAGGGAAGCAGCAGCCGCTAAAGACTGGGCCACCTGTGGAGCGAGCTTGCGCAGACATAAGGGTGGGGGTATAGGGGTGTGTGTCTGTGTATGTGTTGGAGGCACAAACGGCACATCTGGGAGAATGCAACATGAGGAGACGTCACACTGTGGAACCTCCAATGACTTTATACAGAATAGATTTGTACATCCCTCTATTCTTTTAACTTTCTCACCCACATTTTTAAAAAAAATCTGGCCGACATGATTGTGATGGATCCCAGAGGGTAAGTGATTTGAGGCCTAGTTAGTACAGAGTTGGGAGACCGCCACAGTGGGACAGCTGTGTCGATGTGTAAACTGTTCTTGTGTCTTTAGGCAAGACACTTTACCCACATTGCCAAGTCTGGTGTGAGAATGAATGAATGATTGGTGGTGATGAAAGAAGCCAGGGGTGCTGCTGATGACAAACCACTGCTGCACTGCATAGGTTTTGTTCGATAGAGCTTATTGTTTAATATTGTGGTGAACAGCAGCTGAAAAATCTTTGGAACCTGTCAAAACTCACTGACAATGGTGTCTCAAAGTGTTGATGTTGGTCAAGAGAAAGTGACAGAAGACATGTTTTATTGTCGTTTGTAGAGACAGCATGAGCACGACTACTACAGAATGCAAGTGTGTTATACGGTATGGAGGAATGAAGTCCTCCAATCAGCAGCTGCCACAGTGTGCTTGTAGCTTCAACCTTGAAATAACCAAAACAAGGGAAAAGTACCGGCTTTGGCCGATTTTGTTAGCTTAGCCGTAGCACCAACTGGAAGCCACTCCCCCCCCCTCGCCTCTCCACCAAACCAAACATCCAGCATTTTCTTTTCTTTGTCACAACAGGGAGAGTGGGTGGCAAATGTGAAATTGGCCTTTTCTGTTCAGCCCTTAAGGTTTTAGAAAATAATCCGATAATTTAGGTGCGCAGACTCCCGAGAAACAGGAAGAGGGTGAAGGGGGTAAACGCATCCCATTGGTTCGTTGGGGATGAACGAATCCCATTGGTTTATTTTCATCGGTCCGCTCCAAAATATTTGTCATTAATTTTTGGAGACTACGGGCATCTGGTCAATTCCAATACTATTTGAAAACACATGATTACTTGACTACTTTTAGGGTTTAGGGATGTTTTCCCACAATATCTAAAAAAAATGCATCTAGAAAAAATCGTCTTTAAAATACTTAACTCTTTATATTATGGCTCTTACCGTCCAGTACTTTCTCTTTTGTACTCTCCAGTACTGCAGTTAGCGAGTGGGTTTATGGCTAACATGTTGGTAATTTATAAAGAAAATGCGATATGGCAGGCTGGGGTGAGGCGGGGGAAGGGGTGAGGAGGGTAATTTAGTGCGCTGGGGCCAAATGGCAGACAGACTGTGGCCCTGCGTGAGGCACTTCCTCTGAGGGAGCGTCCTGCAGACACCATCAGCTCAGAGAGTGCAGCGCCAACACTTTAGCAGACACACAGATCCACCGAGAGCTTCTGTGGAACACATTTCTACCATTATAGTCATTATGAAGAGAATACTGTTGTTTTTATTCACTAAAATATTGTTAGAATTGTGCCAATGACAAACTGTATTTTTTAAAACATTTTCCATTTAGTTGAGCTAAGATTGTGTTTTCCTAATTCAGATATGTTATACAAGTAGACCATTGGGCACGGTGGCTAAGTGGATAGCACTCCCACTTCTCAGCAAGAAGCGTTCGAATCCCAAATGGAACACGGTCTGAGAAGAGTTTGCATGTTCTCCCCATGCCTGTATAGGTTTCCTCCGGGTGCTCCGGGTGCTCCGGTTTCCCCTATCAGTAAAATCCTCCAGCTTCAGTCCTGACCAAAACGAGCATCAACATCTGGAGATGGTTCCCTGGCGCTGTTACTATGGCGACCACTGCTCCTGATAGAAGCCCTAGTGGCATCAGGATGGGTCAAATGCAGAGGATTAATTACTCTACGGGGATAAACAAAGTTCACCTTTACCTGTATCTAATCCTTTGCGATGGTCAAACTGCTCTGGAGGTTGGGAAAATCACTTACGTGTATACTCTATTTATAGATGTTGACTCTGAAAGACATGTCACAACATTTTGTGACATATTTAGTTTGTGGATGTTTATTACTGTATTTGCTGTAGTTGAAAGGCTCGATTTATCGGTCGATCTACGTTCCCACCCTCACCTATGGTCAGGAGCTTTGGGTAATGGCCAACAGTACGTTGGTGACCCCTACAAGTACGTCATCATTTTTCTGGCCAATCAGAGGCGTTGATATTAGTTATTTTACTGATTTATTACTTATCTATAACACGAAAACACATTGCATTGTTTTATCAGATTTTTTTTTTTCATAAGTATCTTTGACTATTTTTCACTACAAAAAATTACATTTCACTAAGTTAATTCTTGAAATCTTAATTTGCTTCCATTTAGACTGTCTCACTCTCAGTGATAAACAAAGTGCATGCGTTATGTATAGTGGTCCGCACTAGTAGAGCTTAAAATGTAGACAGTCTTGGTGTCCTGAATCCAGTTAATTAAATCATTTGATGCATTAATCCCTCAATATACAACCTCAGTGGAAAATCACAAGGACAACTATGGCTCTATCTCAGTTGGAGGGCAGGTGCCAATAAAACAAAGATGTTTTTTTTTAAAGACATTTTGTAGGAAAATTTACTTCTCCCAGATCATTATTTGACACTCTTCTCACGTCTGAAAGTTCTTTCCACTATCAACATCACACATATGTTTTTGAATATTGTCACCACTTCCAGACCCATTTTATGAGAAAAAAATAGCTAGACCATAGTAGTTGATATGTGCTGACAAAGAAATGGCGACACTTTGCTTAATGGAATTGCAGAAATATAGACTTTTGATACTTACCATAGTTACCAGGACAGATCAGCTGCACCTCCATCCTCTTTGGAATGTTGTGATCTCACATGAATACAACCTATTACTTTGTTGTATGCATTTTTTGTTAGGATACATCCATTCATCCATCCATCCATCCATTTTCTTCCTCTTCATGACCCGGCAACGGAAGCGGAAGAAAATCGTTTATTTACAATGTATGCTTGTACAGGTCAAAAGGACGCAAATATGTGGGTTTTCTGAGAGTTGTCTAAACGGCTAAATTTGACTCTTTCCAAGTTTGACTTAAATAAGCCCAAAACGCATTCTGCCAACTTCACTCAAAACAAACAGTTATACAGCGAATCTAGATTAATCAAGCAAATATGTTTTTCAAAAGTCTCGCACTTTTCGCACTACACTGCTTCCCAAATTATACTTGCCATAAGATTGCTGTTAATCATTTCTGAAAGAAGAGAAAAAACAAGTTCCCTTGACAAACAAAACAATTAATTAATGCAACTTTGCACCCATCCATCTTGACGCGTGTCGCAGGATTAGCATAAGCTGTGCATGGTGGCAGCTTAAGAGCAAACAGACAATTTGAGGAGCATAAATCACAGACTGTGCCTCCGACAGCTCCTCTCTCATTCTACAGATGAACACTCAAGTTTGGAACAATGGGAGAAGCAGGGATCCAAAAGTTTCACTCCGTCCTCATCATTGTGTGGCATTAGTTTGCAAACCATTATGGCAAAATCCACACACAAATCACATGTGGTAATTGAGGAGTCTTTTGTTTGGTCAAAGTTTGAAAAAAGTCAAATAGGCAAATGTGCACGCAAATATGTGTGAATTTATTTGATGGAGAGTTTGTTCATCTTGACAATAAGTGACACGCAGAGTAAAGTTAGGAAAAAGGTGGGAAAAAGTAAATTTGTATTGGATTTATATAGTGTCTTTTATAACGTCCAAAGCGCTTTACAGTCCAATATTAATTCACTCCATATGTAGTGTAGACACAGCTGCCCTGGGGTAGACTGACAGAAGCAGGGCTGCTATTCAACCTTCACCCACATAGCCTAAGTGAGTGATTGGTCAAATGTCAGTCTCTGCTTTACCACAATGGCACCTGCTATTCCCACTGGTCTCCCATCATAACTAACCAGGCCCTGCACTACTTAGCTTCTTAGCTTCTGAGATCTACCAAGATATATAAATGCTCTTTCTAGACAATAAGTGTATTATTTTTTATTACTGTTTATTACTGTTTATGGGGCCCTGAGGTGGCATAAAGTTATTCTGATATAGTTTTAAATCCTCCAAAGGTTCTCAACAAATGTCAAATTTGGTCATGTTTAGTGAGTTTTAATATTTATTATCTTTTTTTGACAACGCTAGAAGGTATTTTGACGAGGATAGATTGAGTTTTTTATGGGATGCTAAATATGTTATGGATTTGAAGACATTTACAGTATGACGAGTTATATGAAACTTTAAAGGAGACGTATTATGAAAATCAACCGTATTGAGCTTTTCAGTGTTCCAGCGTTGTTCCCTCATCAGAAGCAAACCTGAAGTTGTTAGATCAATGCTTATAATATTGCAAGAAACCTTCTTTTTAAATAAAAATCTTCAAACGAGTAAGATAAAGTTAGTACTTCTTCTATGATGACTAACTTTACAGAAATTGTTGAATCTAAGAAGAACATCCTGAATTTTAAATCATATGTAATCTGCTTGGGATGTTGAGTTTGAGTTTCATGGACCTTTTCCGTTGGTGTGTTTTCAGGACGGGCCGTATCTCTGCGAGCGGCTGGAGTCATTCTGCTGTCGCCATGGTTACGACGCAGTGGTGCTGCTGCTGTCTGTGTCTGATGCAGTGTGCCACAGCCGCCAGCAGGTGGCAGTGTACGCCCGGAGCACACAGCTGCTCAGCCAGGTACAAGCACAGAACTATACATAACTAAAAAGCATATTGCAGGATTATCAAACATCCATGAGTATGAGCCACACTCAATTCGATTTATTTTTGTGTAGCCCTAATTCACAACAGTCGTCCCTGAGTCTTGCCTCGCTTACCATCTACTAAATTAAAAAGGATTGATTCAAGCCTGGCCATGAATGTAGAGACTCTCTGCTTCCTTGACTGAAGAACTGGAACTGAAGCATCCAGGGGCTGTTTAAAGTGATCGTCTGGAACTCTAAATGAATTACAAATTTTAAGAATTGAACAGTATTCGGCCCTCTTGAACCTTTCAACATTTCGCCACATTTCAGGCTTCAAACATAAAGATATAAAAAAAATATTTTTTGTCAAGAATCAACAAGTGGGACACAATCGTGAAGTGGAATGAAATTTATTGGATAATTTAAACTTTTTTAACAAATAAAAAACTGAAAAGCGGGGCGTGCAATATTATTCGGCCCCTTTTACTTTCAGGGCAGCAAACTCACTCCAGAAGTTCAGTGAGGATCTTTGAATGATCCAATGTTGTCCTAAATGACTGATGATGATAAATAGAATGCACCTGTGTGTAATCAAGTCTCCGTATAAATGCACCTGCTCTTTGATAGTCTCAGGGTTCTGTTTAAAGCGCAGAGAGAACCATGAACACAAAGGAACACACCAGGCAGGTCCGAGATACTGTTGTGGAGAAGTTTAAAGCCGGATTTGGATACAAAAAGATTTCCCAAGCTTTAAACATCTCAAGGAGCACTGTGCAAGCAATTATATAGAAATGGAAGAAATCAGACCACTGCAAATCTACCAAGACCCGGCCGTCCCTCCAAACTTTCATCTCAAACAAGGAGAAGACTGATCAGAGATGCAGCCAAGAGGCCCATGATCACTCTGGATGAACTGCAGATAACTACAGCTGAGGTGGGAGAGTCTGTCCATAGGACAACAATCAGTCGTGCACTGCACAAATCTGGCCTTTATGGAAGAGCGGCAAGAAGAAAGCCATTTCTCAAAGATATCCATAAAAAGTCTTGTTTAAAGTTTGCCACAAGCCACCTGGGAGACACACCAAACATGTGGAAGAAGGTGCTCTGGTCAGATGAAACCAAAATCAAACTTTTTGGCCACAATGCAAAACGATATGTTTGGCGTAAAAGCAACACAGCTCATCACCCTGAACACACCATCCCCACTGTCAAACATGGTGGTGGCAGCATCATGGTTTGGGCCTGCTTTTCTTCAGCAGGGACAGGGAAGATGGCTAAAATTGATGGGAAGATGAATGGAGCCAAATACAGGACCATTCTGGAAGAAAACCTGATGGAGTCTGCAAAAGACCTGAGACTGGGACGGAGATTTATCTTCCAACAGGACAATGATCCAAAACATAAAGCCAAATCTACAATGGAATGGTTCACAAATAGACGTATCCAGGTGTTAGAATGGCCGAGTCAAAGTCCAGACCTGAATCCAATCGAGAATCTGTGGAAAGAGCTGAAGACTGCTGTTCACAAACGCTCTCCATCCAACCTCACTGAGCTCGAGCTGTTTTGCAAGGAAGAATGGGCAAGAATTCCAGTCTCTCGATGTGCAAAACTGATCGAGACATACCCCAAGCGACTTGCACCTGTAATTGCAGCAAAAGGTGCCGCTACAAAGTATTAGCGAATAATATTGCACGCCCCACTTTTCAGTTTTTTATTCGTTAAAAAAGTTTAAATTATTCAATAAATTTCGTTCCACTTCACGATTGTGTCCCACTTGTTTTTGATTCTTGACAAAAAAAATATTTTTATATCTTTTTGTTTGAAGCCTGAAATGTTGAAAAGTTCAAGGGGCCGAATACTTTCGCAAGGCACTGTATTAAATTGACCTCCTGGCCTTAAATGTTGATTTAAAATAAGTCATTTTATGAGTTATAATATTACGGGTAAGTACCGCCTTCCCTTATCTTAGCCATAGCTCAAAATCCATGATGCTTTCCACTTTAACCAATCAAGTGATGACTGTCGGGGGGTGGCAGTCAGAGCTGCACCCAGTACATAGAGCAACCAGCCCCTCACTAATCCTCCTGCAGGTGGTGAGTCCACAGGAGCTGAGATCTTTCAGCGGGGGGTTCAGGCAAAGTGGGGTTAAGTATCTTGCCCAAGGACACAACAACAGCAGTCATCAGTGGGAATCGTGAAGTAGGTCTTACGATGGGCTCGAACCCATGACCTTCAGGCTTAAAGGCCAATGCTCTACCAACTGAGCCACTGTTGCCCCACTCGTGCTAGTATATAATTCAAAGATTAATTATATATATATGATAGATTTTTTTTTTTTTCAAACTAATATTAGACAGCCCTTAATATTCGAAGCTGTAGTGGGCATTATCTTTTTTTAAATTATATATATAAAATAGTTAGTTCCCAAAAGTTTCACCGTGACGTGGCTAGGCTAGCTAGCAGGTGACTTGAAAACTGAACAAAGAATTGGGAACATCATCGATGAGTGACCCAAATATAAACTTAACCTAAATCCATAATCAGATCCTCTGCAAATTTGTCCTAAAATGGCTTAGTTTAATGGTTACTTCCGGGCTTACCGCGCTCGCTTTTTGACACACTAAAACAGTATTTTTGTCATGAAAACGTTAACATATAATTCTGAAAACCTCCGTGCAAGAATAAGAGTGTATATGTATAATGTATTCTCCAATTAACATTTAAATGTGTTGAGTGATTATTTGTTTATTGAGCGTGGCTAGCTCCGATGATTTGAAGTGACAGGCGCTGAAAGCCCGTTATGACGAAGTGTGCGGACTATTGTCCGGAGTAATCTATTTTACACACCTGAAGTACAAGCACAGAGTGCGTTGCCAAAGGGCAGCGGACATTATTGGTTTGAGAGGTTCATTATCAAGAAATAATGATCGACAGTAATTCAGTTGTTCAATAGGAACATATGTAACAAAAACTGATTCAGAACAAAATGTAAGGATTTCTGTAAGATTTTATTCATGGAATCAATTATACATGTATAGCAAAATAGTTTTCTGTGCTTTCTGAATAAGTTAATAAAATGCGCAAAACATATGGCCTTCACAAGAGCTGCAGCAGTCAGTCACATTCATATGTATGTATTTATTTAAGTAAGTAAAGTAAAACCAAACAATAATTGGCTTAAAGGCTCGTCCAGTCCGTATGTGACACACAGGGCAGAGAAACATGAGTCCAAATATAAGATTTTTCTCTCACAAAGTTTGGGCATCTGATAATGTCAGGTTTAACACATATTCTTTTTGTGAATCAAAAAATTACCACTTTGAATGAACAGTAATGAGTATTTCTCCTGAATCGCTCTTTCGTTGCTAGGAATTTGTTATGAGGGAATCTGGCCCAAGATTTCTACCTTTTGTGTCTAGCTCCAATCGGCTTCACCCAGGTAAAGCTTAATGCTTTGGGGGGCATCAGCGGCCTATGGTCTAAACCAGCTGTGAATTATAGATGTTTCATTCCATCTTCTATTCGATCTATAAATAATTAAATAATACAAGCTGTTGCCTTAAGGGCATCAGCTGTGATATGACAAAAATGCTGCTTACAATAGAGTGACCCATTTGAGCTGCGCCTTGACTCTTTTGTTGCTGACACTTGATGCTTTCTGGGAAGATTCTGTGCACCATTCTGATTGGTGCAAACGTGTCATGTGACCATCCCAGTCCCCAAAGCTTTAGGGAAACTCCACACACAGTGATGTGACACAAGTTTTGAAACGGGAAAACTAACATGATTATATTCACAGTGTGTATTTGCTGATTTTGTGTATTTTATAATTGTGTGTTTAAGCTGTGTGTTGAGTTGGAGGAGTCGTCCAGCTGGTCTCTCTCCGGGGAACTCGACGCAAAGAAGAAATTTCAGGTAATTAAGAGGTAGAGCATCCAACAATAGCTCTAACAAGCTGATGACAAGAGGCTTTTGTCTACTCTGTAGTTATTCTGAACATTTTAGATCTCATTGACATAAAAACAGATATTGAAATACTCAGAACTTCTTTCCCTCTTAGTTCTACTTCATAATTTTGCTCAAGGGTCAATACTTAAAAAATATACTTGTAAAATTCAATACTTTTCGCCCTTTGTCTTTAAAGAGTCAGTATTTAATATTTTCATATTAATTTCAGTTATTTTTTAATTAAAATAACTTAGTGATTCATGTTTAAGAGTCCCTCTAACACATAACACATGAGTCTGACATTTCCTCATTATCAAAAGTATCACAGTATTACACTGTATTCACTAACAATAAATGTGATTCTATGCTCATAGTTCTGTGCAGATTTGAGGGCTGGCCTCAGAGTTTTTTTAATCCTGGTCATTGTCATTAATGATGGTATGGTTTGACACAGTGATCTCTATATTTCTGTGCATTTGTTTGTCAGGTGTACCACATCCCGGTGAACACCATCTTCCCCGGCACGCCTCCGTGTCTGGAGCAGGAGATCCGCTGTCTTCTGCAGGACTTTGTGGATACGCGCACCTCCGTCCTCACCTGCGAGCCCAGCAGCCGCACCTCCTCCACAGAGGGAGTGGCCGGCAGCATGGACTTCTCCCAGAGCTCCTCTGGAATCACAGACATGGATCCAGCAGAGGAACGAGCGGAGGCCGAGGGAGGAGAGGAGCCAGTGGAGAACAGGTGCGCAAATCTCACTCAAGAACATTAAAAGATCTATGAGTTTGTCATATCTGGTTTGAAATAAAAAAGTAAAAAAAATCTTCCAAATGAGTGGTAATGGAGCATGAGAGGCTGAAGGAGAGTTCTCACTTGTTTATAAGAAATAAGTCAGATCTTCACTCATGTGTCCTTACATTGTTTTAAACGTTATAATGACGCACTCTTTTAAAGGTGCCTGATCTCCTACATGCACCACCGTCAGTCCCTGTGTTGGTAACGTTCTCATGTAATGATTTAACTGCATATTGCTGTAATCTTAAAATGTGGATTGGAATGTTGGTCCTATCATTATAAATATAAATGTGATTATTCTGATTTGCACCTGAAGCAGTTTCCACAGATTGTATTTTAGTATTCGGAGTAGAGCAGCAATTTAGGCACTCTGATGGACTCTACTTAATAGTTAGACATTTAACCATTCATCAGGCAACTTCTACAGACAGTTGGTTACACTCAGATAAAATGGGGTTGAATATTTTGCAACTATACTTTGCTGGTTTTTTTTGACAAAATGTGGAAGGGTTCAGGGAGTTTGATTGCTGTGGAAATGTGCTGTGTCATCAAAAATGCAGTAGACCCTCTCTCTGCCTCACAGGGCTCTGGGCGGAGTTTCAGATGGACCTGACGGAGCAGAGGCCGCGGAGCTGGTGAGCCCGGACAGTGGACTTACCACTCTCCGCAGCAGTCGCTCTTCCAAAGAAAGCTCCGTGTTCCTGAGCGACGAGAGCCCAATGGCAGACCTCCTGACAGGCACAGCACCCACACAGCTCCTGCGACACTCCTCCCCTCTGGGCCTGCTCTCTCTGTCGCCCCCTGTTCCCCCGGAGAGGAGGAGGAACCGTGCACGAAACAAAACAGACGTGGATCTGTGCAGCTTTGATCCTCTGCACAGTGGGACTTCCAACACAGACACCGATCATGTATGTTATTATCATTCAACACAATGCTTAGATGATTGAGTGCACCATTGAGAATTGTTCATATAAAATGATATATGGTTTTACAAATAGTATACAGTTGATTTGTCTACGACCAAAGTGCACTGTGGCTGCGTAAAAGAGTGACCAGGCCTCTCCTTTGATTTCTCTCAGCCACACTGGACCTTTGCTTCTTCAAACTTCTATCTCTTACACATTGCAGAACTCCTTTCTAGCTCACATTAGATGACTCCAGCAAGGGCTTTTTGCATATTTGACAATCTAATTATACTGCTTCCCTTGTATCTCTATCTCTTCAGGCAGGGCATCCCAGTAGCTCGGAAATGGAAGAACTCAGCTTGGTGGACTTTTCCGCTCACACCTCTGTTAGCGGCCTGGACAGTCGAAACTCTTCCATCGACTTCCACGTCCAAACCGTGGTTCCTCCGACTCCTGTCAACAGTCTCGTCGGCAGCCGGCCTCCCAGTAGCTGTGGCGTTCGTTTTTTCCCAGAAGACGTCATCGAAAGAATCAACGGGTTGCAGCATAAAGACAGCGTTTCTTCGTCTCTCTCCGAAACCTGGGACGAGTTCAGTTTTGACACACAGGGGGCGCTGTCCTCAAGTGACAACAGTTCTTGGAATGTCGCAAAAACGTGTGAAAGTCCGCAGAATGTTCCCGTAGAAGCTATGAAAACCACTGAATCAAACGACGACGACGTCTCAAAATCATTGAAAGTTCTCGAGCCTCAGCTTAGTCTAATCCTGGAACAGACAGATACGCACCGCAATTGGAACCCAGATCACGTTATTGACGATAAATGGATTTCTGTAACTTTGAACAATTTGCAGCTCACTCCGCCTGAGGAGGAGGAGCTGGTGGTGAAGCGCAAAACTGGAATTATCGCACCCAAAGACAAGAAAGTAAAGAAGAAAGAGCTATTACAAACTTTAACGCCAGATACGTCTAAGGAGGATGAGGAAGAGGGCAAAAAGAATGGGAAAAATAAAATGGAGCTTTTGGATTTCTGGACTTATTCTGAACAAAAAGGTTTTCTAAAATCAGACAGTGCAACAACGACGTCGTACCCGGAATCACTGGATATGTGGAATATGACGATACAAGATGACAGCCTCAACACGCCAGACTGCTTGTGGGAAAACTCGGTAGCATCAATCTGTGGAGACAGCAATAATGGATCAATGGAGAGCCCTCTTGAGGTGGACAATGAAATGGCGATGTGGAACACTACTATAAGAGAAGACAGTTCGTCCACAATTGCAAGTCCGGAAGGGAAAGACATGAATCAAGTCGCATCTTTGGAAACTTCTCCTGTTGCAGAGGAGAGCAAAGATCTCGGAAATGTGCAGAGCAGTGAAGTTAGTGTAAAAATAGTTATAGAAAATGCTGATCAGGAAACAGACTGTGCTATGGATGAGGAAAACCAGGTTAGTGAGCCCTGGGACCTGCCTGTGCCGGGAATGGCCGTGTCAACTTCGGAATACGACAATATCGGAGGAGGAGCGGCCACATGGAGTCTGAGTTCTTCACCAGATTCGAGTCTTGCCGTAGATTTGATTCAGCTAGAAGCGCAGTCGAGTCCGTTTGTGGGGGTCACCCAAACACAGGGCAGCGAAACAACAGCACAGAAAGACCATGTGTTTACGTACGAAGGGCTTAAAGAATCAGAAAATGAACATAAAGTGAAGAAGGATAGTGAAACCTCAAAGCAGTCGGACAGTCATTCTCCGTTTATGCTTGTGGAGGTGAATCAGAAGTTGGACCAGTCTCCATCAGCAAATCTTTTCCACTGGGGTGAGCTGATATCCGAAACACAACAAACAAAAACATCAAAAGACGAATTAGATCAAGGTCTGGGCATTGAAACAGTGGGTTTGCTTGGTGAAAGGGAAGGACTCAAACTGAGCCCAGACAGCTTACACACAGGCAGCAGGGACGAACTCCGCTCCTCTGATGGAGATTCGTCATCCGGCCTCGAAATGGAAAGCATCATCGTATCTGGAACGGTGAAAGAAGCGGAAAGGGTGCGACCGGTGGCAAAGGAGGTGAAGAAATCCATGGAAACGTTCAGCATGTTGTCCTACGCAGCAAGTATTCTGCAAGCTCAGGCCGCCCACAACCGCAAAGAAAGATTAGAGCAAAGTGTTCCCATTCATCATGTCCAAATCATCAGTCCAAGCCAGTCGGAATCATTGAATAAGTTAGAATTGTCTCAAGATGACGACAGGCAAACGGTTCCACCAAGAAGTACCTCTCCTTCCTTGAGGTACCCGTCTGATCACTTTCTAAAGACGAGAGAAGAGGTGTACGTGCATTCGCAGATCTCAATGGAGGATTCCGATGAGGGCGGGCAGTCTCCGTTGGGTGACTTGCAGATTTGGAGCGAGGATGCGGAGAAGCAGGGCACCCAAGGGAGACTGCATACCCCCACCCAAGGGACCCCACAGAGCCACAGCCTAGGCAGCTCTGAGCTGGCCTCCCCCGTGGTCACAGAGAGCTCGGTTTCTCGTAGCAGCTCGTACACAGACTCGTCTCTGAGTGAAAGTGCGCCCCCTGCAGATGAAGGCAAGGGTTTAGCTCTGCCCTTCTCTGGAGATCTGATGGAAGAAGACGAAGAGGTGGAGGAGGAGAGCAAGGACCAAACAGCTGGTCAAACACAACTTACAAGGTGAGCAACTGTACTTATATTGTATTTAGGGTTGTTATTAATGGTTATTTTTGATAGTTGATTAGTTGTTTTGATCCTAAAAGACACATTTGACCAAAACAAAGAACTTTTTAAACACATTTACATTTCATTCGACTGTCATTATATTAAAAAAACTAATTGATTAATTACACATAATCCTTATTGATCTTTACATTTTTGTAAATTTGTAAAATCTAGCAGCATCAAAAATAATATATTTTATTTAATAATTATGTTTAAAACACTCCCTCCCTTAATAAGCATGACCAGTGTCTTGGCACAAGCACTCAGAGCTCATCTTTGGCTCTATTAAGGATTTGAGTTCATTGCGTCCAATCAGGAAGATGTGGGGGCGGGTCTTACTGGCGCTTGCATCTAAACAACGTCATCTAGTTATTTTTGTCACATTTCCTTCTCATAATTATTGCTTGTTTGAAACTATTTAATGAAAAGGCCAAATAATTTGTACATCTACGGCTTTGTAATTCTCTTGACAGAAAATTTGTTAACATTCTAGGCCTAGATCTGATATTGGTTTGTCTTCTCGTCAGATAGAATAAAAGGGCCTGTGTGTGTGTGTGTGCGCGCGCAGCAGAAGAGGGCTCATAGAGTGGGTCTGTGTCTCGCTTCATTAAACATTCATTAGCTGGTTCATTACAACTGTGCACAGAGAGGAGGCGCTCCCACCGGTCTCAGAGCAGGTGTGAACAAGGGAGACAAGTCAAACTGTTGTGATTCATTTTACATCATTCTTTAACACACATTTTTAGCATTTGAGTTATGTTTTTCCTCTCCACCAAACCAAACATCCAGCATTTTCTTTTCTTTGTCACAACAGGGAGAGTGGGTGGCAAACGTGAAATTGGCATTTTCTGTTAAGCCCTTTTAGGTTTTAGAAAATCTGATTACTCAGGTGCGCGCATTCGCGAGAAACTGGAAGAGGGTGAAGGGGGTAAACGCATGCCATTGGTTTGTTGGGGATGAATGAATTCCATTGGTTTATTTTTATCGGCCAGCTCCAAATATTTTTATTTTTTTATTTTTGGAGACAGACATCTGGTCAATTCTATTACTATTTGAAAACACATGATCACTTGACTTTTATAGCCTGGCCTTAGCCATCCGTACACTCCGGTCAATCATCATTTCCTTGCATCTGGGTCTGGTCCCTGTGTTCGCAATTACATCGGTGAATTCCGACCAATCAGCGAGCGCGGGAGGCGGGTGTTGTAGTTAGATGTGGGTGACGTCAAGGGTTTTCGCCGAACGTGCTGGTTGTAGTTTATGCTCAATGGAGGTCATTTTCCCACAATTGTAAACAAAAATACTGACTGCATCTTTAAGCAAACTACTGTCAGAAAGAGGTTAAAGTGAAAGTTTAGGCTTTATGCATTTATGTAATTCCGCTGTGTTTTTGCATAATTGTTTGTGAATGTCTGTTCAATATTTAAAATTTCACACATGGCACAAGTTTTTCATTAGAGCCCTCATCCTTCTCTCCAGCACAGCTCCCACAGAGTCCACACTTCTCCCCATCACAGACACATTTCCTGATCAGGAAATGTTTCTGTCTCCAGTATGTCTCTCGAGGTCAGACTGCTGCCCCAACACATAACCCATAACAACATGGCACTAGCTATAACAGACATGATACTAAACACATCGTCTTCGTTTACCCGGCTGGACAGTTTTTACCGTAGTTCTTGTCCCAGGGAATAAAATCTGTTTGTGTAGTTATACTACAAATTTTTCTGGCATGGCACCGGAAAAATGGCGCCGTGGCAAGAGCTCTGGTGTGTACTATCCTGGTGCACACTGATCTTGCACAGTTTTTCCAAAGTGGTTTTACACCGAATGGCAAATAAAATGTTGTATCTTGTATGAGGTGAACGTCTGCCTACAAATGGTCCTGAACACTAGTACATGTATTTTTTTTTTTGTTTTTTTTTTACATGGCTTCATAATAACTCAGTTGTCCAGCTGAGGTTTTGCACAACAACAAAAAGCAAAATTCTTAACCCCCAACGCTCAATTATTTACTCATTGCAAGTTAATTCTAAGACGACAACAAAAACACCACTACTACATGTCACTGTTCTGCTCTTTCTCCAGTCACGAGGATGTCCCGCTCACAGCCGATGAACCATTCCAGTGGGCAGGTGCAGACAGCGCCCCCTGTGCTCAGACGCAGTATGGCTACAACTACCACCACATCGACCAGAGGACAATGCACTCCAGCTGTGGCCCTAAAGACAGTCGTGTGGAGCAGGGGGGAGAGGTGTACGCAGAGTTCACATGTGAGGCCAGCGCCGACGCACTCAGTCAACAAAGAGGTGAGGCTGAAAAACTATCACCACTGACACTACCAATACCCTACAAATACTTTATTGATCCCCGTAGGAGAAATTCATGTGTCCAGTAGCGGCAGAAACACATCCACCAATTTAAACCAAACAAATAAATACATCATTCTAAAAAAAGCAATGGTATTGAAATACAACAGCACTTTAGGTCACAGCAGCAGAAATGGTGTCGCCACTTGGTTTGAACCATTATCTCTGCTCTGGTCCAAAGTGAAACTCTACTCCAGCTTTCACTCTTGACTGTGCGTATGAAGTTCACATGTGAAGGTTGTTTTTTCTTCCTGAAATTTCAACCGAAAACAGAATCTCTCTAACTTTTTGTAATTGATTTTTCTTAATCCACTTTAATGGATTGTGTTCCTTACATAGTGGTGCGCAGAGGCAGCGCAGCACACAGCTCTGGACTTCACCCAGGACAGAGCGGGTGTGAAGACCAACACCACCATGAAGAGCAGCCAGGCCGAGGGGACCACGCCCGATATGTGTCGGACACTTATGTGCACTTCCTCCTCTCCAGGTTTCTCCATTTGTTCATTAAAACTGACCAGACATATGTTTTCTCCACTTGGAAAACTACAACACAAAATAATCTTACCATCTGAGATATTCATGATTATGAATGGGTGGCACAGTGGTTTGCGCTCCTACTAACCCTAAGTCCTGGGATATTTTTGAGTGGATTTTGCATGTTCTCCCCATGTTTTCATAGGTTTCCTCCAGGTGCTCCCATTTTCCCTACCTCCAATGTTCTGGTCAGGTTTGTTAGACCTGATCTGTCATTTTGTGGGTCTTGAACTTATAATGAAAAATAAATGACTTAATTTAATGGCACGCATAAATCTCCATAAGCCGCTAATACTAATTATTATCCTGATATGTCTAATGACACCAATGGTGCTTGTAGCACCCTCAGGAAATAGCATGAGCACGAGAGTATAAACATACACATTTTAAAAATGCAGTTTTAAGACGATGCAATAAACACAGTTTAACATGATGTATCACGGAAACACAGCTCATAATGGCCCAAAGGAAGTGGGCGTATACCAGTAGATGTAGAAGTGGGGATTGTCGGAGCAAAGACTCCTGAAAGCTGGAGAATAAAGATCAGATCGACCCAAACATAAATGAATCAACCTAAATACAAATGAAGTGGGAAACGAGAATGAAAACTATTACAACAAGTGCCATGTGATGCCCCATCATCCGCTGGCCCCTTTCTCCATTGTTTGCTGCTTTATGCTAATAAGCATTGAGGGGGAGGTCCCGCACCGCACAGTCCTTCATTGTTTTCCCACAGCCTACACACGTGCGCTGCAGAAGACCCCCGTAAGTGTCCGTGTTTGTGCGTCTGAAGTCAAGAGATGGTCCCGAAGTGTGCGCCTGTCCATGGTCTTCCCTCTGGGGCCACTGGTGCTGTGTGTGGGGGTCCCGGGAGTGGTGGTAGCCGTGGCGATAGCGGTCTATGTCCTGGATTATTATTGTGTGTCTGTGCACAGGGAAAAGCAGCAGGAGGACGGAGACGACATGGGCTCACGCGGAGAGCCAGAGGAGCTGGGCAACAGGGAAGGTGTGTCTTCTGTTCAGTGATGAGTTTTACATACAAGACTATTTCTGTTTTGACATACACAAGATATGATTATGAAACTAGCAATTATTTTGGTGCTTCATCTTTAATTTTTGACTGTGTGTATGAAGTTCACCTGTGAAGGTCGTAAAGATCCCTGTGAGTCACTATTTGACACTTTGTGATGAGAGCTGATGGGCTGGGTTAGGTGGACCTCTTTTTTTTAAATTTTCTCTCTGAAAAATCTGACCCAAAAATGTGGTAGAGGACAAACTACATGGAAGTGCAGACTGGTGATTGAAGTCAAATGTTTTAAGAGCGAGGAACTAGTTACATGTGAGTTTGTATTGTGATTTGAAAGTTAGATATCCCAGCTTTAAGTAACAGTCGGTTTGAGACACAAGACACAAAGATAAATCAGCGGTATGGGTGGAAAAAAGTTACAAATATGTATTAAATCTATTTATAGAAATGACTTAAACAACAAGGGCAGCAACAAACAACTATCTATTTCAATTAAGTATTTATTTAAAAGCGACGGGCCACCTGGTGGCGAGAGTTCATCAGGACTTTATGTAGGATAGAAATGTGTAGACAAAATATGTCTAGTACGTTCCTGTGTTATTTTGATGTATATTCTCCTTTCTTTTGAGTCATAAATCATCCTTTCTGACATGGCACAGTAACGATATACTGTATGATCACAAAGGAATGATTGTAACTATGTCAGATTGCTTTTCTTTTTGCCAAATAAATAAATATATTGTATTAATACAATTCCTGTCATCCCATCTCCACATCAGTGCTTCCATCACTGAGGGAAACACAGAGGCAACAGGTGACGCTCACAGTTAGAATGATGAACACATGAATAATAATGTTTTGTTCTGAGGCTCCTTTGATAATCCTGTTTACAAAGAGCTTTCTACATAAAAGAGGTGACCGCTCCAGGACGATGACAAACAGACCATGACCAGATGCTACAAGGCCTGAGAACCAGCTTGTATCTGCAAATGTTAAATGTAGAGATCATAAAAGAGATACAAAAAACTAAACTGCAAACATGTGTTAAATTACGTTAAATTTGATCAGTTAAAGTGTAGAATTAAGGTGAAGAATTATTCATTGAATAAACCGTGTTGAAAAAAATTACATTTATTTCAGAATGTTTTTGTGTAATTCAAGCTATTTCTGGCTTATATTTGGTCACTTTTTGCAGTGTAACATCCACTTTGTTTCTAATAAAGAATGTGATATGATAGATCTGACCCCTGTGTGTGTTGTTTGCTCAGAGCCGGTGTCTTCAGCCGACGGGTCTGCGGCCTCGGCTCAGAGGAGAAAGCTGCCGGCTCCTGCTCTGAACGTGTCCCTGGACCACAGCGAGGGGTCTCTGCTGTCCGACACCGGAGACGAGACTGGAGATGAGACCGGAGACGAACTGGACTTGAACATGGACGACATGGACACCCCTGACGAGGCTGACTCTGTGGACTTTGAGGAAACAAACGGTATCACACTGGTCCTGGTGTAGACCTGACTTGGTTTACTGATGGTTACGTCCTGGAGTTAATGATCACAAAAAGTCATTACATTCTATATGATTCCCATTTTAACAAAGAAGGAATGCTTTTGTGTGTTATATAATGATAATCTATGACTATTTTAACACACAGGATATAAATTATGAAGAAAAAATAACCATCAAAAAACAAAGAGAAAATATACTAGTAATATTATTTGCCAATATTTTAAAGTAGGGAGGTTTAAAGCTGGAGTATCTTATGTAATTCAATCATTGTAACCAGTGTCTTGTTCTCAAAACAATTTGACTATCAGTAGTTTCCTCGTGCATGTTATTTTTTCACTTTTCTGACTGAAAAATATACACGTTTTCTAAATAAGTTATTCTAAAAGATAGAGAGTATGTTGTGGTCTGATCTGTTCACAATGAAACTCATGTCACATACGCATAACTTTCTGTTGGGACAAACAACAGACATTGAGCCGGGTTCCACCTGGCCTGTAAAGTTGACTACAGATAGGATATATAATTGCGGGTGAGTCAGGTTTATAGAGCCACAATGAAGGAAAATTAAACATAACTTATCCACAGCAGGTGTGTTTTACCCCTGATATCATGTTGTGTACCTGCAGAGTGTGAGGAGGCGTCTGCTGCCGTGTCTGCCCCAGGGCAGGGCAGAGAGAGTCGGCTGTGGAGGAGTGTGTTGATTGGAGAGCAGGAGCATCGCATCGACATGAAGAGCATCGAGCCGTACAAGCGAGTCATCTCCCACGGAGGTACACAACACCTTTGTGTGTCTCTTGTGTGATCTGTGTGACCTCAGTCCTGCACCTGGTGACTCCTCTCACAGACCACTTACTCAAGAGCTCCCAAAGTATCTTCATGAGGAAACGACGGGAATTCGTCTCACAGCTGATCTAGAGGAGGGGTGTCCAACCACTTCCAGAAAGAGCTGGTGTGGCTGCACTGCAGGTTTTAGTTCCAACCAAGTAGGCGCACACCAGGCTTTATCCAGTTCCTCAAATCCAAACTAAAACCTGCAGCCACACTGGCTTTTGGGGACTTGTTTGACATCCCTGATTTAACAATTAAACAATTTTTGTTGTTTTTTTGGAGTTCCTATTTCATGAGGCTCAAAAAAAGAGGCACAAAAAGCAGCTGTCACATCCAGTGCTAAAGAACAGCTGTCACAAACCTGAAAAACTGCCTCCCCATGTTTAGTCTAGACTCTGGGCACCAGCAGGAGGCCAGTCCCTGTGCTTCTGAGTCCAAGACAGTTCATATGGCACTAAAATGTCACAGGATGTAGCTTCACAGTGCTGAAGTCACATTCTAACTCCTAGTTCTTGTTTTTGTGGTCGCCAGGTTACTACGAAGAACAACACGCCATCATCGTGTTCGCCGCCTGCTTCCTCCCCGACAGCGACTGCGACAACTACAACTATGTGATGGAGAACCTGTTCCTGTGAGTGAGGCCTGGTGCTGTTCTCTCCCCCACGGGACCCCCCCTGACCCCCGGTCTCTGTGTACAGGTATGTGATCAGCACTCTGGAGCTCATGGTGGCGGAGGATTACATGATCGTGTATCTGAACGGAGCCACGCCGCGCAGACGCACCCCCGGCTTCTCCTGGATGAAGAAGTGCTACCACATGATCGACAGAAGGTAAAACATACAGGGCCATTCTCAGGACACTTCTGCGTAACTTCAGGGTTTTGTAAACTCAAATATCACTCTCAAAACTATTCAAGCCTGCATCCAATACATACAGTAGCAATACACGTGGTAATAATTGATGAAATTGAGGATTTTTTATCTTAATTTGAGTGCATTCTGTCTTAACACGAGATAAAACAAGATTAGCCAATGGGACAGAGCCAATGTTTGACCACAGCTTGTTCAGGCGGAGAAGTGAAAAAGACAAAGAGAGAACCACCGTCACTCGGTCAATCAGCAAATCAGCTCTATGTATGATGAGATGAGAGAGATATACTTCATTATAAGATGGATAAGATAAGAAGGAGACTTATGTATTGTCACAAGACTCTTTCTGTTGGTACAATCAAAATGTACTATGTATAAGTTACCCCAGCTTGTGTGTTGAAATGCATTCTTTAAGATTCTTTACTTAATTCTTGCTTCTTCATTATGCTAAAGCAAGAGATTTTATAATTGCTTTATTATGTGCTAGTTACAGATTTTATTTTATTTTAGTATAGAGTCATTGTTTGTTTATCCTGTGCTGTATGCTCCTCATTCCTACTGGTCTGTAACCGATGATGCAACACTGAAATTTCCCAATTATGGGATAATACTTTTTTTTTCAAGAGAGTAAATGATCTCTCACTCTTAATTAATCTCAGTTCATCAGGTAAATAAAACTGCTGATATTGGAAACTATGTTGAAGTGAAAAAGATAAGTTTTCAGTGTGAGACTGACTCTGATCCTCGTCCTCAGACTGAAGAAGAACCTGAAGATGTTCATCATCGTTCATCCGTCCTTCTTCATCCGGACGCTGCTGGGAGTCACGCGGCCGTTCATCAGGTGACACCTTTAGTCTCTGCACGAGTCCCATCAATATGGAGACGCTGGCTTAAAGGACTGAAGACTATACTCACTCTTGCAAACATCCATCTATTTTCTACCCCTGAATCCATTTCTGGGTCAGGGGGGTGGCCAGAGATGCCACCCAGTACACATAGCACAAGCATCTTAAAACATTTTGTGAAAAATGTTTCAAGATGTTTCAACAGTAAGTTCTCAAACTTCTCTAAACGTGCGCTCCAAAATTCCTGTTATTTACTTGTGTGTGTGTGCAGCTCCAAGTTCAGCAGTAAGATCCGGTACGTGCACAGCCTGCAGGAGCTGGGACACATCATCCCCATGGAGTACGTGCACATCCCGCCCAGCATCATCAGGTCAGTCACATGGTCATACAGGATGTAAAACCAGGAAAACAAACTTAAAAGGCCATTCCGTGTTCCTGTCAGCGATACATGATGATCTATGACGTCCGTGGCTCAATATCAAACTTTTAGCTCAGATAACATTTATATTGAGTTTAAACCATGATATTAGGCTGAGCCTGCACACTTGGCTTTGAGACCCTCCCCATTACACAAGGCCTCAGTCGTTGGAAGCATAGACTCTGTGTTTCAGGAGTGGACTGAGCGAGTGTGACGTCACCACAGTGTGTGTGTTTTAATGCAGAAGATCAGAGTTGTGGCTTTTCCAGTGAAAACAATCACATGGCCCACCCTCTGCTGATACAAAATGAACTCCGCCTCTATGATTAGCAATGGTATGTCCATTGTTTTATATAGACAAACAAGCACAAACGTTTTTCTAATCTTCTACATTGTTTTCATTTCACTATGTTGTGAGCAATAAGATGATATTTGATCATTTCCAAAGACACCAAACAACATCTCAAGGCAAACTAACACTGGATTGGGCTACAAAGAGGAGTGGCGTGGGTCTGTTACCACTTGCGCTGCTTGCTACCTAAAGCCAATTTTGGCGACAGAAGGTTCCTGACTGATCAGTTTTTAAAACTGATGTCTGGATTTATAAAAACAAATTAATTATATAAACACCAAGATCCTTTAGAGAAAAGGATGAGTGTGATACAAACGGTTACAGAGCTCGGGTCAGAGATGGTCAGCAGCACAATGATATACATTGTTTAAACATACCACTAAAACAACTGAGTCTGTTAAAACCATGAAAACACAATTTAAAGAAGATTACAAGTAAAAGTAAGAGGTCCCAGATCAAGTTTAAGGAATACAATTATTACAACTTATGTAGAATATATTGTTTTCAAGTGTCATGCATCTGTGCTCACGGCCTGTCCTGACTTTCCTAAGGTTTGACGATGACAGAGGAGCAGGTTCCAGGTAAAATATTACATGAACTGCTGTATTCTCGGACTAATCCACTCACTAAAGACAACTGCTTTATAGTTTAACATAGTGACTCTCTTTCACCATATTCTGCTGTTCTCATGGTTCTGTGGAGTTTGTGTTGTTTCTCTCTAATGTCACACAATCACTGGGGCTGGTTTTAGGATTCACTTTTCTATCCTCTTTTCGTCTTTGTCTCTGTTTGTAACCAGACTGGATGCAGAGTTGCAGGAAACCACATGCAAGTAAGTAACCGGTATTTGTGGTTGAAGCTGGGGTACCTAACTTTGAAAACAAAAAAAACAAAAAACCTGTACTAATTATTTTGTAACATTCAACAGTTTGGTTCTGTCACTAGTTTTCACACGCATGTATTTTTTGCCTCCGTCACATCTTTAGATCAACTTTAGATCAAAGTGGAAGGGGGGATGATTCTTTCATATTATTATTTAAAGCTTTTGTTCAGAGTTTCTATTGACATAGAATCATGTTGGTGCCAGATCATCTTTTACATACGGTTTCTTTAATTTAGTTTGAGGTAACGGAATTCCTAATAATTTATGTCTATTGGTATGGATTTTCCCCATTATCTGATATCCATGTCCCCCCTCCATGGGGGATGGCTTGCTCCTGGCTGACCTCCCTGGCCAATCCAGTGGAACCTGGGAGTAACCTCACAGCCAGTATATAGATAGCTGGGATGGACTAGTTTGGGCTCTTGGTTGGTGTCAACTCTCTATGCAACATGTAGCAGCCTAATGCTGAGGCCCAGAGCCTCCAGGGTTCTCTCTCTCTCCAACCATCTCTCCTTGGGGTATGATATTTTCTGTTATGTCTGTATGTACCTTGTTATAATTCAGTGTCATTAAATGTCCTTTTTTATATCTATTGGTTTGGGCCTAGTATGTACAGCAACGATTACATGTTCTTGATAACAATGTCATTCTAGTTTTTTTTGCAAATGGAAAGAAATTCTGTTTGTTTTTGTGCTACAGATCGGACAGAAAGAGGAGCTCTGCCATGTGAACAGTTGCGGTAACACGAGTCATGGAGCTAAGGCGTGGGCCAGAAAGTGAAAGTGTAGCATCAGCTCTCTCATCTACAGATGGACAAGACTGGATCAGGTCTGAAGTGGATCAAGAGAAAAACAATTGTGTGTGTTTTATAATAGGTTACATTCAGGTTCAGACGCCATGGTTTCAGGTGGAGCACAGGAGTCAATAATTCTATGAAAAATTCCACTGTGTGTGAAGAAATCACATATCAAATAACAACAAAACTTAATCTCATGAATTTGAAAAAACATTCTTCAACAAACATAAACATTTGTTCTTGTATTTTAAGTGCAATTAGTCAAAATGTGTCATCAAAGTTTGATATGATTTTTTCTAATTTTTACCTACAGGTCCTTTGGCAGTTTTTGTTCATCAGTTTAAATCTTCTCAAAACAAGAAATAGATGTTTAAAATTCTAATCATTTTGACTCCGTAAGGTCAAACAGATTATGACTTTATTTCATTAAATTACATGTATACATAATATCCCATAGCTGCTTAAAGTAAACTGTATTTATCTTGATTTAAGTATATTTGAGTAAATCAAGAAATTATTTCACATTCTTAAACATGAATGACAAAGTAAATGGTCCCATTATAATTTTTAACTGCCAAAAAGAATGCATAATATTTCTTCTTTAAGACTTAAGCATGGTTGTGTAGTAATAAATATGACAGGACTTTGAAGTTCTGTTAAGTGTTCCATAACAAGAGAGCTGCCTCAAAACCTCAAGTGTAAGACGAGTACTGCATCGAAAGAAGCAATTACTCTCATGTGAATATGTTAAGTAATGAAATGAGATAATGTATTCGCAGCCAAGTCAACAAATCTAAAACAATGATTTTTACAATAGAATTCTTTGCTCAGTCTTAATCTATGGGCTGTTAAGTGAATGTAATGTATTCAACCTCAAATAGGACGGCAGCGTACCCCCGAGTGCCACTAGAAAACAGTGCCAGTCTGAGGAAACCCCTGTACTAACTGCTTCTCTCACAGACTAATCCGATGCGCTGCTGTTTTTATGACCAAATATAGGAGTTCCTCACATGCGTCTTCACTGTGGATGTTTACAACAGTGTTCCTGCTGCAAAAAACACTGCACTGTAAATGTGACGTGTGTCTGTATCAGCATGAGTCTGTTCGTCATTCCTGTTTGTAATTATAGAAATACTGGGAATTAAACCACAGGAATGCAATAAGTTATAGAAAGTACTCGCTGCTTATGGCTGGATTTCATATTTTTTGTGGGTGAGAAAACAAGTGACAATCCATGAAGAAAAGCTTATCAAACGAAACAAAAATGTATCAGTATTGAAGTGCCTGTTTAAAACATACTTGGTCTTGGTGGTCTTTAACAGCTACTTCAATGGCAGAAGGAATCATCTCGTTAATGAATTATGCTATTTTTTGCTCCAAGATGAACCTAAATAACTAATCAGTCATGTTACAAAATGTAATGGAATAGAAATGACAGATACCGGCTTTGAAATGTTGTAAAAATAAAAGGTACCAACTGTCAAATGTACTTGTACAGATACCTAAAAATGTATAATGTGCTTTTACTTTATTATGTTTAACCACTGATTTTGGCGCTTGTTTACAGTATTGTTGCTTGGTAACAGTTAGGCCTAATAAATGAATGTCCATTCAAATGCTACTGAAGTGATTTTATCTGTAAAAATAAATAAATAAAACAATTCTAACACAGTATCAAATAGACGGTTTTGAGATTAGTAATGGCCATGGTGCTGTTTTAGGTTTTCTCCTGTATAAACATTGGTGTATAACTTGTTGCGTCCTTGTGTTGTTCATGCCAGTTGACTTTTCTGATGCTCTTTGTACTGAGTCACTGTGAGCCGCACTGCACACCAGAAGGGGCCAGTACGTGTGTGCGCGTGTGTGTTTGTATGTGTATGCATTTATGTGTATGAATGAGTGCGCCCCCTGTGCTTCGGATGAGGACACTGCCAAATATGTAAAACAAGTACCATTAAACTCGTGACTCTAAACAAAGTTGTTTATTTATTTCTAAATTCTGAATTATCTTCTGTGCACACTGGGAACACCATTGTAACAGGCACTATCACCGTGAGTAATGTGACTGTCATGTCTATGGTTGGGACAGTTTGGTGGTGAATGGTTAGGGAAAAAAGTCCTTGGCGCATTTAACCCGTGACAGAAAGCCATGGATGGAGAAAACGCACAAATCCCATGGATTTATTATAAAACAAATCCATTCACGGAATCCAAATTCAGTAACAAAGAAATACCTCATTCCAAAAGCACTGAACTTCCTTTCCTTAACTATTTCCCTTTGTGGCATAAATGTTGACCTAAAGTCCCACTCTTGACAAACCTGGAGCTGCCCGTACCATTAACGGTCAAGAGGAATCATTTTGGATGTAACCTTTCCGACATTTTTCCACCCGGTTTTTAATGTATTTAATAAACACCAACTCATTTTTCCCCCCCTCTTGTTTCATAATTTTACGTTGCGTCACGCTCACGCTCATCACGCTGTTGTTGCATACGCGCGGTGACGTCAGAGGGTAGCTGCCCTCCTCTTCCGGGTTGTGGACATTTCCCTCGCGTAACATCTGCGGTAACATCACTGAAGACTTCCACAGGGGTGAGAGGAGAGCAGAAGCACACGGCCTGATACCCGGACAGGTTACCCTCCTGTTCATCCACTAATCACCAGTATTTACCCCGAGAGCAGCCGTTAGCCCCAGTAACAGGTGGACTCTGTCCCGCGGGAGACAAGGTCGTGTGGGTCCAGAGCAACGTGAGTAGATACGGTCTGTGGAGTGAACACGGTAAACACGGCGCGGACTTCGCTCTGAAAGCAGCTTGTGTGATCAAAAGCAGATCTCCTCTCCACTGAGCTGACTGGGCTACACTTCCGGGACTCTTTCTCCTCGAGTTGGACCGGACCTGGGGCTGGCATGAAGAGCCTGCCGTACTTCTGCCGCGGGGAGGTGGTGCGAGGCTTCGGCAGAGGGAGCAAAGAGCTGGGCATCCCCACCGGTGAGTGCCCCCCGTCAGTGAGGGCTCTTTGAGTACAGCACTACCCTTACACAACCATGTACGGCATGTCTGTTATGAAAGCTTAGGGCTGGCTCGTCATTGTTCAGTTCAGACTAAAATACACTTTTTCACGTTCTAGATTTGGATTTCTAGATCCTGTTATTTGGTCGCCTTATAATTTATATGATTTATCTTATGGATTCTAAATGTTCTCCCTGGTTGTAAATCATGACCTCACAATAACATTAGAAAGAAACTTGCCTTATATTTAGTTTAATCATTCATTCCAATTTAAAGTATGTACATTATTGTGCCAAACTTTAGGATGAATTCTGCGCCTGTATTCTGAGGGCTTGCACATGTTTGTCTCAACGGAAAGTCTCTAATAAATTATATTCTGTGAATACATTTGACCACTGCATGCTGCCTAATCTTGTTATAAAAGTGCATATTTAACATACTGAGAGCTGATTGGCTGAGTGAGGGAGGTCCTTTCTGAAAACGCTGAGCTAAAGATGAGACCGAGGCCAAGACTACATGCAAGGACAGAAGAGGAGGAAAAAAAGTATCTTTTGATGATAACGATTACTGACACCTGCCCTTGTGGCACTGAAGGATGGAGATACATGTAGAATGGGTTTTGGAACTCTTTATATGCAGACTGAAAACCACCACCAGAGATTTACAAGTTTATTTATTGTCATATACATTATTTTCATAGTCAGAGCACTCCATACCATACAAATACAAAGTGTTGGCTTTGTAGAGACAATAGCGCCTCCTAGACGGCAGCAACGTGACCAGGGTGACTGTCCTGCATAGTCCTTATCAGAATCTTCCAAATCCTCCATTTATTTACAGAGAAGAGTCGAGGCCAAGGTCTGTGTGATGTCACTGTAACCGAAACACACTCGAGGCATTTTGTTTAGTCTTCTATGATCCTTCAAAAATCTAATTGTGTTTGATCTGTTTCTCTGATTCTCTGATCTGTGTTGGCAAATTCAACGGTTTTGTAAAGTCCTCAGAGATAACTAGTGTTGTGATTTAGGGCTAAACAAGAATACATCAAATTGAAAACAATGTCTTCTGTATGTAGAAGATGAAATTGCACTATATCTAATTTGTGGTGAGGCTGAGACCCTGGCTCTGGTCTGAGAGGACAGCAGTGATACTGATGGTCACATGTTTCTGCTGCATCTGAAATATGAACGCTCCTGGACATGTTTCAAAAGTGCACTTATCTTCAGCCTTGATCTGTTTACATTACAGTTGGGAAAAAAACAACTTTTATCTGCTACAAATTTGTCAATCAAAAACAGTTTTTAGATCCAAAAATGCTAATAGCAGGAATACTGATATGTCTAAAAGCTTCTCAGTTTTATGTAATGTAACCTAATTAAACCTCTTATTAAGAAAGGACACGCAAAATCGAGTTTTAGTTCTAAAAATAGTTTGTTAAATGTTAATGATGATAATGCCACCACATAATAACAACACTACGAGTCTAGTTTGTAAAATAAACATTAGCCAGCTGGACCTGGACTATTGTATAAAATATACTTAAATAGGCGACAGTAGCTCAGTTGGTAGAGCATTGGCCTTTGGGCCGGAAGGTCGTGGGTTAGAGCCCATCACGGGACCTAATCCAACTGCTCCCACTAATGTCTGCTGTCGTTGTGTCCTTGGGCAAGACACTTAACCCCACATTGCCTGAAGCTCCTCCTGAAACACCAAGGCTGTGGCACCACTGATGTAGCATCCATCTTCCTGTGGACTGACCACCTGCAGAGAATCAGCGAGTGACTGGTGCTATGAGCATTGGGTGGCAGCTCTCATTGCTGCCCACCGAAATGGACTAATAAAGGGGTTGAAAAATGAATACTTACAGCTTCAGTGATGTCGTTGCAGAGATAATGTCTATAATTGACTGTTTTTACAAATGCTGAATCACATTTATCTTAGTCAATTCAAAGTGAAAGTCTGTCCTGGTTGTAACGTTTACATTTGTCTGCAGCGAACTTCCCGGACGGTGTGGTGGAGCACCTGCCCGCAGACATCAGCACCGGCATCTACTACGGCTGGGCCTGTGTGGGCAGCGGCGACGTGCACAAGATGGTCATGAGCATCGGCTGGAACCCCTACTACAACAACACTAAGAAGTCTATGGTCAGTTACACACCGCCTCGGACTCCTCCCTGCGCTCAGTGCCCGGTGTACACATTTCTTCTATATGACCACTGTTGTTGGTCGTCCTCAGACCTGTCTAGACCTCAGAGACAGAATGATTATATTATATTGAAAACCCTCCATCACTAAGGTTCTCCCATATCCTCAGAGAATGCTGAAGCTCCGTCACCGCAACCGTCGGGTTGCTGGTCTCCTCTCGGACTAGAGCCCTTCTCCCCCAGCTGCTCAGTTTGAAGAGGCAGTCGGCTGCTTTTGGTTTTAAAGTTGTATATTATATATATCTGGGCCTCAGTATAGAATAGATCTAGAGCACTGTTTAGACCTCCAGACCATGTCAGTGGGTCCGCAGAGTGGTTTCTGCTGTAGCTGTCACTGTAGCACCTTAAACACTTCTGTCCTTTTCCAAAGCAAGTGAACCAGTAGAGTGGACCACAGTGGACTCTGCTCGTCTGAGCTCAGCAGTGTTTTAAAGGGTCTGAATACTTATGCACTGGTGACATTTTTATTTTCTATTTATCAAATGACATTGACTCCTAAATACTATTTAACACTTTGTCACTACAGGGTGTGAGAGTAGATTGACAAGAAATGCAACACATTAGTATAAGGCTGTAAAATAGTGAAGGGGGTTGAATACTTTTGATCCACAAAGCACTAACACATGTAAAATGTTTGAACCGTAGCTTTGTGGAGACGCTCATGGGTTCAGACCGATGACTAGATGATCTGGTTTTAGGCTTTAGTCCATTCCTAAAAGCATGAAAAAGTGGCACAAAGAGATCGTTTTCTATGGAAATTCCAGCAGTAATGTAGTTTAATGTCGATGTGGTTGGGAAATCCATGAAGTTGACTGGAGGATTATGAATCAAAGAGGTATTTTGTTAATAATTCACAAAAAAATCATCTACATCTTTTAAACTAGACTTTTAATAGATAGACTTTTAAAAATAACTTCCTGTCCTTTACTGTACAGCCCGGGTTAGAGAGCAGTGGATTATTTTCTTATTTACTACTTTAATTTGAGCCAAAAAAGCAGATGCCGCTGTTTCATCCATTTACAGATTGTCTAGAAGGTGGAAAAACAGAATTCTCACTTATGAAAGTGAACATTGTAATACATATTTTAGTTTTAAATTACTTAATCTTGTATGTATGTCGACCCATTATCTGGGGACACAACTAAATACAACGCAATTAAAAACAAAATACAGTGTGTACCGTTTCTAGCCAAACTCCAGCAGGTGGTCTTAATCATCAGTCAGTGTTTAGGAGCATGTGCACCAGACGTGCGACTGTAGTGAGTGCATTAACCAGTGAATGCCCCTTTGGCTGTATCTGGTGTAGTGATCTGTAGCTCATTCTTCATTCCAGAAAGAGGCCGTGAAACTCGACTCATGCAGCGTTACATGAAGTTTGGACAGAGCAGGACACACTGCCCTGACCTTGCAGCTGTGATTAAAAATCTAATCTAAAACAGCATTATTATTATTATTAGTGATTCTTGATACAGCTCTGTGTCTGAGGGAGATAAGATAACGAGGCGTGAGGTCAGAGCCTGGCGTCTCTGCGACAAAAGAGGAAATGAAGAAACAATGAAGCAGAAGGTGCATTCCTCAACTGTCCGCTCTGAAGTTAGAAATATTTGTCAATAGATCTAGTAGGTTTTAGAATTCTGTTCACATTAAGAGTGAAATGTTTGTTTCACTTTGTTTGGAATGGTGCCGCCCCGAGTGCAGAGTTTTTTAAGCTTAAAAATCATCACGAGGCAGGCCATAGGCACAGGTACAGGTTTTAAACTAACGAGAAAATCCATAACAAAAGTAGGACTGAGACAAACTGTTCTTCATTATAATTATATTAATATTATCAATATATATATATATATACTGTTTAATTTCCCCACAGAAACGGTGTTGTATGTGGAAAACTGAGGCTCTGGATTAAAGTCCAAATGGATCTGTTTGTTTTCGTAAAGGTGTAAAAGAGTGAAGACGAAGAATCTCTGGTTTTGTGTTTTCTGCAGGAGACTCACGTGATACACACTTTCAAAGAAGACTTCTACGGAGAGGTGCTGAGTGTGGTGCTGGTGGGCTACATCCGACCAGAGACAAGCTTTGACTCTTTAGGTAAAACTACTAAACTATCTAACCACACACCTGGGGCGTGATTATAGATGATTCTATTTTTATTAGTTCTTAATTATTACATTTTCAATCATTGTTATTTATTATGGCCCTCATGTATGAAACTTGTGTACGGCCAAATCCAGGTGTAAATGTGGCGTACGCAAAAAATTTACACTTTTCGGCATTTCTCAATCTGGACGTGAGCGTACGGTACGCACAGAATTTACACCAAGTCAATAGGTGGTGTAAATGTGTACACTCATTTCAACCTTCATCACAACACCCCAAAACACGCATGAAATACAAGATCTGGACAACAATAAACATATTCCCACTCTGACAAGATTATAGGCACACCTCTCACATTACAAATATGCAATTTTACGAAGTTATGTTAGGGATATGTGTTTATTAAATAACGTGTAAGATGTCAAACTCAAGTCTCCCACAAATGTGTTAATTGTTATATGCACCTACAATCAGTGCGCAACGACAATTGGTTCATGCGGGTCCAAGCAAAGACGTGCGCTAAAGTCAACTCTCCCGCGCATCCTCAGCTGCGCTCACAACTGATGCTTGGACGTCCCGCGGAATCTATAATGGATCCATGAACGGAACCGCTCACTTCCACCGCAGACTGGGAGATGAAAAGTCTGGCGCTGCAGACACGCCCCCTCTACGACAGTCACACAGTCACACAGCGCAGCTACTGACATAAGCAGCGGAGGAATGGAAGACAAAGGCCCTGTACTAATATCCCAGTCACAACTGATAATGCCAAAAAATAAATAAATGCAGTGAATGAGGCTGGACTGGGCCCAGAATGGAGCACCTCCTCGGGAGAATCAGGAAGGTGCTTTAATATATGAGGGTAAATATCCTCATAAAGTGCCTTCTTATGTTGCACTTTGTTTTTCACTGATTATGTTAAAAAGACATAATGGGATGGATGGAATATGTCTTCCATCCATTTCCTTCCCCTTAATCCATTTCTAGGTCAGGGGGGGCAGTCAGAGCAGGTGCCGAGTCCACATGAGCTGTGTTTAGTAAACTTTTTTTTTGAAAAATGAACCGAACCGAACCGTGATTTTTTTCAAACCGTTGCACCCCTAATATATATATTATAAATTATATTTTTTTTTTTACGTGAATAAACTCAGAAGTGCGTGCTTTGAGGCTTCCAAACAGTCCTCTTAGCAGACTTCCTGCTGGGGCGTGATCAGGCGGTGTCTGAATATTTATAGGCGTGACTTTCATAAATGCACACTCAAAACCAGCGTATTTATGAAACAGCCGCAGGTGCGTACGCTCGAATCTGTGCGGATCTCACACGTTCATAAATGCCTTGTCAGATCTTGCGTATCTGGAATCTACACCTAAAATGTACACCTTTTTCTGCGCAAGTTTCATAAATGACGGCCAATGTACGGTTAAGAGGCAATTGTGGTGGCTGAGGTTAGAAGGTCCTGGGTTCGAATCCCGGTGGGAACAGGCCCTTTCTGAGCAGCTTTTGCATGTTCTCCCGGTGTCTCAATTGGAAAGGAACCCACTGCAAAGTCCCACTGAGCAACAGTGTCAATAAATTAGTTAAAACCTATTTAAAAAATGTATTAGTTGCGATTAATTAACTTGTTACAGCATTTCAGCAGTTTTAGTTCTGAACTGTCTTAACTAATCGTTTTGTGAGCAGAGGCGCTGATCTCGGCCATAAACGGAGACATCGAAGAGGCCAAAGCCAAACTGGATAAACCCGAACACCTCAAACTCAAAACGGACAACTTCTTCAGCAGCAGCAGCAGCGCCACCCTCTGTCTGAACGGCGCCACTACAGCCTCCAACGGCCACATCAACGGACACTGACCCTGTTTCCATGACAACCATGTTCAGCTGGTATGAAATGGTCCGTGAATATAAAGTGAGATCTTGTAGCAGCCGCATCTTGCTCCTATCGACGACTTGGCTTTACATGTATCCATTTAATAAAGTGACCAATCAGACTCTTAAGTTGGTAAACATGGAAGTGGGCGGGGCTTGGCTGGAGTCAAAAAGAGGCACTCTGAACACTCTGGACGGGCAAAAGCAGATATTTAAACGTAAAGCTCTTAATTCATCCCAAAATGCAAGTGTGTGTCCTGAGGCTGTTCCTACACTACAGCGGATCTCTCTAGAATCCTTTTTCACTCGACAGAAAACAGTGGTTAAACCTCTACACAGATGTCAGTGTTGTGATGTCACTGAAAGCTGGACTACCCGACTTTGAAACCACAATAAATAACTATAGAAAGGCAAGTTTGATTTGCCTTGCGTATGATCTGTGCAGAACAAAACTAGATGGAAACAGTCACAAGGCACTAAAATGATAAATACTCACAGAACATAAAATGAATCCCAGTTATTATAAAGTCTTTGCTTCACTCACATGTATGTTTGTCCTCTTTCCGATCACAGAATCTCATGCTATAGAAATGATTCGGTTCGAATAGACAAACTGATGTATTTATGAAACCAAAGTTAGGTACCCCAGCTTTAAAGTGAACTACACACCTTATAGCACTTTGTTTTAAACACACATTCAGTGGTCCAACGGCAGAATGTTGTCAACTCGTCCTGGAAGCAGCGTCTTTATGCAAATCCACCGGTACATTTGCGTCTCAACATTGATTACAGAAAATTTAAAAATAAAAATGTATTAGAAGTTTTCCAACTATTGCCTTGTTTTTGTATGCAACTGCACCCTCTGCTTTTCTCATTATTTATTGGTTCCATCTCACTTCATTGTACATTCGTGTTTGTAAATATGATACAAATGGATGATCTTAGATTTGAAATAAAAGTTATGATTAAAGTATTTAGGAACAAACTGGTTTCTGTACTTTTATTGAAACAAGCGCATTTACAATTTGAACATGTGGCTTGAGGTTTATGAAATACAATATTGTAAATATGAAATACTTTCACATCTCAGCAGCATAAGTACAATATTAGCTGATTCCATAAATGTGGCAGCCATCTTGAGTTAAAGGCCTTAATTCTAGGTTATATATTGTATTTTAAAATTCATTTTTTTATGCCATTTCCAGTAAAACCACATTAGAATACATTTGCAAAAGTCCCCAGTGTGCCCCTGACCAGTACAAAAACAAAAGTACAGGATTAAAACAAGATAAATGGCTTCATGAAACAGGTCTTCGTGAGTTAAACCTGCAGCACTGATGGACCAGGGACAAAGCACAGTGTTGGTGTGATCTATAGCGCCATCTGCTGGTTTCTCAACTCGACCACATTTACAATTCCCCAGAATGCTTGACTTTCTGATGAAGATGGAGATTAAAGGAGAGGGCAGGTAAACATGAAAGGGGCTGAAGGACACAGGCTGAATGTGTTTTTTTGTGTGACACGCATCAGAACATTCGATCCTGTAATCAATCATTCATTTAATAATAGTTTAGATTTTATCCCAAAAAGTCAGATCATGGAAAAATGTAAACACATATTTGTGTATATTCTATTCATTCTGCAGTCGTCATATTATAGAATTAGTTTGAGTCATGAAGATATATCTGTATGTTTACGTCTGTATAAGATTAACCAATTAAACAATTAACCAATCAAGGATTCCAATCACTGATTAGTTGTGATTAATTGTTTGCTACGGGCTTAGATTAGATTCACAAACAACATATTCTTATGTCTAAAAGTCCTTCTCGCTAACATCAAGCATGTTTTTGATATTGTCATCAGCTTTAGACATCTTTGAGACAATAATTAGTCCATAGTTGAAATGTAGCGGCAAGGAAGAGGTGGAACATTGTGAAAGTTGTGTTTTATGTGATTGGTCCAAGAATTACAGAGAAATTAGAAAAGACGAGTCACCAGGGAGGATTTATCAGATTCCCCCCATCACAGTGTTACACTATTGAAGGTAGTGATGTCGCATTAATGCAACCTCTTCGTGAGTTCTGGAGTGTTGATTATAGATACTCTCTTGGAGGCGACAGCGCGGACACTGCCCCCTGGTGTTATGTGTAAGCATAGCTCTCATCGTCGTACTCCAGCTCGTCGTCCTCCTGCAGCAGTCCGTATTTGAACTTCCTGTAGACCGTCCCGTCCTGAGACATGTACACGATGTCCTGGTCTTCCTCCTCCTCCTCCTCCTCATCTTCGTCAGCCTCAATGATGCGACGGCTAAGCTCGTCGTCAAAGGACATGGGAGGAGGGGCGAGGTGAGGGGCGCTATTCAGAAACATGGAAGTTATAATCATAAGTTATTTTATTATCAATAGATTTAGTCAGCGCTAGGCAGAGGCAGCAGGTAACAATGTTTTCCTGGAAGGGCAAAAATTGAATGTGTTTGATAATAAATGCCTGACAGGTATGACAGGTGTAGGTGACTAGATAGGCAACTAGGAATAAGGAATGTAACAGTTGGTCAGAATGGTGCTGTGGCAGATGCATGTGCAGTTCGAACATATGCAGAGAATGGATGAAGAGAGTGATGAGGAGCATTGGTAGACCGAGAGGTAGGCCCAGGTATGGATGGAATGATGGGGTGAAGAGAGTATTGAATGAGAGGGCTAAGACAGTGGTGGAAGTGAGAGTTTGTGAGCCAGAGGGGTGATTGTGAATGCATGAACTGACGGCCTGGCGGGCACTGCCTTCATGAAGCCAAAGGGGATAGACTTTTGCTGTAGAGCTCCAGACTGAAAGCTAAAGGGTAAACCAGGGCCATGACCCTGCCGTGGTGGCACCGGCGGCAGTACTGTTGCAGGGCCTAGGTCTAGGAGGATTGGGCTATAGATAAATGGATGAATTTCTAAAACCCAAATATCTGTATTTCCTCCTCTTTCCATATTTAAATGTGTGCGATGAATGAGTGTATAATTCACATGCTACAACTATTGTAAATATAAATTTACATTGTGCACTAAAACCTAGTATGATGATTCATTTTACTTGTTAGTGACAGTAGCCAATCTCAGACTCTCACCAATATTTCGACTTATATTACCCCATATTAAAGGAGGAACTCTTTGGTATTTTCAATAATAAAGATGTTGCTAAAAATAATACATGCTCAGATTAAAAACAGTTTCAGTCCTGAGCTGCTTGATACAAGGGAGAATGAGTAGAATCAATAGCAGAAATACATAAAAGAAAAATGTAGGATAACGTTTCTGGGAAGCCAGGTTGTATAGAAAGTATCCTTACTTCCGCTAAAGGTCTCTGTATAGAAAGTGTCCTTGCTTCTGCTAAAGGTCTCTGTATAGAAAGTGTCCTTTCTTCTGCTAAAGATGAGTGTGTTCTGACCTGAGGGCCTCGTAGCCTCCTTTAGCCCCGGGGGCAGAGGCTCGGGGGCCGTAGTGCAGGTAGTAGAAGAGGCCGCCGCCTGCACACAGGATGAGGAGGACGCACACACTGACAGAAACCACAGCAGCTGCACTCTGCTCTGTGTCCACTATGAGGCGCAGCTCTCGGTTCACACTCAGGACGCATTGCTCTGAAACGCACAAGGACAGGGTTTTAATCAACTCTAAAACACTCAAAGCCCCAATATTCATCTGTAAAATAGGATTTGTTTGTATAATTCTATTCTTACTAATACTAATCTGCAATACAAGTGTGAGCTACTAAAAAAGGTTCTTTCTGTTCATTGACTTTGTGTGCAGTGCTTTCGGTGGGCCGGTACTCGCCGGTACTCAGTACCACCATTTCCAAAAATAGCTCTAGGGTACCGTTACGCTCATTTGCATATCTTTATTTATTCTTAAACTGCTCCGCCCCTTTTTTCATTACCGTTTTGCATTTTTTCTTTCTAGCTCAAGCAAAAACCATAAACCAATTAATATAGTGTAGATAATTATGTACACTCCTGTAGACAATACATCCAACTAATGTAACTATATAAATATAACTATATAATTATATATAACTATATATATATATATCTAACTATATATATATATATATATCTATATAACTATCTATATAACTATATATATCTATAACTATATAACTATATATATCTATAACTATCTATATATATCTATAACTATCTATATATATCTATAACTATCTATATATATCTATAACTATCTATATATATCTATATCTATCTATAACTATCTATATCTATCTATAACTATATCTATAACTATCTATATCTATAACTATATCTATCTATCTCTATATCTATATCTATATATATATACATACACACACTGACCAAAAGATTGGACACACCTTAATTATTCAAAGAGTTTGTTTTCATGATTATGAAAAATTTCACCCAGAAGGCATCAGAAATATGAATGAACTCATGTGGAATTATGTACGTACTAAAAAAAACAAAAATGAAGCAACTGAAAATATGTCTTATATTCTGGGTTCTTCAAAGTAGCACCTTTTGCTCCGATTACTGCTTCGCACTCTTGGCATTCTCTTGATGAGCTTCAAGAGGTCTTCCAACAGTCTTGAAGGAGTTCCCAGAGATGCTTAGCACTTGTTGGCGCTTTGGCCTTCACTCTGTGGTCCAGCTCACCCCAAAACCTTCTGGATTGGGTTCAGGTCCGGTGACTGTGGAGGCCAGGTCATCTGGCCCATCGCTCTTCCGTTTGGTCAAACCGCCCTTACACAGCCTGGGTGTGAATCTACAAGAATCATCATCTATGTAGAAAGTACTTTATTAAGTACAAAAGCAGAGGGTGCGATACCAGCAGAAGGAACAGGCCCAGAAAGAAGCTGAAGCCAGAGAAGAGGCAGAGTTCTTAAAGAAGCTACACCCAATTTATTTTCTAATGGGAGCGTGATCGCGGGGCACTTGCTGTTGTTTACTGTATGTACTCAATGGAGATTCTGCATCCTCTTTGGCCGCAGTGTTCTGACCCGGGGCAGCTGTGCCGCTTTGTAATTACAGCGGTTCCCGCGTCCAGCGGCTGTGAGCCGCTTTGACAACACAGGACCATTCTCTGCTTGTTGTGCGTGTCTGTACGTAACCTGTGCATGCAATAAAACACTGCTGCAAGAAACAGTCCGTGTCTCCCCTGTGTCGCCTCCCGAAGCGCTACTAAACTCGCTAAATTAAAGTTAGGGTACCTAAATTGTCCCTTGCATTAACAGTTCATTTTGGCTGTGCCCAAAAGTAAAATATTGTGAACAAATCAGTCCAGCCCGACTCACTACAGTCTGTGTGTGTGTGTGTTTGTGTGTTGTATATGTGTGTAGTATATGTGTGTGTACCTCTAGAGGCCTGACAGTCACAGCACTCCCAGGAGAAGGCCTCTCCCGCTCTCACAAACTCGCGTCCGCAGCAGCTCAGACAGCGGCCGTCGTCAGCCAGGATCCTGAGGGCCTCACACAGAGTGCAGTTCCACTGGGACGGGCCCCGACAGTCGAAACACGACACATCACAGGGAACACACACCGGATCTGCAAAACCCTGGACCAGAACACATCCCAAAAAAACATTTGAACCAAAGTATCTATCGGCTTCTTGGTGGAAAGTGTGTTTGAAGCTTATAAATTGCATCTGTTGTTTTCATTCTATATATTTATTTACTTTTCATCTAATTTATTTCAAACCTGCAGGTGTATACAAACAGAAAAAAAAGAAAAAAAGAAGTCCACTTGGTTTGAAAGGGGGATGATGGAAGCTTACGCTTATATAAAATAAGCCGTCATGTCCGGTCATGACAAAAGATTTCTCAGTAAAATGTTTTGATTGAACAAAAACTGGACCAAAGGAAAAGAAAGATTGTTATTGTAGACTGATAATGCCAATGCAAAAATGATTTCCCTATTTTCCTATGAATGAATTGTGTGCATGTTTTCTTGAAAAAAAATATTAAAAAGAGGTACAATATGTGCCATGGTAGCACATAAAGCCCCACTTTGGGAACCCTGAGACCAAGGAGAGACAGCAGTTGTAAGAAACTTCCACGACTAATTATGGATTGAGAATTTAGCTATGGTTTTTAACTATGGATACCGACTCATGAACGGAGCAAAGATCAGTCACCTCCTCTTCATGGATGACATCAAGCTGTACGCCAAGAGCGAGAGAGACATTGACTCTCTGATCCAAACCACCAGGATCTACAGCCATGACATCGGAAGTCATTCGGACTCAAGAAATGTAGCAGGATGGTGACTCGGAGAGGCAAGGTAGTCCACACAGAAGGGATCTCACTCCCAGAGGGAACAATAGCAGACGTTGAACAGCTAGGTATCTCGGTATACCACAGGCAAATGGCAACCTCGAACAGGCAACGAGGAAAGTGGCAACTGCCAAATACCTCCAGCGAGTAAGGCAGGTCCTAAGAAGCCGGCTCAATGGCAAGAACAAGGCCTGGGCAATTAACAGCTACGCCCTGCCAGTGATCAGATACCCTGCAGGAATAATCAGGTGGCCAAAGGAAGAGATTCAGACCATGGATGTTAAAACTCGAAAGCTCCTCACCATGCATGGCGGGTTCCATCCCAAATCCAGCACCCTGAGACTATATGTAAGCCGTAAAGAAGGAGGCCGAGGACTAGTGAGTGTGAGAGCCACTGTCCAGGACGAAACATCCAAACTCCATAACTACATCATGGAGAAGGCCAAAACGGATGACGTACTCAGTGAATGTCTCAGATAGTGGCGAGATGAGGAGGTGCTGGAGGAGAGCCCATCATGGGAGGACAAGCCCCTACACGGCATGTACCACCGGAGCATAACAGAAGTGGCTGATCTCAAGAAGTCCTACCAATGGCTAGAAAGGGCTGGCCTACAGGACAGCACAGAGGCACTCATCATGGCTGCACAGGAGCAGGCCCTGAGCACCAGAGCGATAGAGGCCCAGATATACCACACCAGACAAGACCCAAGGTGTCAGTTGTGCAAAGAGGCCCCTGAGACGATCAAACACATAACTGCAGGGTGCAAGATGCTGGCAGGGAAGGCCTACATGGAACGCCATAACCAAGTGGCTGGCTTAGTGTACAGAAACATCTGTGCAGAGTATGGGCTGGAAACCCCAAGGTCTAAGTGGGAAACTCCTCCAAAGGTGGTGGAGAATGAGCGTGCGAGGATCCTGTGGGACTTCTAGATAAAGACCAACGGAATGGGGGAAATTCCAAGCGATGGCAACATCAGGAAAATAAAAACACGAAAAGCCTGAGAAATACCAAGGTCTCAGAGAGGAGCTGGAGAGGGCCTGGAGGGTAAAGGTGACAGTAGTGCCTGTGGTGATCGGTGCACTCGGGGTGACCCCGAAGCTGGAGGAGTGGTTACAGCGGATCCCGGGAACAACCTCGGATCGGATATCTCGGTCCAGAAATGTGCAGTGCTAGGAACAGCAAAGATACTGCGTAGAACCCTCAAGCTCCCAGGCCTCTGGTAGAGGACCCGAGCTTTGTGAGGGATAACCGCCCGCGGAGGGCCAAAGGTGAGTGTTTTTTTAATTTTTTTATATACATATTAGATTCTAATATATAAATACGTAACAATCATGACTATTTTAAGCAAGAACCTGCTAGACCTATATTGAATTTCACACACCAAATTATACCGCAATATATACCCTCTACCATCTGTGTCCCAAATTATACCGCAATATGAATTTTGGGCCATATCGCCCACCCCTAAGTGAGAGTCTGCTGGGAATGTCTCGCTGAGCCCCCTGTCAGACGGACTTTCAACTCACACCTCCGGGAGAGCTTCTCCCAGGTCCCGGGGCAGGAGGGGGACATTGAGTCTGAGTGGACCATGTTCTCCACCTCTATCGCCGATGCGGCAGCTCGTAGATGTGGTCGCAAGGTCTCTGGTGGTGGACACCAGTAGTAAGGGATGCCGTCAGGCTGAAGGAGTCCTATCGAGCCACGATGGTTTGTGGGACTCCTGAGGATGACTATTGGTCGCCTCGAAGAGATTCTGGCAAACAGTCAGGCGCCTCAGGAGGGGGAAGCAGTGCTTTTGTCAACACCGTGTACGGTGCGGGTGGAGGGCTGCTGACCTCGACTGGGGATATTGTCGGGTGGTGGAAGGAATACTTTGAGTTTCTCCTCAATCCCCCCGTCACGTCCTCCGTTCTGGAGGCAGAGGCTGAGGATGTTGGGGCGGATACCTCCATTTCCCTGGCCGAGGTCACCAAGGTGGTTGGCAGCCTCCCTGGTGGCAAGGCGCCAGGAGTGGATGAGATCCGTCCTGACTATCTAAAGTCTCTGGATGTTGTAGGACTGTCTTGGATGACACGTCTCTGCAACATCGCGTGGCGCTCGGGGGCGGTACAAATGGAGTAGCAGACCGGGTGGAGGTCCCTCTCTAAAAGAAGGGGGACCAGAGGGTGTGTTCCAATTATTGTGGGAGCACACTCCTCAGCATCCCCGGTATGGTCTACTCCAAGGTACTGGGGAGGAGACTTCGACTGATGGTCTTTGTGGTTTTTGTCCCGGCCACGGAACACTGGACCAGTTTTATACTCTCCATTGGAAGCTCGAGGGATCATGGGAGTTCGCCCAACCTGTCCACATGTGCTTTTCGGATTTGGAGAAGGTGTCCTTTGGGGGGTACTCCGGAAGTATGGGATCCGGGTTCCTCTGCTGAGGGCAATCCGGTCCCTTTATGACCAGAGCCAGAGCTGAGTTTGCATCGCCGGCAGTAAGTCAGACCTGTTCCCGGTGCATGTTGGCCTCCACCAAGGCTGCCCTTTGTCACCGGTTCTGTTTACCAGATGAGAATCAGCCAAATCCGAGGCCATGGTGCTTGACCGGAAAAGGGTGCCTTGCCCTCTCCAAGTGGGTGAAGTGGTCCCTCCTCAAGTATCCCGGGGTCTTGTTCACGAGTGAGGGAAGGATGGAGCGTGAGATTGACAGGCGGATCAGTGATGCGGTCGCTGTATCGGACCGTTGTGGTAAAGAGGGAGCTAAGCCGAAAGACAAAGCTCTCGATTTACTGGTCAATGTTCGTTCCCTCCCTCACCTATGGTCATGAGCTTTTTGGTTAATGACCGAAAGGACAAGGTCGCGGATACAAGTGGTCAAAATGAGCTTTCTCGGCAGAGTGGCCGGGCTCTCCCTTAGAGAGAGGGTGAGGAGCACAGTCACACGGGAGGAGCTCTGAGTAGAGCCGCTGCTTCTCCACGCTGAGAGGAACCAGTTGAGTTGGCTCCTGGACGCCTCTCTGGGGAGGTGTTTTGGGCATGTCCCACCGGGAGGAGACCCAGGACACGCTGGAGGGACAATGTCTCTTAGTTGGCCTGGGAACGCCTTGGGGGTCCCCCTGGATAAGCTGGAGGAAGTGTGTATGGATAGGGAAGTCTAGGCGTCTGTGCTTAGACTGCTGGCCCCGTGACTCGGCAACGGATGTAGTGGAAGAAAATGGATGGATGGATGGGCATATTTTCATATGCTTTTGTAATACCTGCTTCATTGTAATGAATGAGTTTAAATTCAATATTGTTGGGCATTATATTTTGGGGTCAAGTACACATTTCAGAAGTAAAATAATTAATTATCTACAGTAGTACTCACCAGAGCAGAACTGGAGTTCTGGTAATTTCCCACCAAACAGTTGGACTCGCAAATGCCTCCGAAAAACTTGTAGCCCTCATAACAGGACAGACAGAAGATGGCGCCCTCATCTGGAAGAAGAGCAGCCTGTCAACACTGTGTCACTCATGGATTTATAATAATCTCTGGATAGGGTATTACTATCTTATAACTGTCCCACCCATGGGCACAGGGGACCTGTGGTACTGCAGACTTAATTCGTGTGGGCTACCCAGAAAAATGTCCCATAGAGCTCAATGTAAACTAAAACAGCTCGACCTCAGCTGACAGAGAACGTACAGCTTACAGCAGGGGTGCTCACACTTTTTCAGCATGCGAGCTACTTATAAAAGGATCAAGTCAAAAGGATCTACCTACTACAAAAATGCAAATCATATATTTCAAAAAATATTCTTTATATCTACAATGTATGTTTATGTACATGCAAAACCGCATGAGCCAATATAGCACAACACAACACAATTACCTATGTAAATTTGTCATTACCCGAGTTTACTCTTATGACTAGCACTGAATTGAATCGGCCAGGGAGGCATAGTCCGGAAAATTGGTGGTAACTCGCTGACAAGTTTGTCGTGGTTTAGCTTTCCTGCACTGAGCGCGTTGTTTGCGCATGTGCAGTCACCTAAGTGTCAGTAAAACATTACTGAGTAAAACACAGATGTCATTTGACTGTGGTGCCATGTCCATGTGCCATGCCTGTTTTTTTTAATCCAAATATTTCCCCTCCTCCGTTTATAAAATAATTTGCATCCACACATCTGCGTTATCAATCACATTCGTAACATTCCAAACATGTGTGTTTCTTACGTCCTGTCCTGCGTTGGGGAAAAACACAGAAGTGGGCGGAGCTTTGATGCAGACGCCGGTAACGGCACTTTTACAGTCATAGAAGACACTCAGAGTAAAGACGTATGTTTACAAGCACTGACCCCGTCCTCAGCCCTGGTTTAGTCCTGGTTTAGTCCTGGTTTGGTTGTTTTCGAGCGTGAGTCCCCGCGATCACTTTGCTGCTCTCTGATGTGGAGGATGTTTGCTGCTGCGAGCATCTCACAGCGAACAGTTTTTAAGGTAGTATGATCCATGCTTCAGTGATCAGAGGAATTTAGGGGGGTACTGTGGCGTGCGAGAACACAAAACTCTGGTTATCTCTGTCTACACACAAATGCATTAACGGAGTTTTCAAAAATCTCCACTTTGCCCGGAGTTTTTTGTATATATTTGTTTAGAATGTGTAATTTTTTATTTATTTAATGCGATCTACCAATACTACCTTTGCGATCGACTGGTAAATCGCGATCGACGTATTGAGCACCCCTGGCTTACAGTATATGAAGATCAAATTTGGTGGAGATTGTGTCTCTTGTCGTCCTGAACCTTTTTTCTTCTTAAATCAGTCAGTTTTCTTTAAATCCACACTTTAATACAACAAATTCTGCTTGTTTTCTTCCCGCTCTGGCTTCGCTCTAGCTCTGCTCTGCTCTGATCAGCAGCTCTGATTGGTCAGAGCGCGGCCGAGCCCCTCTGTGCATGTGCATGGCAGCCACACACGCGTATTTGACTCCCTTCTGTCAGTGTGAGGGCAGGGGTGGGCCCTGCTGTTCACACTTGAAGGCATTATGACCTGGCAGACTACAAGAACCCAGCTCTACAACCTGCTGGTGCCAGTGTTTCGACTAATGAGTGGTGAATGTCTATGTTGGCTAAAAACTGCATTACTATTTTTGACTGTTGCTCCTTGTTTTTGTTGTTTTAATGTGTACCTGTGATAGACAGTAGAAGGAGTGGTCTGAATGTGGCCCCCACAAAAATAAATTTTTAAGTAGGAGACTTTTCTTTTTCCATTGTTAAGGCAAAATGCATTGACAACAATGAAAACTACTATACTTCAAGCAAGTCATTGGATTACACACTTAAATATGATAACAACTTTAACCATTATCCATTTTTATCTATGATTTGCGGTGATTTCAAGTCTGTAAAGCCGTTGTTTTGTAAATGTTACTGCTTTTGACTCAGCCATGCCACATTTGGGAAGCACACTCCTGAACAATGCTAATGCTGTTAAAATAATTTACTTGAAAAATCTCACAATAGTAGGCTACAACCACCGTTTTACCAATCAGAAAGTCAGTGATACGGGCGCCAGAACTCACTGTATCGAGCTAATGCTACTGGTAAAGTAACATGTGGCCGCAGAACTAAAAAAGATCTTGTTATGATTCTAAAATCATTTATGACAAAACAAGGAATAAAACCAGGATTTCTACCGGGGCCTTTGTGAAACAGGTGTTGGCTATAGATTAGTTGTTATGGTCCCAGCTGGAGTCGTCTGAATTTCTAGCAACCTGAGTCAGGGAGAGTGCAGTACCACTTTTGGCCAGATTTTTACAAATTGCTCCTTTAAACCGTATATGTTTTTGAAATTGTGACCACTTCTAAGCACCTTTATGAAAAATAATCTGAACATACAGTAATTCATATGTACAAGGAAGATGTGGAACTTAGTATTTTCAACTTTTGCACCAAACCCATTGGACATTTTAAGACCAGAACGACTGACATCAGCCTGGAGTGAGAATTTTTGTCACCAAAGCTCAAAATGCTTCACCTCAGTAGCTGGCATTCCCCTCCAATAATGAGATGTTGCCCTAAAGTGAATACAAAAGCACTCGTAGAGCACAGACCTCTGCCGGGAGCCAAAGTCCTGCATCCAGACGCTTATTTGGTTCACTAGACCAGGACACACGTTTCTTGATTTTCGACAAATTGTTGCTACAATGATGCAGTTCTCACCGGAGCAGGTTTTGCAGGTGGGGTGACACCTCCGGCAGGTCTTGCTCTTGCGCTCCTTGTAGTATCCGTCGGGGCAGCGCTGCACACACTGTTGCCCAAGTGGCAGGTAGAGGAAGTTCTCCCTGCAGCTCAAACAGTGGCTACTCCCAGGGCCTGAGCACGAGTCACATGAGGGGTCACAACGCTCGCACGCCATGGACACAGGGTTCCCAAAATGACTTGAGAGAGAGAGCAGGGCATCAGTGAGTGGCTATGCAAACTATCAGTCAGGCATCTATGTTGTGGCCATTGAGGAACTTTCACAGAATCTTTGGAATCCGGCTTGACCTTTTATCATTGTGTCACAAGCTGTTACATATGGTGCAAATGTAGATTTGGTGGGAATCAATACGAACGTATTTTACCCCAGTTACTACTGAGTTACAGAATACTTTATCTTTAATCTACTATTTCATATGACACTAGAATCATTTTATATTATCATTTGAGATTATGTTGACAACTATAATGATTGTTATTATTCCAGCCAAAAGGCCTTTATAATTGTAACATTTCACCATAGATCAAGTTCGGAACAATATACTAAAAGAAATACTGGTTGGACAAAAGTTTACTTTCCATCAATCTAAGATTTGTGCCTATAATACAATGATACACCCTATAGGCTTAATTTGTCTCTGCTCCTATCACAACATTTTGCACAATGAAAGTCTCCTTGAGTATGTATGTAACACATGTTTCATTGAGCGCAACACATTTTCTGGGTATAATGGATTAATGTCGAGTTAATTTGCTTAGTAAAAGGAATAGTCAAAGAAACTTCCAGTGTGCTATGTTTCATTGTGATGGGAGTGAAACATAAATCTATTTAAGTGTAGTTGTACAGTATGGCTATGACTTCTTGAAAAGATGAAAATTAGAGCCAAATGTATTCCAGGCCATGTGCCTGGAGCAGTACAGGGGAATATGAGGGGAGTATGAGCTCTGCATAATGACAGAATGATAGAGTGGTACCTGGGGGAGCAGGTGGGCACGCAGCCCCCCGCCTGAGTGTAGAAGCCCTCTCTGCAGCGTTTACACTGCAGACTGTGGCGCCCGCTGCACCGGGCACAGCTCCAGTGACAGCGTTCACACACACGCACCTCTGAGTCTGTGAAGAAACCCTCAGGACACTGCTGCAGACACGATGAGTCTTACAGACACAAACGCGCAGACACACAGACAGACAGACACACACAGACAGACAGTTAAGCATCATGACCAGAACCATCTCAGGACACACAGCGGTGATACAGCTCTTGTCAGCTACAGAGTGGGTGTTCTTATAGCACCAGTGTGAATGAGACGCCCACCACTGTATCATGGTTGAAAGTTCATGGCTTCTTGTGTTCGATAACGCAATATTTAAAAACACTCCACAGTTCTTCGCGGACAAACTCATTTACTGTTATTGCTATCAATATCTAGATCCAGAGATGGAACATCTACGTTCCTGTTTGAGGAACAGCTGTCTGTGGCACATTTCTTCACACAGTAGTAGCTGTAGCTGTAGTCATAGAATTGATGATTTGACCATGTTGCTATGATCTTTTGCAAATCTAAACAGTTTTAAAAGCATGTGGTGGAGTGCACATATGACTCACTGAGCAGAAAGTGTGGACTGTTGCAGCTGATGCAGTGGTCTGCCGTGGGCCCAGAGCAGCTCTCACAGGAGGAGTGACACTTCTGACAGTCTCCTTTAGAGTCCAGGTACCAGGAGGCGGCGCAGCGGTTGTACCACACGCAGTGCCCCGTGGCGTCCAGCACACGGCCCTTTGCACACGAGGCACAGGAGGAGGGCAGGTGGTCCGAGCAGGTGAGGCACGTCATGTCACAGTCTGCAGCAGGACCAGACGCAGGAGTGCAGTTAGTCCTCAACACATTCAAGTAGTATTTATATTCCTAAATATATAAATAAATGTCGAATCAAATTGCACATGTAAATCAAGTACATTTGTGTCGTTTCAACGCTAATAGCTTCCAGATTACACTCACGCTGGTAAAACATGTGATTGAGTAGATAGAGAAACCAAAGCCTGGGTGACAGACAGACCTCTGCACTCGTTGGTGGCCCGGTCGTAGTAGGTGGTGTGGGGACACTGGCCGAGGCACTCGCCCCGGAAGCGAACAGCGCTGGGGTTGGAGCACACGATGCAGTCGTCAGAGTCGGGTCCGTCACATGAGGAGCACTCGCGGTGACACTTCAGACACTCGTGATCCTGCGAGTCCACAAAGAACCCAGAGGGGCAGTCGTCCACACATCCATCCTGATGCAGGAAGTAGAACTGAGCGCACTCTGGACACAAGGCAAAGGACGCAGCACTGTGAGCCCAGCATGTGTTCATGAAGAGACCAAACAAAGACAAATCCTGAAAAAACTAAAACCACAGACTGATAATTATTTTGGTAACAATACTATATGTCTCGATATTCATCCATCCATCTTCTTCCCTTTAATCCATTTCGGGCAGTCAGAGCTGCACCCAATTCACAAAGCATATATTTTTCTTTATATATTTTAGTTTAAAAAAAAAAAATCTAAAACAGCTTAATAACAAGAGAATAGTCAAAAGTACATAAAAGTAGTTGGTGAAAGGTAATAACTCAAACATGGAAAACTTAAAGGTGTAGGAGGATTTTCTACTTCCGGGTGGATCATCAAGACTATTGGTCCTCCCAATTGTCAATCATTCTGGTGCTTGTCAAATAAGACAAAGAGTTTTGTTCAAAAAGTGGAGAAGGTGGTCCTTTCCTAAAATTTGGGGAAATCCTCTGATATACCTTTAATTGAAAAGGAAATGTGGTTAAGTCCAGCTTCAGTCCTGTTGAATTAGAACAGTTTGTTTGAAGGGTTGATAATTGGTCTTATAAATTACGTGTTTCAGTTTCTCTGAACGCTGGCTGTAGTGACAAGTCTTACTGGTGCAGAGGCCGTGGTGGTCACACTGGCTGCAGTCGGGGGGACAGGCCTCACACTCCCTCCCTGTGCTGTAGGAGCCCTCTGCACAGCGCTCCCTGCAGGTGTGGTCCAGCGAGTGCAGGTATGGCGGCTCACAGCTCAGGCAGGTGGAGGAGTTCCCCTGGCAGGAGGAGCACTGAGGCAGACAGGGCACGCACACACCGGCCTGCGGGAAACCTCTGCGCAAACAAGGAACACATCCAAAATCAACATCAACTACAACATCCACATCAGGGACATCCACAGAGAGGCTCCCGGTACAACATTTATTACTTTTTAAACAATGTCTCACGTTCAAATAAACCTGTTACTCACTTTATTTACTTGTGGTTCAATGATTGATGGAGAAAACTGTTTTTGGGGCCTTACTTAAATATGACTTTATTGTCCTGCTTATTTACTGTGTGCTATATAATTAAACTGATACATTGGAAAGATGCTTCATAGTATAAATTTGTATTATTATTAAACCAGTGACATTATGGTAAGTATTTTTTTTTTAAGTTTTATGAAAGAGGCCTGAGCTCTAATGAATAAATAGCAGGCAGTAACAATTATTAGCCAGAGACTTATTCACCAAACTACAGCTGGAATCTAATTGTATTATTTAAGATCAGGGGCCTCTTGAGGTCAAGTCAAGCTAGGCTGCATTAAGGGGCATGTCTATCACATGTTCGCAAAATATATCGGAACAGAAACAAAAACAGGAAAACCAAGAAAAAAGCATTAGTGGAAGGTTTTATAGCTCATCCTTTGTATCTGTGACTTTTTTACATCATGAAGGTATTTTGACCAAATATAGGTAATTACTTTTATGGAATATGAGTTTGATTGAATTTTTATATTTTTCTATGAACAGAATGAGTCCAACTGCTGTGATTTAGGGTTCAATGTTTTATGATAACATAAATGGTGTGTTTGTTTTCTTGATCAAAATAGCTTTAAAACTATGTATAACATGCCATATTTGCACAGAGATTTGAAGTTTGATGTCCACTCTGGGCCCGCAAATGGCCCACGTGTTTGAGACCCCTTCCTAATATTATGAGAATACTACTATGTTTTATTTAGATTTAGACCAATTAAGAAAAATAAAACATCTCTGCCTGTTTGCAAAGAAAATGTACAGGGAATAACTGCTGAACACAAACCAGTTGTGGTGACACTGACCTGAGACAGTGGTCCACACAAACCCCCTCCTGCAGCATGAGCCCATGATGACAACTCAGACACTGCATGGGGTGCTCACACACCATACAGCCGCGGTGGCACTCCTCACAACGGCCAGACGTAGAGTTAGAGAAGGTCCCAGAGGGGCAGCGGCTCATGCAGGTCTGCTGAGGCGTGAGGAACTGTCCTGGAGGAACATGGAACAAGTGATGTCGCAAACTTCAAAGAAAAGTCCTCAAGTCTCTATGTTCAAGACTCAGGTAAGACTTAGAAGTACAACCTTAAGTGTAGAAACACAGATTGTGAAGCTGCAGAGTCACTTTTCTGGGAGAAGTATGGTAACACCATTATCCTCTTTCTACTTTATCTGTCATCATTAGTACTGCAGCTTTAGTCTGTTCATTGCTATTCACCCGCAGTCCCATTGTCTAATGGCCCTGAACCCGGCCTCACCATTGGCACATGTGGACTGTCTTACCCGGCCAGGGCTCGGAGGCTGAACCCCCTCCCCGCCTGGGAGCTGCCCCAGTCCTGCATTGCGTAGCCTTGGTCCCCTTTCTACAGCCTCAATCCTGGATCTAAAGCCTGTTCGTCCGTGGGTCTCCCAAAGGTTTCTCATTTTCTCCGGCTGGGTGTTTTTAGAATTTTTCCTGCAGGAGAGTCCGGATCATCGGACACTAGATATTCAATGACATTTATGGACCAAGGGCTCTGTGTTTTACTGCATTTCCTGTGGTTGAACTGTTTGATTCTCTGATCTGTGTTGGCGAATAAACGTTTTGTAAAGTTCTCAGAGAAAACTACTGTTGTAATTTAAGGCTATTCAACAATAAATTATAAATGTACAATGCAATAAGTAAAATGACATCAGAGGGCACAGGTTGATCAAAGAAGCATCATGGAGACTCATGGCATCATGGACAAACATTTCTGTAAGTAATGCTTTGTGAATAAACTCTTGCCACAGTAGCAGGGCCTGGTGGTCTCACCTGGAGAGCAGCTGAGGCAGTCTGTTCTGTTGGGGCCTGAGCAGGAGGAGCAGGAGGAGGAGCAGGGCCGACAGGAGCCCAGACCTGAGCACGACACACAACTGTTTATCTTCTATCTTAAAATGGACACTACACAGAAATGACATACACACTACAGTGGTACAGCTCCTTAAATAGCAGTGTTCCCTGTTCATACTTTGAGTCTTACGAAACTTCATATTTCCCAGATTTTAAAGGTCATAGCTTGTAAGGCAGGCAGTCTACTGCACTGCTTTAGTGGATAAAACATTGACAGACATGTGTTGGTTATATTTGTCAGACACAATCCTGGTTCTATGTATTTGTTCATAATATGTATTGATTAATTTGATCATAACTATGATAATTTCCTATCATCATATCTTATTAGTAATAATTATAATAATTTTACTTTAGAATTTATTATACTTTAGAAATGTTTTATTATGCCTTATTCTTTCTCTACTTTTGACTTGTTTGCACTGAGAGCCAAAGAAATTTCCTAGTCTGTGACTTTGTGTTACTTACATGGCAATAAAATGATTCTGATCCTATAATTATCATCACACAACCATTATCTTGTATTCATATAGATCAATATAATACACATGTTTCTATGGAGACACTATGGAGACCTTGATGACACGTACATACCATCCTCTTTTCACATGAGCCTCAAAGAATCACCCACTGGGAACTCAGTGACAGAGTGACAAAGTTTACACCTGGGCTGTAGGTTCATGTGTTCATTAAGCTTATTGATAAAAAAAGAAGGCTGGGTTGTGAAAGGCCATCAAAATTACAAAACTTTGTTCACCAGGAAAGAGTGAGAACCATTGACTCATATGTGGTGGTTTGAAATGGATTAAAAAACTGGAGTATCTACACGTTTCCCAGGCTGTTGTCATCTCATCAGAAAACATTTGATATTTTGTGCACTTGCTCTAGGAGTCACGCTCTGGGCTCTTGACCCTTTAAGGGTGGTCTTTTTTCACATTTCTGTCTGACAAAGCTGATCTAAACAAGTTTGTGAAATCTAGTGATGTGACCAGATTGTTTTGAGACCGAGGAAGGAGAATTTTTGTTACATGGTCTATTTTAGTGGTTTGAATGTTAGGACCCCCAGCTTTAAGTTTAGATGTATTACATTGTATGACAGTGATCATAAACAGTAGAATGTTACTTTGGCTGTAGAATCCGTCCGCACAATACTTCTGTGTACTGGGCAAACACTCTCCTCCACTGAGGCTGAAGCCGCTCGCACACGTGTCACAGTCGTCAGAGCGCGGTCCTCCACACGAGGCGCAGGAGCGGTGACACGGCTCACACGCCTGACTCTCCTCATCGATGAAGCCGGAGCTGCAGTGCTCCACACACAGCCCCTCTGGAAACACATGGCTGTGAGAAAGAACAACCAGGAGAGAAAACTGCACTAAAACATTCAAGGACACTTTCAAGTGATTGTGATTTATACATTACTATACATACTATACTGGAGACTTTTAGACTGCAGCCTCAGTCCCGGATCTACAGCCTCAGTCCTAGATCTACAGCCTCAGTCCTGGGTCTACAGTCTCAGTCCTGGGTCTACAGCCTCAGTCCTGGGTCTACAGCCTCAGTCCTGGGTCTACAGCCTCAGTCCTGGGTCTACAGCCTCAGTCCTGGGTCTACAGCCTCAGTCCTGGGTCTACAGCCTCAGTCCTGGGTCTACAGCCTCAGTCCCGGATCTACAGCCTCAGTCCCGGATCTACAGCCTCAGTCCTGGGTCTACAGTCTCAGTCCTGGGTCTACAGCCTCAGTCCTGGGTCTACAGCCTCAGTCCTGGGTCTACAGCCTCAGTCCTGGGTCTACAGCCTCAGTCCTGGGTCTACAGCCTCAGTCCCGGATCTACAGCCTCAGTCCCGGATCTACAGCCTCAGTCCTGGGTCTACAGTCTCAGTCCTGGGTCTACAGCCTCAGTCCTGGGTCTACAGCCTCAGTCCTGGCCATCTGTGGGACTGGATCCATATCTTGTGGGCCTCCCTGGGGTTTCTCACATTATTTATTTTTTTGGTCAATTGTTGCCGATGCAGGAGGGTCTAAGGACAGTGTTAACACCTGTGGACAGTGGTTATCCCACTCCCTATGGACCAATGACTCCTATGTGTTTATAATTGCATTTGGTTTGATTCTCTGATCTGGTGCTTTGGTGAATCTACAACTTTGTGAAGTCCTCTGAGACGACTGCTGTTGTAATTTATATTATATTATTATCACTACATATGGAAAGAGATACAGTAGTGTTAGATTGTACTGAGTGTTACCGGACACGTAGAAGCCCTCTTTACACCAGTAGCACTGGTTCTGGTCACAGTTCAGGCAGCGCTTGTCTTCACATGGGACACACTTCTTCTGCTCCTCCAAACTGAACGAGCCGTCAGGACAGGACCGGTGGCAGTCTGAACCGAGCCTGGAAGACAGCAATACACACTTTACCACTGTTGGGAACAACAAACATTATCATGCGTCACCTTTGGATAAACAATATTCATTTAGGGTTCTAACAAGTGAATCCATTCATCACAACTCATTCATTATTGAAATAGTTGTCTATTAATTTAGTCATCAATTCAATGTTTTTAGAAACTTCCATAGACTTGCTGAGAAGTGGTTTTAAGACTCAGAATGGAATAAACATTTTTTTTTAAATAAAACAACCCATTGCCAACAAGTATCTATGAAGATGTTACACATAACCAATTAATCAACTAATTGATTGTCGAAAAAATAGTTAACTACAGCCCCAATACATACACAGCGGGTTACAAACCGATACTATGCCTCTCATATCTTTAAGAGGACTGGTGTTGTTCTTTTCCCTGGAGTTTGCATTGGATTCCTTCTTTATTATTTTGTTTGCAACATGCACATTGTACTAAATTAATATTTCAAAAACATACGCGAGTAGGTGCATGTCAAAAATCTAATTGCAATGTTTATAATACTCAAGTAGATATATTGCCGTTCTTCACAGGATCTCAGCTGCTTTTCTCTGTACAAACCTACTTTTGTTCCGTATATACACAGGAGGAGTGAAAATCTAAGCAGCAACACTCACTGGTAATAGTCCTCCTCACAGTGGACACAGACTGTGGACTGAACTGCAGCTCCCTCGTCCTCTGGAAAAACAAAGAACATCTGTAAAACATGGTCTGTCCGTTCATTACGTACGCAAGTCATATTTTTTTTTATCACAGTTATTGTTTTTCACAGACCAGGTCACACAAAGGACATCTCTATACCCTTTATGCGAAACATGTTCATACAATGAATAACAGATCAGTCCTGCAGAAGTAATTAACCCTAACCCTCTCCCAAAATAAGTATAAAGAAAATACAGGATAATCAGAACCAGAGGTCAACTAGCAATTTGCTTTGTATATAAATATACACAGAGACATATTACATCGATGTCCTGTTCTGTGCGCTGCATTATTTCCCCACAATGGGACAAATAAAGCTTATCCCTCATTTTACCCTTTGTCGCCAGCAGAGGTCACTCCCGTATTACTATAAGCAGAAAAGACTTCAACGATCTCAACATAAAACAAGGTTGTTACAAACGTAAAACGACAAAAAAAAATATACAAAAGCTAATTATACATCATATTTACAAATACTGTGATACTTGTACACAGCTTTGATTATTTTCCTGTGTCGTTTTTAATTGATTTTGGATAATATTCTTTTAAAGAAAGGGAAGTTGGAATGTTTTTTATTTATTTTGTGAAAATTGATAAGTAGAAAAGGGGGCGGGGTTACATAAGTATTATACTTCTTCCTGCTCCCTTTCAGGCATGATTGTTTATTTTATTTATTCCTTGAAGGAACACATACATTGTACGCGTATACGTTTTTTCCCTGTTCTTACATTTTATTTGGCATTGTCCGAATAAAGACTTCATTACCTCTAATATATTATGCTCATAATAACCATAGCAGCGTTTGTACTTTCAATACTACTGCATTAGGTACTACTAATTTGTTTATTAAATTATTCACTGTTGTGACAAAAACAAAATGTCTGTGCTGTTCATTCAGTGAGTTTGTTTATGGTCTAAATAGTCTACTTCATAGGACCTGTGGGTACATGTCCTTGGTACGGCTGTAGTCGACCAAAGAAATTCTTGGGCGACCAAAGACCTGCCCTGTCGATCCATTACTCAACTACAAAGGTTAGTGTCATGAAAACGGTTGATATTATGTGTGGATGAGCTTCAAAAGATGCAATTTTGTTAAAGGGGCTTTTCACAGCTCATGTTGTAGACCATGAATTTGTATTTTTTTGTATTTTCATTTACTGGTTTATTTGCCTGGGACAGTTTGCATTCATGAACTGCAGTAACTGTAAATACACCAGATCGTAGCTTTTTGTTGCTCATTTCTATCTGCAGTCCCACCGCCACACTCGCAAACACACACTCATAAAACCCTCAAATATTGTACATATTTTTACTGATAGGGGAACCCGGAGCACCCAGAGAAAACCTACGCAGAAATGTTTATTGTTTTCCCATGTCATTTAAACACTCACAATCCCTGCACGTTTGAGTAAAAAAAATAAAACATGGCCTTGTTTCTTTTATAATTTTGCTCAATCATTTCCAATGTATTAAATGTTTATAATACTAAGGTCTTAGGTTATCATGAGTAGCAGACAGATTAGTGCTGTGTTCTCTTTTATGGTAGTGTATAGAGTCAAAAGGAATTGAGTGGAGGTTGGAGGTGAGTGGCAGTAGGTGGGGGTGCGACCCAAGATCTAATTGATCACCTTTCAATCAGCATAAACATGAGAATAACATTTTAGCAAAGAACACTGGCCTCTTCTGTAAAAGAAAGCAGTGAGGCGAAAAACACTTTGTTTTTCTGTCTCTAATGAAACCCTTGGTGTGAAACCGCAGTTCACTCCTCTGTCTTGGTTGTTTTGACACAGTTGGCTGAGACCTGACAGAGAGGTGCATCGTGGGACATGAGGGAAGCAGCCCCCACGCCCCATTCCAGCCCCCCTCCCCGGAACTCTGCAAAGAACAAGACTCTACCTGTGAAAGACATTACTCAAAAGCTGAAAAATCCAACCTCCAGGCTTTGTACTCGCCAAATGTTGTAAAAACAATGCTATTAATAAATAATAATTAAAAAAATCATGTATTTGTTATTTCTGCATGAACGTACTCCTCTTTACTAAAGGACTTCATTAAAGTCTGTGGGAGAACAGGGGGAGTGGGTTAGGACCTGTGGACTGTGAGGTCGCACAGATGCACCACAGAATGTGCTCTGTCAAAGAGACTAATTCAAAGTCTGCCTTTGACAATAAGAGTGTGTCCTACATAATCAACGTTTAAATCGCACCTGAGGCAGCGGGAGACAGAGAACCAAGTCTGAACACTTTCAAGAGACTCTTTGTCTGTTTTTGTCTGTAAACATGTTATCTCGCCTTACGAGGGACAACAGATGGAAACTATAATCTGGCACATTTACACTGTAGTTAGATGTTTATTAATTAGGACTGTCTCTATAAATTTGCACCGTGTCCAATACATTTGAAAAACAGACATTGTGTGATTTGGGCTATTGAAAAAAAGAATACATTGGCTCTCATGTATCACTGCACATGTTGACATACTTTCTCCAAACACCAAAGCGAGTAAATGCAGAGTATCCATGAGTACTTTCTATTCATCAAGTTAGCCGGTTAGCATTGTCCAACCTATAAATAACAGTAAATAAATGTGTTCTGTGCTTGTTTGTCCCTGCGGTCACCATCAGCCAGTCCCCTGTGTCTGGGCTGGCACGGAGTGGGGAGTCCTCAGCTCCGGATGAATGAACGTAATAACACAGTAAAGACAGCTCGCACTTTCACTGGAATGTGTCTGCGGAGTCTGGAGGAAGTGCTTGTACCAACACGAGCTCCAGCCGCAGGCCATCTCACGAGATAGTGGGTGCTGCAACTCTTGTGCACTTACATCCAAAAAGCACTTCAGGTTTGGAACGGCAGCGGCACAAAAGGCTATCTGCACTTTGTGTTTGAGTGAGTGAGAAGTGGATTAAACCAATAACTTGTTGTTGGCCTTTAAAATAATGGAATTGTACATATTTCAAATCTGATAAACGTGAAGCGTTATTATAGTGCATAGTTTGACCATTTGAGATCGCAATATTGATCGATAGCAATTTAACAACAGAACCAGGAAGGCGAAACATTGAGAATATGCCTTCTGACTTAACAGAGAGTCACCGTAATCTTCATCACAACATACAGGTGACACTCTGAACATTAGAAGATCACCTGGGCGCAGTGGTTAGCACTTGCACTTCGCAGCAAGAAGGTCCTGGGTTTAATTCCTCCTCCAATGGTGTGTGGAGCGAGAGACATATGCCCACAACAAATGCCCACTACAAATGCCCACTACAAATGCCCACTACAAATGTTACTATAACACTGTGTGACTCTGATCTGTGAAAGCCGCTGTAATTCAACTTAAAATGTAATGGATCTAAATATATGATTTTATGATACAGACTGTTTACATTCAAAGTGACATATGAAAAGCGTTTATCATTTTGATGATTGATACATCTCACTTTGCTTGTAACAAGCCTGTAGTGTATTAGTTAGAAAGCCAAACTACAGTAGTAAATGGACGTTTGATGACGTTTGACGTTTGAAATTTCCGAGTTTCCCCTGTAATGCAGACATAGTAGCGGATTTTTGTTTTCTGCACAAAGCTGCCATATCATCCGTGCAATGATTAATATTAAAATGCAAAACAAACAATGGTTGAAAACAAGGACTTGAATGGTGGAAAATAAAGATTACTCAAACATTAGGGTCCTGAGGAGTGTGATGCTAACGCCCATTGATTATTTGTGTGTCAGAGAGGACTCCATTTGGAGATTGAGAAAAAATCCATTGAGGTGCGGGTCATTTTAATTCAGTTAAAACAAACTCAAAAATTAAGGTATTTTGGGCATGTGTTAGAGGACGTCTAGACGAAGCATTCACCCAAAATCTCTCCCGTCAGCCGGCCTCGTGTCTGAGTATGTGTATGTAGTGTGCGGCATCATTGTAAGAATGCGTGCGTGTGCGTGTGCGTGTGCGTGTGCGTGTGCGTGTGTGTAGGCCGTGACGCAGTGTTGTACTCACTGTGTCTGCACTCCTTACAGCCCTCATCACACGGGACACAAGCCTCGCTCCGAGAGTCTGCCACCTCACCTGTAGAGAAAGGCCACATATCTAAATAATCAAAATAACAGCAAACTCAGTCCATGTATAACCGATTCCACATCAATGACGATAGTTTTTTTCTCCATTTTTTTTGCATACTTTAACACTGAATAATTAACATGCAGCTTGATGTCGTTGCATGAAGAGCCGCTTTTCTTCATGGGGCAAAACGAATGCTACATGGTAAAAGTCTGCTACAGGCTGTCAAAGTAAATAGTGGTGAAGGATGGTACCTTGAGAACACTGCAGCGGCACACAATGTCCTGCCCTGAGCCGGTGTCCTGGGCCGCAGTGCACACAGAGCAGAGCAGACGCACAGCTGGAGCAGTGTTCTGGACACAGCTCACAGCGCCGCAGCAGAGAGTGGAAGTGACCCTCAGGACACGAGAGGCGACACTGGCCCTCGAACAGGAACCGCTCCACACCATGAGCGTCTGAGAACACGATAGGAATAACACAGGGGTGGACAGTGTGTAGAGAATCAGAAAGCACATGATATATTCCGGCACAGATCCAGCAACACATCTATTCAATATCATGTATCCTAACTTGGACCTTCAACATTATCTTGAACCTTCACTTTGGCATTTCATGTTTTACAACTTGTCTGAAACAATGTCTGAAATATTTCAGTATAAAAGACTAAAAGTGTATGGTATGTCATGACTCAGACCTGGTAACAGTCTGCTGGCCCTGGTCCGGCCCTGGTTTGGGCCCTGGTTCGGCCCTGGTTCGGCACTGGTTCGGCACTGGTTCAGCCCGTGATGCGTAAAACTTACATAGTGCTGTTTAGATATTTCATGACACTTTGAAGCAACTATGGTTAAAGTTCTAACTCTTCATTCTAGCATATGCATGTTTTGTCTATCCACAGCATGAAGGCCAAGCTGCTGGCATTGCGGCGAAAGCTGATTGGACGGTGTTCATTCCGCCATGCTATATTATCACTTGCAGTTTGTAGCACTCTTTGTCCGTGCTCTTGTTCGTGCTCTACCATGACAATAAAACATGTCTTCTGTCTGAATTAAAGACACAATCCCAGACTTTGTCATCGTCTTCAGCTGCGCTAATTGCACACGTTTACCATTTTTGAGGCACTTGGCGTGAGGCGTTTGAATACATTGATTTGAGTCCATTTGAGATGAGAAAATGCAGAATAAAGAAGCAAAACCACAACAAAATGGACTGAACCAGAAGATGGGGGCTGGCACCAGGTCTGAGTCTAGAGGCGACTACCGCTCCACCAGGTGGTCGCCAAGGCCAGTGGTTTCAGTGGGGCATTATACCTTTGTCACAGCTGGTGCAGTTGTCTGGTCCGGCGTCAGTGCACTCATTGCAGGTGTGATGACACGGGTAACACTGTTTGTCCAGTGTGTAGCGCCCCCTCTGGCAGCGGATGTCACAGCGTCCATTGTCATAAACTCTGCAATAAATAATTCCTGTAATAAAAGTATCACTATATTTTTCTCAGTAGACTAGTTAAAGCATGGAGCTGTGAAGTGGAAGTCCACTCAATATTTGAAACTATACATTTGTTTTTTTTCAAAAGAGGATATCAAATGGTTTAACAGAGAGAGAAAAATTAGCAATGAGGTAACAGCCACTCACAACACACTCAAGTTTGACATTTTACCAACTTCCAAAATTTACTTATTAATAATACAAATTCTGATCTTGGCAGCGCTTCGTAGCTAAGCAGGGCAGGGTCTCATTAGAGCCGTGATGGGAGACAGTGGAGTGGCTGTAAAGTGCCAAACTGTCCTGAGGCAAGTATGATTTGGGTGTGTGAATAATTGGAGGTCAGACACTTACTGGGCCCCCCTCCTGTAGTTTATCACTACATCAGGTCAAGAAAAGCACTATTAGAAAACTCTATTCATTATTGTATCATTAAATGTAGAAGTTTTGATCATTGCTCCATCACACATTTTTTGTGTAAAGTTCCATTCCCATATACTGTATGTTTTATGTCATGTGGTACATTACAATGTTCAATGTCTGAAAACAACTGATTGAGATAATTCAATTAAAAGATATCAGAGCCTCAGTATTTGCTCACCTGCTGTTGGGACAGCGGGTGCAGTCCTCCCTCTCGGGTCCAGAGCATCGCAGACATGTGGTGTCGCAGAGGTGGCACTGGCCATGGGCGCTCATGTACTGTCCTGAACACAGCACCACACTCACATCTCACTTACAACCACATGTTTCAGAGAGTTCAGACAATTTAAGGATTATTAAAACGCCAACACATTTTTCACACTCACCATTAATTGTTGTGTGAAGCCATATATTGTTAAACTAATTTCCCACTTTTCATAGAAACGCTATGGGGAAATGTGAAATGTGCAGCTCAGGCAGGAAGTTTTTGTCAACAATAATGGGCAGCTTTACCATCAGAGGATAAAGACCCTCATCCTCAACTACCAGTAAAGACGCCAAGATGTCATAAACCTTAAATGGGAAATACATGCTATTGGGAACTGGAGGATGGGTCATTTTAGTAGTTTATCATTTTCATTTCATTTTGAAAATAGAAAACACATTTACCAACAAAGTGAGTCATACAACCACTAACGTATGTATAACATTCGTAATCTAAATATGGCCTGTGTGTGTAAACTTTCAAGCAGAACTGTATAGTATTTAATATAGTTGATGAACTTAGGTATTCCTTGTCTTGTTGCAAAATGGTCACGTCATACACTTGATTATGTTAGCCAAATACTTATGACAAAGATATATTTGCTCATGTAACCTAGAATATGTCACTGATTTATTTCAAAGAAAATACTTTTGCCAATGAGTAGTTTCTTTTTGCCATAGTAGAAAAAAACTAATAATTTTTCCAATGTTAAATGCTCTGCATGTACATTACATATACCTGTCAAAAGCGACAATATATTCAAGTTACTTTAATAACTGTAGAAATACATATAATGGAAATGGCTTGTGGTTTTGTGACGATTGTGTGTCTTACCTTCGTCTCTCAGTTTGCAGAGTAAAGTGATGAAAGGTGAAGTCTTGTTTTAAACCAGAATTAGAGACGCTTTTGTTCTGAATAGAGCAGTGTTCTTTTTAATGGCACTTTTAGATATTTGTGTCTGCGCGTGTTGGTCCGGGGACAAGCTGCTTTGTCTTCACCCAATCAGAAGAGTGTTCATTGTTCAATATGAAACAATGAAACTTGTTTGTACAAAGACAACAGGCGGCAGCGTCCCATTCACTCGTCTGCTTTGCTTCAGCTTTGCATATTTTTCACACACTCATCAGGAAAGTCCCACTGAGTTCTGAGCAGCGATGCAAGATCAAATTGAAATCACAATTTGATTCACAAATCACAAAGATGCCAAGCATCATAATACCCATAGAGGAAGCTCATAGTGTAGCATGTAAAAGAAACTTGTTCTGAAATGTATGAAATTGTCAGTTTCACCGACATTTCAGAATAATGTTGATGTTCCTGAAGTGGTTTGTTAACATTGAAATTATTGCCATGTTGGTCCAAAAATATGTATATATAGCATTGGAAACAAGACTTAAATGGATGTCAGAGTGACGCCACTGTTATCGCTTTGGACTGAACATAACTTAAGTATCGTCTCTCATCACTGTGAAGATCGGAACTCAGCGCTAAATCACTAATTACTTCAATATTCTCGCACTAAGAGTGTGTGAGATTTCATAACACTTTGAAGCAACTTTTGTTAAAGTTAAACTCATCATTCTATCAATGTGCAGAAGCCTGTACTTTTCCCTTGTTTTGTCTATCTGAAGGCCAAGCTACATGGCACCGTGGAAGCTGCTGATTGGAGGTCTCCATGCCTCCGCTCTGTATAATACACTTGCATTCTGTTGTATCTGTGATTGTGTGCTTTGTTCGTGCTGTCTCTACCATCGACAATAAAACATGTCTTCTGTCTGAATTAAAGACGCCTTACGTAACAGGTAAAAAGTACGCCACTCAAGGCTCCAGACCTGGCGACGCTTTCAAAGGCTTTCCATTTTTCAGCTGCTGCAGCAGAAACAGCTGGAAACAAAAATCATGCCGTGAGGGGCTGTGTATCGATCCTGGACAGTCGCCTATACCCATCTAAACACATTCATTTGTAATAAAAGTTTAGCTTTTCCCTGTGCTCTTAAATGCATCACTGCCCAATGTCTCATTCCGCTCAACCACACACACACGCACCAGCATTTCGGCACAGACTGGTTTTATGTTCTTCAAATCTGCGCACAAGGTTTAAGTTTTACAGTCTATGGGTTAAATGCATTCTTTATCAATCGGATTAAACTGGAGCAGGTGGAGACTTCAGTTTAACTTATGCTTTCTAAACGCACTCATCCTGTTAGTCCTCTTTAAGTGAAAGCAAAAACTATAATTTCATTTCTCCATTGTGAGATCAATAAAGTTTCTTAACTTTATGCTATCTTCTTTAGGCTTGTAGAGTGAGGACACAAATTCTCAACGCAAACATGATATTGCGTACTTACATTTGACAAGGTTTAAAAAGGCATGCTAACTAATTATTAACAATTATAGCTCGAATATTTTACATTAAATTAGGGACGGCACTTTAATGCGTTAATTAGGAATAACTACACAAATACAAAGACCCACATCCGAGCCACACTCGCCCTGGGGACGGCTCTCAGGCTGACTCACTGGAATGCACTCGACTGTAGACCACTTAAGAGTGGTGGAAGAAAAGGGCCTGCAGAATGTATTATATTTCTAAATATGCTATTGCTACTTAAGGGCATAAGTTGCACTGGGCTGTTGGACTTAGTTCAGTCATTATTCAATGGTATACTGATAACACAAGTTGACAGCCAAAAAATGGTCAGGGGTTTCTCAACTGATTTAGACTAATTTTGGTGTTCTGAGTCCAAATATCACATGCATTTTGCTCTATAAAAGGTCAACTTTTTGAGATACAGCCATAGTGTTACGGATTATGTACGTCTACGTTATTATGAATTCTGCTTATCAAATTTGATGGAGTAAATAAAAACTGAATGACTTTGGATACGTTGACTTTTATTTCTTGAGGAAAACAGAAAAACGTCAAGGGTTTCTCAGCTGATGATCCACAGAAATTTGTTTTTAACGCAAAATTGATTAAAAAAAATATTTCTGTAGCAAAAAATCCTGACCTGATTGAGCAAAACCAAGGTCATTTTCGGACTCAGAGCATCAAATAGCAATTAGCTGGAAAACCCTGGACTATTTTCTAAAAATATTTTTTTGTTATCCAGTGTAATGTATGTGAAAAGAAAATCACCGTTTTCAGGTCAGATACTTATATGAGATTAATTACAAAGCCTGTAATTAGATTATTTTTTGTTATTGAGTCCCGGCCCTAATATAAATGCTAAGATACGAGATGATGTTTTGACCCGTTGTAGATGGTTAAGTTTGTTACAGAAAACTGTCCTATTTGAAATATTACCAACCCCAACTGTATTTTGCCAACTCATCACATTTAGAAATTCCTATAAAATAAAAATAAAATACACATAAAAAGTTTAGAATTTAGTTATTAAAAACAAATAATCAAGTTCACATTTCATAACAAAAAAGTAATGTGGTTGGAAGAATACAGTGGTCAAAAACTTAAAACACAGATTAAAATTTTAATAAGTACACTTAAGTAAATAAAATAATAATCTCAAAACTAGGACCTTGAGTAAGACTAAATGCATTGTCACAGATATGGTACACAATATCAACAGCTTAATAATACGAGGCGTGTGCAGACTATCACACAAGCTACCGTCATTTCAAGTCATTTCATCAACCAGGAAAAAACTTAACCAACAGGGAGAGGACCAAACTTGAATACAATAATAAACCCAATCAGGAAGAACGCAGGGGAGAAATCGGATGGTTTTATGAAACTAAAATTAGACTTTTAAGAAAGTTCTGATCAATGATGTAAAATTATAATTCATAAGTAAATTGGAACGGAGCTTCAAATGTAGAAGGAGGCAACATTTTCCACATTCCCGAGTAGAAAAGGACCTGATGGAAAAGAATGTAGCTTTGCAATGTGTGATGGTAATGGGAGGTCAGTTGTGTAAGAGATGTTCTTTCAAGTGTTGCAGTAACTGGCTCATATTCAGGTCTCCACTGTTTTTAGTAGGTTAAGCCAGTGCTTCTCAAAATGGGGGCCGCAGGAAGATGATGAAGCGTGTGATGATGTCGAAATATTAAGGTTTTGAAGCCGCACAAACATTAGGCTAACTCTGTGAAGCAAGTAACATTTAAAAAAAAAAAATAAGCGTATTGTCTACGTTTTCCGTGCAGTGCCATCGAACCAGACCTATTTGTCAGAGTATGGTCTGGAAGGTGCTTTAATGCCGTCAGATGATTGTTTTTGGGAGCAGGTGGACTGTATTTGCCAAATCTAAAAGGGGACACGACAAAAAGAGATCAAGAAGCACTGGGCTAGGCATGTCTTGCTATTAAAGTAGTAGCAATAATAAGTGTGCTGTCAACAAATAATATATGCATCAATTTCCCATTTCTAATACATGGGAGATGTCGCATATGACAGAACAATAATACGGACAAATATCTATTAAAGTGGGGACTGTCATTACACAGACCAGGTCCATTCAATTTGCCCATCTTATAGATAATTCATGGGATGAGCTGAAATAATATATGGATCTCCTTTTCAAATGGAGTATTTTGACAGAATATCCTAGTGTTTATATGTATTTTTTTAATTCGTAAAAAAAAAAAAAAATCATAGTTAAAAAATAATGGTTTTGGGACGCTTCCTCTGTGTGACATAACCCAACAGTCAAATATACTATGAGACTTCTGATAAACCAATTTATTTGAATATTAACATTGTTTAAAATCTATGAATACATTTTATAGAGAATTTGCCTGTGCGAGGGCGGGATAATATAACTCAAAAAGGTTAGGCCCAAACAAGTGCGTCCCTAGATGATTATAATGGACCAAAGTCAAAGCAACATCAGTCTCTCCAGGTTTTGTATGCACCAACATTTTATGGAAGAGGGACAGCAGAGATGAAAAACTACCTCCACCTCAGACGAGCACCTTTTTCATCGTTTTAGCTCACTATATTTAAGTAAATGTAAAACGTAGCAGACGTGTTTGTGATCTGCAGAGTCCGGTAACGAGATGTTTATATAAATTGTTTGCTTATGTAATAAAGTTTATATTTGAAATTACAGCTCCACACTTTTCAGAGTTAATGACACAAGACTGCTCTGAATGTGGATTGTCAGACTTCTTGTGTCTTGATCCACAGCAGGTCAATAATTAGTGAATTCGCGGTGAGCTCAGTCGACTAAAGAGCCTTTTATCGTGGCCCACTTTGAATGGTTCCACGTAAGTTAATTGTTTATCCCTAAAGCCGATCCAACTCTGACAGATTTAAGCGTTTTCTTGATCGGCAACTGAGTGTAAACAGGGAATGAGTGTCAAAAACATTTTTTAAGTTCACTGAAGATTATTTAGATCATGCAGAACAACAATGCACTTTTATGTTCACAATGCGTTTAATATCAGTACACAATTGTCCAATGCGGGGAAAAAACGTTATCTCTGCTGATATGGCCTGATGTAGGTAGTCAGAAGGGTAACAAGAGTAGAAATCGGCAATTTGCAATGAACTTCAAGTTGTTTAAACGTGTCATGCATCTTTGTATCAATGTGTACCGTATGTATTGTCATGTTCATCACAATACATGATCATATTTATATTTAGAATACAGCCTCTGGGGCCGCTTTAGCAGAGAAAGACTAATGTAATTGAATGAAGCAGAGCGTATTTGCACTGGCAGTTACTGTTCTATGAGCCTTGTTCGCTCCTTATGCTCTTCTAGTCTTTCACAAGGATTATTGGCAGAGTTAACCAGCTTGGTCTTACTTCAAGTACAGATGTTGCAAATTGTTGTCTGGGCAGGAGAATCGGAACGTGAGACAAAAATGGGATGAGGTGATTGTGTGCGCATGAATATTTATACCAAAGGCTTACTGCCAAAGTGAAGTCCAGAGTCCAGACACACATTTTCTCACATTTTCTCACATTATTGAACACGCATCCTTTTTATTATTTCATATTAATCAGCCTATATCTTTCCCACCCAATGATCCTGCTGCAGAGGCCAGGAAAGAGGAGCCAAAAACACAGAAATTCCACTGGCTACCTACACTGGCATCAAAAAAGAAAGGGTTTTGGCATCGATGCTTTGGTCACATAACTTGAATATTTCGTCCCTGGCGTGTGTCCCTGTACAGATAAAGGTAGGTTTGTTGTAGTCCTGTGTCGCGCCTCCGTTTGCAGTCCGTTAGAGGCACAAATTGTTGTATAAATTATGTGACGCTCAGCCCTTTTGCGAGCATGTTCGGCAGCACAGTTGTTGCAGTACTTTCCGCTGGCAGAGATTGTTCCTTTTTACGAGCACACAGAAACTGCCCTCCGCCCAAGATTCTTCATTTGCTTTCCACAGATCACGAAGAAGAGATACAGCAAGAGGAAACACAGGTTAAATCAGAGCGGTGTGATTGGTCAGCGGTCGGTGGTCCGGTGGAGGGTCCGTTTCAGAGGAGAGAGAAGAGAGATGAGGGAAAGAAGAGAAACAAACGACACACAATTAGCAAAATGTGGAAGTCCAGGTCAAATGCAAACATCATAAATGACCTTTTCTGATCAAAACCTCAATGTTGATTTACTGTTAATCAAAAATACAATGGACATGAAGGCCATATAATTAAAATAAAGCAGGGTTCTCAAGCCTATCCAATCCGCAGTGTGTTCCCCGTTTTCAGGTTAATACATTGGCAACTCATGGTTTAGCTGTAATTGTAGTATCATTATCATCACATTACGGTCACAGAAAGCAGTCAACAGAAAGGTTGTGGAATAAAGGACAGAGGCAGGCAAAGCAAACATGCAGGAGTTGGAAATGCTGTGAGAATCAGTGCACAAATCACAAAGAAGAGACCACAGGAGACACAAAGGACTTTCCAGCCTGAGGTGGATCTACTGTGTTTTAGTTATATTCCAGTGTTAGTGTTAGCTGCCGTTTAGTTTAAATATGCAGGAATTGGCAAAAAGCTGTAAAGCACAAACAGAGCACTCTACTCGCGTGAGCTCACACACAGGTTACATGGATGTTAGTAACAAATCAGTGTTAATGTTAGTTTTCAACGTGATCTTTGTGAAGCGTTCTATGACATCCAGAAAAACTCAACCCTTGAAGGACCATAACCCACCAGTGTAACGTAAGGTGCATATGACAGAGATATGTTTAATAAAAACATGGTGATAATTTGATGCGTTCCTCTATGATTATTTCCTTAACGATTATTTTGATAATCGATAAATCTGTAGATTATTTCTTTGATTATTCAATTAATCAGATTAATTTTTATTTTTTTTATTTTTCATCCCTTTATTCAAAAACGTGGCCACGGACCAACACAAAAAACATACAAATGTAATCTATGCAGTAGCTGCAAAAATTTGATGCTTTTTTTTTTTAAGTAAAGTGCATAAAAAGAGCTATTTTTTGTTGTTTAAAAGGGACCCGAGCAGTCAGAACAATAAATAAATGATAAATAATAAAGAGTGGCACTGTCAGACACAAACGCACAATCACAGACATGTATGAGTGTATACACTCTGAAGCTGTGTGTGACCGAATCATGTTGCGACGAGTTTCAATTTGGGTTGTCAAACGATAATTTTTTTTTGTTGAGTTAAAAATGAATTAATCATAATTAATCGCATTTCAAACTATCAGCAAAATGATGCCATATTTTTCTGTAACTGGTTGTTTGAATGAAAAGATAAATGACAAAATAGTGTACAAATGTACAGTATTTATTTATTATACAATACATCTATATAAAACGTCATCAACATTATTAACATTCTGTCTTTCGGTAGTAGACTCAGACCAAAACTATTATTTGTTACAGATGAGGGACATTTCAAAACAGTCTGAGGCAGAATTTCATTAAATCTGTTTGATTTGCTCACACCATTTACTTTTTTACCAAATGCAAAGTCAATTTCTATTGTCTGTCCATGAAAGGAATTGCATGGACGAACCAGGAGACGAACATCCTCACTCCACTCACGTGCAGCAACCAATCAGAGAACAATGGAGGACGCGGTGCTTGTGAACATATGTCATAATGACATTTTACTGTGACTGTAAATAAGTGTTGCTAACGTGTTCGCCAATGTGGAAGTACCAGCGTTAGCATCAAAGCCCGCCCACCACTTCCGCCCTGCGTTTTCCCCAAATCTGGACGGTACAGCAGCAGTTCAGCCTGATCAAACTCATGCAGCTGATATTCAGTGAAAGTGCGTCCATGCCTCCATCTACGCACGTGCATCGTCTGAACACAGCTGTACAAGAATACGCACAACTCACGTTAGCGCGTAGTGGGTGGCGTATTAATCGCGCGACTCAACGAATCGATAATGAAATTTGTGGCCAACACTTTAACGCCAATAATCGATTTTTATCAATTTTATCGATCTGTTTTTGCAGCCCTAATTTTTACTCAACTTTGCTTAACCAAATATTTACCAGTCGTTATCCCACCAAACGACATGACTGGGTAATAAACTCTGTCATATGCACTTTAGCTTAGATGTTTGGCACGTTCGCAGCAGAACTCACCATCTTTGCAGATTGTGCTGACCACACAGGCCCCGCCCTCCAGGTTGTATCCACTCACACAGGTGCTGCAGTTCCTCTCTCCTGGGCCCAGACACTCGTAGCAGCTGTGGTCACACCTAGAAAACACAAACCACTATTTAGAAACGGTCAGGAAAGAACTGGGGAAAGGTTTCAGTTTCAGGTTGAAGAGTAGCTGTTCATGGAGTTCATGCTTCATCAGGCTCCTCAGCTCCACTCGCACAGAACACAGGGAACAATCAGTCCACACGGGAAAAGCCCCATTCACAAAATGGGAAGTGACCGGGACAAACAAACACTTGTAAAAGCCACATAATACAGCAGCTGGTCATGTGCCTCTCAAGTCTGGAGAAAAAAATTCAGCTAAAAAAATACATTTCTGCTATAGAAATGTTTTAACAATACTCCTTTTAAGCGCCTCAATGTTTGATTTCTGTGTTATAGAAATTATTATTAGGTTGGACAAATTGCCCAATATCTTCCTGCACTCTGTCGCGCTATTATCTGCCACAACTGCGTCAACCCCTCGTTACTGAATGAAAGCCCTTCCACTTGCACTTCTCTGCTCTTACTGCTGCAACAAAAATGCGCAACAAATAATTCCTGATATGAAGCTTGGGCCCGGGTCAAGCCCCCATTTTTCACAACACTCCAAACAAGAAATAACAACAAGCATTTCCTCATTTATAATGACTTTATATTGATCAGACGACTTTCATCAGATCGTTATAATCACTCTTGCTTTGATATTCAGGCTAAGTGCGCCTTTAACTCCACCCACATGTCACTCAAAAGGGAACGTTACGCACAGACCAGTGGGAAAACTGGAGGCTCGCTTTGCAACGAAGCGGACAGAGTGGGCGCTGAGGTTTGACTGCGGCAGCTGTGGCGCCACAATGCGGAGCGCAGGTAGTGGAATTGGTCCCTAATTGTACTTCATCTTCATTGATAATGTGCCCAACCAGCAATGAAAATTCTTAAAAACAATCTTGTTTTGTGAAAAGTAGAATCCAAACTAAGTTACTAATCTTGCCTGATATGGATTTCCTTATTCCATGCTTCTTGGGCTAGATGTTTGGCATCTGTGAGGCTAGCATCTACTCTGGCAACGTTCAAATCAGGGTTAAAAACTGTTCTTTTTAGCTGTGCATACGACTGAAGGATTTTATTGATACATACTCTTTTTTAAATGCATTGTGGTTATTTATTATTTTAATCCCGTGTGTGCTTTTAATGTTTTAAGGTTTTTAATTACTTGTGATTTTATTCTGTTTATAATGTATTTATTGTTTGTATATGTAGATTTTTAAGTTTCTGATTTGTCTGATATTATGTGGGTTGTGAGGCGCTTTGAGTGGCCTTTTGTTGGAAAGGCGCCATACAAATAAAGTTGATTGATTGATTGATTGATTGATCCGCTATATTTTATTTCTCTGTTAACTACTTGACACTTTTGTTATTTTAACTTATTTATTCATTTCACATACTTGATGTCATTATATTGCTATGTGTGAGAAACCATGTCCAAGTAATTTCCCTTGAGGATCTGCAATTTCTTCACTGCAAGTCTAAGAATGTCTCAAATCAGACGCTGCAGAGCACTCAGGCTGCAGAGCCAATATTCTGATTGCTATATTTGAGTGTTTGGTAAAAATACTCTCTGGACCAGAGTCTGGAACACTATGTTTCAAGAGCCTTTATTTGGTGCAATACTGATTCATTGTTTTGTGACCTCTGCAAATCATGTGTGTAATAGTTTTCCCAGATTCTTGTATTAATGCAAACATTTATTTTGCAGCAACAGCTGTGATGAATATTTATCAATACCAGGGATGTGGCAAGATGAAACATGACTTGTATTCTTTATGTGAGAGGATCAATGTATGCATATTTGAACAGCTGTAGTTAGTAGAGTCCTTTACATATGTAGAGAGAGAGTCTATTTTGCAGTGATGGGACCAACAACATGAACCGAGAACAGTGCAATGAAAAAATTACTCCAATGTTAGTTTAAAATGTTGAACGTTGCCAATCATTTCTGCAAATGTGACGGATCAAAAAGAAAATAATACCACATTTAAGAACAGACAAATCTAACAGTCAAAAAATTAGTCTGGTCAAAATCTTTGCTCGTGTCTTTACCCCTGTTTAAATTACAAGATGAAATCCAATGAGATAAGTTGTTGAACTCACTTCTTGCATGCACGCTGCACCAGTCCCTGGTCCAGAGTCTCGGACAGATAGTAACCGCTGCTGCAGGTGGACACACACCTCCAGTCCTCCAGGATGTAGCCATCTGCACACTTTGTACAGGCTTCTATCCCTGTGCCTGAGGACAGAGGTCAACGTAAACGTGCAGACCATAGTGTTTTTGATTCAGACAGAGACACATGAAAGTCAGATGTAGTAAAGGCAGTAAAATATGCTGCACATTCACACATTATAGCAAACTGAAGGCATTTGCCAGAGATCTTTGTTGCAAAAGACGCTCTCTATAATTCACCCTTGATGGCATTAACTTGGTCAAAATACCTATATAATGAAAACTAATGAAAAAATACATTCAATAAAAAACAACCAGATGCAAAATATGAGCTTTCAATCAAGAAAATTATGCATGGTATAAAAGGAAAGCCTGGAAAAAGTTGTGTCATGTTTTTTATAATAATAATCTGTAATTTTATGTCACTGTGTAAAAAGGTCCTTAATCTCAATGGGACATTCCTGGTTAAATAAAGAAACATTTTCCATCTTAACAACAGGGTAGATGTAGTATATACAAGTACATACAGTGCCGTGGTATACAGTCGTGTGGTATACAGTCGTGCGGTATACAGTAGTTTACCTGCGCAGGTGGCACACGCTCGATGGCACGGCTCACACGTTCGTCTGTGGCCGTTATAATACGTTCCTGAATCACACGTCATCTGACACCGGTTTCCCTGGAGACTGAACATACAAAGAAAAAATCATTTGAAAAGTTGTATTTTGAGTGATTAATGCTGTTTGAGTATTGGTTTAACAACATGAATAATGTATCTTCTCAGCAGTAATCATTTTGACAAGAAATGTTGATTTGGTTTTAGTCTTTTCAAATTGTATTTTTTAGACCTAAATTAAAACAAATTTAGTGAACTAAATTATTTTTTTGTTAGACAAATTCCTATTGGGATATTAACATACTGTATAAAGACTTTATAAAGTACCTGCAGATTTTAATAAGAGCTAAATGCTAAATGCTAACAACAGACTCGGGCGCACTTCATACGTCACGGTAAACTCAACTTGTAACGAAATGTAATTTGATTTGTACTATGGTGTGGTACGACCGGGGTACTTTGTTGTGACAAACGGCATGAATTAAATACAAAAGGATCAAACCATGGCTTTGTTGTGATCGGTGTAAAGTCTTTGCAAAGAGCATGACATGTTTCCAAAGAGGAAAAACACCAGCGTGAATGGATTAAAAGATAATACAGCTGGCCAGGAATATCGTCGCTGTTTACAACAACACGAGGAGGATGTGATGGTTTAGAGCATGTTGCACCTGTAGCTGCTGCTGCGGTGGACGACAGGTGCAACATGATCAAAACAAAGCGAAAAACACAACACGTGAAATGAATAAATATAAGCGTTTAATCATGGCACCGTGCAACAAGGTGCACTGTGATTGGCCTTTGTCGCTCATTCTGCCCAATTTTTGTCAGAGCTTGTTTTCTTTTACTTGATGACAGAAAAGCAGTTTTTGTCAATGTTTCAGTTATTTGTTAAATGCTTTTTGTGGTTGAAGACGAGACCAAATCTAAATGGAAATGATTTACAAATTTTTGTCAACAAAAGTAACACTGCTTCACAACTGAGTGTTTTTTCCAATAAGACAAAAGTGTAATGAAGCTCAGAACTGCTTATTATCTGATACATTAATTACATTGTTTTTCTACGCCTTTTTTATTTAACCAGGTAAATCTCGTTGAGATTCAAAGAAGGATGTCCAATAAGCCTTTACAATTCAACTCTCAAAACAAGCTACATTAAGACGGATAAAGAAAGTTTTCTGCTATGTCTGCATTTTGTAGTGATGTTTATGGCAATGTAAGGTCATAGAAATCTGTAATTTGTTTGAAATTAAAATATATTACATTGAAAATTCCCCGTTTTCCATGATATTTACCTGGTTCCAGGTTTACACTCGGTGCAGATGTTGGCGCTTGTGCACTTCTTACAGTTTTCAGGACATCGTCTGCAAATGTTTGAATCTGGACACACACACACAAGCGAACACAAACACACACACACACAGATAAACAAAGCGTATCTGTTTCACATCACTGATATTCAATTGCTTTCTGTCAGACTGAAAATAAAGATGGTGGAAATTCATGGATTACAGACCAACGCAGAAATGCACGACTATTGAAGATTTGATAAAGCTTTGAAACATTTAGTCACAATTTACATTACTGCCAGTATCTAAGTAACAGTTCCATCACTGTTATAGCTAAAATTAAGGCCAAATAAAAGGCCAATGATGCTATACCTCTGTGATCAAGGAGGAACCAGATCCACCATCTTAAGTTTGCTGAAATGTATTTAATTTTCGTTGATCCCGTAACTTAAAAGTATAGGTTATGAAGACCCCCCACCTCAACAGTCCTTCAGCGTCGCATGAAATGAGCACGTATTTCCTTGATTGTAAGGCTTTGTACACATCACACGTCATGTGAAGCATATTCTCGCGCCCATGTTATCAGCGAGGACCGTCCACAAAACACAAGGAGACTAGCGTAGTGGCACAAAGCTTCGCGTACTGAGCTGCACTCGCCAGCCCAAAATAAGAGCCTTGCGTATTTTTATTCGCGTAGTGATGCAGTGATGAGCTTAGTGGGCTCCCCCCTTAGCAGAGGTGGAGGGCATTTCTTGCGGCTACCCGCTTTTAATGTGCGGACCTCTTTACCGCGGACTCCAAAAAGCCAGGCCTCTTTACCGCGGTGTTCTCCGCTCCGCTCAGATGTTCCCTCCGCTGTCTTCGCACGATCAGCCTCATCTCTAGCACATGTGACTTTTCTCACCCTCCGGGTTTTTCTGTTGTGGATATTAACCACATTTCATTTTAAAGCAGATAATATGAGTTTGTAGCCTCCAAACACCTTTAGCTTTAGCAAACAACAGCAGGGCACGCTTTGTCGCTGCATGATGTAAGCTGCGTAACTTGATTTTGATTGACGCTGTCAATGTCTGGGACAAAATTACAAATGTAATTAAAGCATTTTTTTCAGACTCTTCACTGAACACAATTAAACAAGTAGTCTTTTTGAATCAAATCAAATCCTAAATAAATATTTAAGGGCTATATATTTTGTTCCATGTTTTTTTTTTTTTCAAAATCATCTTGCGACCCCCACTTTGTGAACCACTGATCTAGATATTAGTACCTAGATCTAAAAACAACTCCAGGTCCATTTTTGGTGAGGACCCTATGTTGTAACATGGCTAAATATAAGTAAGATATAGGATAGTTGGTCTAAAACAGGCTAAAGGGTCTAAATCGTTGTTTTAAAACATACAGTTCACTTGTGTGGAGGGTTCCATGTTTACCTTGGTCGAGGTAGAATGCCTCAGCACAGTTGGCCACACAGGTGTTGGAACCTTCATTCAGGTGGAATCCAGGGCGGCAGGTGCTGCACTGGTCACTGCGGCTGCCCACACACGTCTCACAGGACGAGGAGCACTTCTTACAGCGCTTTCTATCGTCACGGAAGAAGCCACTGGGGCACTCTGACACGCACATCCTGAACACAACCATACACAAAAACACTTTAGGGATGAGTGAGATTAAATGCAAGCAAATGGTAATGTTTGATTAATCTAGATGTCAACAAGATTTGGACCCCATTGGCCTGGGTAAAATGTGAAGTTAACGGACTATATCAAATGGCAAATGAAATTAATCTGAAATATTAACAATGCAATCTGAAGTTCATTGAATAAGATTATTTTCTCACTTTTCTATGTGCTGAAGGATCCAGCAAACCAGACATTTTAAGAATTTGAATGTATTTTATTAATCTCAGTAATTATCCTCATCTTTTTGAGACATCGTTAGGACATGTTTTTTAAGACTAGTGTCTAAACTACGGCCATTGATGGAAACATGGCCCTCAGAGTAATTGGTCCATAATTGTAATCTCTATTATCAACTCTTACTCAATAATCTTTTTTTTTTTATCAATACATTTAGCTCTGCTCCTGCAATGAGCAATAAGGAGATCATAAATGCCACGCTCGTGTCTGTGATCTGTACAGTAGATTGTAGTGAAATATCAGCATGTTCTCACTTGGTGTTGTTCTTGAACTTGAGGAAGTAGTGCAGGCAGTTGATGCAGTGATGGGGTCCGGGGCCCTCACAGCCCTCGTTGCACTCAGGGTCACAGGGGCCTGGGCACACACACACACACACATACATAAGACCAAAAACATAAAAGACTACTGCAAACAGTGATGACAAAGGTTAAGGTGTCAATGCTCCACAATGTCACCACTCTCTCACAGACCTGCAGTCACACAATGGTTCTGACCCAAAGGAGCATGGCCAGTTTAAGATGGGCCAAGTATCACCTCCTAGCCTTCCAAAGAATCATAGACAAACAAAAGTTCCTACAGTCTTCATTATTGGAAAAGATTCACATTCTTTTGACCAGCGGATTTATCAGTTACCGTTGTACTCCTCTGTGAACTCCTCCTCTGTGGGCGACTCGACGGAGCGTGGTTTGTCACTGCGGGTGTACGGGTGCACAGAGGTGCCGTATAAGACCAGAGACCACTCCTTCAATTTACCTGAAACACAAGTTTTCTCCAGGTTTGATAGTGTTGTGAAGATAAATGATAACTAGTGGTTGTGGTAGTTACTTTTGCTTAATGTCCCTATTAAAGTGTTATTTGTGAATAAAAAACAAGGTCACTCTAATAAGAAAAAGTTGGTTCTCAGTAGGTCTTAACTGAGATCAAACTTTTCTTCATCTCAGTTAATTAAAGGAATAGTTCACCGTTTTTACATACTGACATATGTTCTTACCTTACCTTAGACTAGTTAATACGTACCTGTCTGGTCTTAGTCCGTGCGCTCTGTCATGCAAACGGAGCAAAAACGGGAGCACAAACGCAGCCTCCTCTGTATACTGTGTAGGACCAAAAGGTAGCTCCCGCTAGAAGCTACCAAACTCTTCCAAGTGTTCCCTATTAAATGTATATAGTTACGTGACGTGTTACACTGCAAAGTATAGTAACACAGAAATGTAACAGTCGATTTTCTCAGCGGATAAAACGGGTACTATATTGTGAGGCGTAGTAATCTGAGGGGCGCTACGTCCGCGCACTAACTTCTCTCCGTACTACAAGTCACGCTGCTTCTATTGACGGAAGTGAGCGAGAGAGAAGTCTCCGGAGAGAAGTTAGTGCGCGGACGTAGCGCTCCTCAGATTACTACGCCTCACAATATAGTACCCGTTTTATCCGCTGAGAAAATCGACTGTTACATTTCTGTGTTACTATACTTTGCAGTGTAACACGTCACGTAACTATATACATTTAATAGGGAACACTTGGAAGAGTTTGGTAGCTTCTAGCGGGAGCTACCTTTTGGTCCTACACAGTATACAGAGGAGGCTGCGTTTGTGCTCCCGTTTTTGCTCCGTTTGCATGACAGAGCGCACGGACTAAGACCAGACAGGTACATATTAACTAGTCTAAGGTAAGGTAAGAACATATGTCAGTATGTAAAAACGGTGAACTATTCCTTTAATACATAAAGGCAAGGCAAGTTTATTTGTATAGCACAATTCACACACAAGGCAACTCAAAGTACTGAACAAAATAAATCGAGCCGCAGCTCATGAAAATAATCTGACAAGAATCAGATTAGGAAACGGGGGCCTTGAAGATGTGCAGACGAGTTCATTATGATGGATTTTTCTCTATGATCAGAAAGTTGTAAGGCAAGATGACCTACTTACAACTTTTTTTTTGTAAATAAAATATTACAAAAACAAATACTAAAAAAATTGTAATTATCTTGAAACTATTATGTATAATTTTCTAGTATATGCACAAATAAACAGAACTGCTTTAAACCTAGATTTGAACTCTCCCTGATCCTCACACACAAACATTGATGCGTACCAGGGACTTTCTGGCTGCGCAGCTGGAATGGAGAGTCGTAGATCTCCAGGACCCAGTCACCTGCCGCCTTCTCCCCCCAGCAGTGCGTGGTCATGAACTCCCAGTTCTTAAAGCCCTCGGTCGAGTGGTCAAACAGCCTGCTCGCACACAAACACACACAAACAAATGTATAAACTTTGAATACTATATATGTAAATGAATGTGTATACAGTAAATGATGAAGTGTGACCTGTTGGCCAGCAGCTGAGACTTGGTGCCTGAAGGGGAAGTGAGGTTGATGGACAAGTCTCCTCTTCTCGGGTGCAGGATGGTGATGCGGACCACCACGTGCTCCAGGTAGATGACCTGGTTGTTGGGGCTGTCAGGGCATCCAGTCGCCTTGTACACAGAGCGAACAACATGCTCCGGTCGAATGTTTCTGCCGCAGACAAAGGAAGCGCTTTCATTAAGAACTTTTGACATTTTTAGTTGGACAATTGTCACAAGAGGAGGAGAGCAGAAAGCAAGCAGTTCAGGGTCCTAATTACATATAAATATTGCACTTGTTTTCACAGAGTTGTACAGTTTCTTAGCCTGGTCGTACCACACCATAGTACAAATTACATTTCGTACTAAGGTCTGGAGGCGCTCCATTGAGCTCCGTTTACAGGTGGGAGGGGTTAACTCCTTTTGCAGATTGAAACGATTGGATCTGAGTTTACCGTGATGTATGTAATGCGCCCGAGTCTGTTGTTAGCATTTAGCATTTAGCCTAGCCATCTCCTTTGCCGCTAACAGAGCCCGTGGGGAGTAGCGCCACAATTTTTTCTAGCGATAACATTTGAAAAACATTACTCTTGCTCCTGCTTCAATTTCTTGATAGAACCAGACCGGATTACTTGACGATCGCATTTTTCGCCTTTACCAAACTACAACCTGCCTGTTCGACGCAAACTCTTGACTTCACCCACAACTAACTACAACACCTGCCTCCCGCGCTCGCTGATTTGTCGGTCGAAATTCAACCGATTGTAATCGCTAACCCAGGGACTAGACCCAGACGTTACATGCAGTGAAATGATGATTGAACGGAGTGTACGGATGGCTAAGGAAAGGCTAACAGTTTCTATGTTATTGCAAGAAATTCTGCGGTAGTTTTTCCGAAGGAGTCGTATATGTACAAAACATATCACTATATCAATTGTACCTTTAAACACAAAGAGCGCAATGCATAAAGTTTGCTCCCCGAGAGGTAAGTTTGTTTCTACTTTACAGATATAGTAGAAACAAATAAAAATTACAGCCGCAAGCGGCATCTAACGGCCCTCGCCGCACCGCGCAAAGGAGGTGGCGCTGACGCGCCATTTTTTTGGCCCCCCTGATGGGAGCGACACTGTGCATTTTGAATTACTATGATTAGTGATTGTGTTTCTCTATTCAAAAGATATACCTCATTTTCCCCATGTAACACTTGTATCAGTCTGTAGGGGGCGCCATTGTTGCAATATCATGATTCACACCTTCAGTTTACCCAAACCCGAGAGTTGAACTATCAACTCAAATTTTGTGCAAATCGGACTTTGTATGTGCAAACGGAAGGCATTTATGTTGTAAAATAGCGCCCCCTACAATTTAAATTTTTTAGTCTTATACCAAAGAACACCAAAATAATACACTTAATGCCTGAAAAAAACTTGTGGCAAAGTTTGGTGAGTTTTTGTGTTTGTTCAGTGGGTCAAATATGAGATCAAACAACATAAAACCTAAATACCTGTATCCCCATGTAAACCTTTACTCAGACTGTAGGGGGCGATAATGGGCCAATGTCATTGTTCACACTGTCATGTGACCTAGGCCCAGGTCACATGTGACCTAGGCCCAGGTCCTAGCCCTACAACCGAGTCAAGTTTAGTGCAAATCAGAGTTTGTGTATGTGCAAACAGGAGCACATATAATCTGTGAGTGTGTCCATACAGTCTCCATTGGATAACATGGGAACTTGACACCTCTCTATGAAAATAACCACCCTTTGGGAGTCTGTCACGATCAGACCGTTTGACTAATTAAAACTCTATATGCAACTATTGATGGTCCATGTGTGGACACCATGTGGAGCGATTTTCAGACAAATTAGGGAAACGGCCGTGGCTGGTTTGATGTTTGAGCGAGGTGTACTTTTCAGAGATTTAACGATTTTCTCATAGACACAGACAGGGGAGTGTTGGTCGTCGCCACGGCAACAGGGTAAAAAATAATCATATGTTGTCATTGACTTTTTGAATCCAGATGACAAAACAGAATTATGTGCAAAATTTCCAACATTTTGACAAAACTAAATTTTAAAAAGCCCATGTAAAACTTTAACATAGTCTGTAGGGGGCGCTAATGAGCCAATTTCAATATTTCCACTTTCAGATGACCTAGACCCTGGAGCTGAACAATGGATTAAAATTTGGTGCAAATCCGGCTTTGTTTGTGCAAACGGGAGCAAATTTACTTTTGTCAAAAATCCCCCAAAAAATGTCACATTTTGCCGCTCCGCTGCTCGGACAACGTTTAATTGATCCAAATTCTATATTCAATAATAGATGGGACATGGGTTTAGACCATGTCGAGCGATTTTGAGACAAATCGGTAAAGCGGCCGAGGAGGAGATAATTTCCAGCCGACATGTGTGAAAAAGATCAATTTTCATTTTTCCATTTTCCAATTAAATTAATGAGCTTCCTGTTTGTCAGGGGGCGGAGCCATAATAACTTTTTTTTTCATGTCTTGACCTGAGGAACATGTGTACCGAATTTCGTGGCTCTACGACAAACTTGACCTTCGACCCCCTCCCATAGGCGCAATGTAAACTGACTTTTGTATGGGGCGCTGTTCCGTCATTTTTTTAGTCCCATAAAAATTAATTTTTCACCGGTTCTGAATTTTGGGCAAAATTTCACAACTTTTCATCAATGTTCAGGGGGTCAAATTAAGGTTCAAAGTGCAGAAGAAAAAAGAAAGAAAGAAAGAAAGAAATAAAAATAAATAAATAAGGAATTTTTTTTTCAAATCTTCGAGCAAAAACAATATAGGTTTCCATAGTAACCTATAATACAAATGATACGTCGTTTTAAAGCGAACGACCAGACGAACGCAACTATTGGGTTCTCGCCATCATGAGGTCACCCACCCCCCCCATAGGACCCCATTGATTACACTGTGTACTACAGCAGGAGCAAAGCCATTCAGTGCCTCCGGCACTGTTTTGTCAGTGTCTGGGCACGCGCCGTCGGGCTTGGGGGACGAATGTCCGGGCTTTGCCCGGACATTCGTCCGTAAGACAGTTGAAGGAACCCCCCTTTAATAGGACTTCAATCATTTTACTGTGTACTACAGCAGGAACAAAGCCATTCCGTGCCTCTGGCACGGATTTATCAGTGCTTGGGCACGTGCCGTCGCGTGCAGGTCACGATGAACTGTCATAAGTCACAAGGATTGTGACTTATGACAGTTCATCGAGTAATGCCTGGGCTTCGCAATAGGCCCCTTACCCCGGTTGGGGCTCAGGCCTAATAAAAAGGTAATTTTCTTCTCTATAGCATGAAGATTAGACAACAGAGATAAGAGCTTCACAATTCATCAAAAACACAGTTGTGTATGGTGGCAAAAAATCCTGTCCACAATAGAATGACAATCTAAGGGCATCCACAGCAAGCATAATGTACAAATGAAGAACAAACAAGATATGACAATTACAGAAAAAGGATATCAATATAAAATTAATCAATTAAAACACAGTGATCACTGCTGAAGGGAGTATGATAATAAGACTTGGAAGCCAATACATATTTTATATTTTGCCAAAAACAAAAAAGATTAACAAAAATATTCAAATCTTAATGCTCAAAAGTTGTCATTGAAAGCAAAATCAGTCAGTTCATAATGACAAGTGTATAAGCTTGTAAAGGTGCTTGACAACTGGGAGACCGACCACGGAAGAGCGAGATCAATATGAGGTTGTGTACGTGCGGAGTGGCTTTGGCCCAGCGCACACGTCACTGCTGACCCTGCTCCAACACTGACAGACATCACACACAGACTCAGGGGAAGCCAGAAATGCACAGAACAGCTCCAACACTTAATGAAAAACACATTAGAGCAATTGCATTGATCGCACAGACCGCTCGAGGCACAGCTAACCAAAATAAAAACTAATATACAACTCTTCCCACTTCTATTAGACTTACGATAAATTGAACAGCAACTTGAAAACGTTCAGTTCAATGAATAGTGCACAAAGTCATCCAGCTGCAGCAGCTGCTTGGCCGTGTCAAGCTGAAACACACACAACTGCACTAAAGCAGACCCTGAGAGAGAATAAGTGCGGATGGACACACTGGCATATCTTTACCCAAGAAACTAAAGCATAAGCAAGTTTACAAAACTTAAACTCACAGCAGTCTTCTCGAAGGTCTTAACAAAATTGTTAATTTACCAACAACAAGTGAGGAAATTAATTGAACTAAATGAATGACCAAATAGGACTGTTTCAAAGTTGAATGTAGAGTGAAAGAAACTCTCTGGGGCAGCGCTGGAAGCCTCCGGTGGCGATCGAACGCTGTGCATATTCAGCAATGCCCATGTTACCTGCTGCTTACGCTCTTTGTGTAAATTCCCCGTCAGTTTCATTGTCTGGAAAGAATGTGTTGAAAGCACCGCACCGCAGTCGCAGCCAGTGTGATACTGGGTTATACCAAGTCATTCTTAAGTGTTGTACAATTTCTAAAAAGTCTAAAACAAGATCAGGCTGCGATCAAAGATCATAAGTTTGAGGTGTGACAGGAATCATGATTGATGAATTGTATTATGACTTGGGATTATAATAAAAGACACGTCTCCAATTATTTAAAGTGTGAAGATTGTGCAGTGGACACCGAGCTTTAAGAGAAAACGTACTTCATCTGTCGGTCCGCGCTCTCCACACACACATGCTGAGCCGGGACCTGTTTCCACCGCTCCGCCTCCTTCACCATGGCCTCAGCGTCCATCAGGCCAAAGCCATACAGGTGACTCACTAGAACACACACAGTTCAGGACACAGGAATACAGTGGTTCATAAGATTATCATAGCTCTTTGCAAGAGCCCTGACTTGCACACTCTGCATCTGAATTATATAGATTTATTTTTTTTACTGAAAATTAACCAAAAAATACACCAAATCAGCTGGGACGCTGCTGATTTGATTGATGGACAAGTCTCCTCTTGAAACTCTTATAATAATTGTTATTTATTAGGGCTGTCAAAATTATCGCGTTAACGCACGTTAATTAATTTTTTTCATTAATCGCGTTAAAAAAATTAACGCATTTGACGCATGCCAATGCGTCCCATAATAACACTCAGAATGCCGCGGACACATGCGCGTGTAAGATGGGGACAGAGCAGGTAGGCCCTCTGGGAATTCAAGTTTTGAAAGAATACACGCGTGACCGCGGGGCACTTGTTGTTTCCTGTATGAACTCTGCATGATGAGCTATGGACAGCAGGTCCCACTTCCAGCGGCTGTGATCACGGCGAGCGGCGCTGCGTAATGGGATCATATCCAAGACCACGCACAGAACTATTACAGAACTATTCTTTAGTGTGCGTACGTGTCTTTGCGTAACCGATGCACACAATATGTACAGCGCTGAAGCTGGACTGCGGAGCCTCAGTCTCCTCCGTGTCTTCCCCCGAAGCGCACTTGCTAAATTAAAGCGGAGGTACCTAATTTTCCTTTCGACTACCAGTTCATGTTAGTTGTGCCAAAAAAGTAATGGTGTGAGCAAATCAAACAGATTTAATGACATTCTGCATTTCAGACTATTTTGAAATGTCCCTCATCTGTAACAAACAATGGTTTTGGTCTGAGTCTAAACAGAAAGACAGAATGTTAATAACGTTAATTCCATTTTATATGGATTTATTGTTATAACAAACAAATACAGCACATACAGTATGTTCACTAAGCTGTCATTTATCTTTCCATTCAAACAACAATTTACAGAAAAATATGGCATAATTTTGCCAATAGTTTAAAATGCGATTAATTACGATTAATTAATTTTTAAGCTGTAATTAACTCGATTAAAAAAATTAATCGTTTGACAGCCCTATTATTTATTAGTTATAGTCTAAAAGTGATGTGTTTTACAAAGCACTAATAAAACCTGATAGCTCCGACAAATATTTGATTCGATTGTGAACATAAAGATATAAAAAAAATATTTTTTGTCATGAATCAACAACAAGTGGGACACAATCGTGAAGTGGAATGAAATTTATTGGATAATTTAAACTTTTTTAACAAATAAAAAACTGAAAAGTGGGGCGTGCAATATTATTCGGCCCCTTTACTTTCAGTGCAGCAAACTCACTCCAGAAGTTCAGTGAGGATCTTTGAATGATCCAATGTTGTCCTAAATGACTGATGATGATAAATAGAATGCACCTGTGTGTAAACAAGTCTCCGTATAAATGCACCTGCTCTTTGATAGTCTCAGGATTCTGTTTAAAGCGCAGAGAGAACCATGAAGACAAAAGGAATTCAAAACGTTATTGATCCAAATTCTATATAGCGCGATAATAGGAATGGGACAGGGTTTAGACCATGTGGAGCGATTTTGTAGACAAATCGGTGAAGCGGCCGAGGAGGAGATAATTTCCAGCCGACATGTGGAAAAAGATCAATTTTCATTTTTCCATTTTCCAATTAATTAATGACTTCCCTGTTTGTCAGGGGCTCGGAGCCATAATAGGACTTTTTTTTCATGGCCCTTGACCGAGGAACATGTTGTACCGAGTTTTCGTGCTCTGCGACAAACTTGACCTCCGACCCGCCCTCTAAGGCGCATATGTAAACTGAACTTTTGTAGGGGGCGCTGTTCGGGCATTTTTTTTTCCAAAAAATAAACACCAAAAAAATTAATTTTTCGCCGTTCTGAATTTTGGGGCAAAATTATCACAACTTTTCATCAAAGTTCAGGGGGTCAAATTAGGCTCAAAGCCGCAGAAAGAAAAAAAAATAATAATAAAGTAAGAATAACCCAAGGAATTATTTTTTTTAATCTTCGAGCATAAACAATATAGGTTTCCATAGTAACCTATAATACAAAGATACTCGTTTTTAAAGCGAACGACGAGGGCGACGCAACTAATTGGGTGCTCGTGATTGACGAGCGCTGACGCGCTCGTCTATCACCTCGCCAACATGAGGTTCCCCCACCCCCCCCCTACGTACCCCCATTCATTACCTGGTGTACTACAGCAAGAGCAAAGCCCATTCAGTGCCTCCGCACTGTTTTGTCCAGTTGTCTGGGCCGCGCCGTCGGGCTTGGGGGACGAAAGTCCGGGCTTCGCCCGGACATTCGTCCATAAAACAGTTGAAGGAACCCCCCTTTAATAGGACTTCAAATCATTTCACTGTGAACTACAGCAGGAACAAAGCCATTCAGTGCCTCCGGACTGTATTGTTCAGTGATCAGGGCACGCGCCGTCGGCTTGGGGGACGAATGTCCGGGCTTCGCCCGGTACATTCGTCCGTAAATCATGAAGGAACCCCCTTTAATAGGACTTCAATCATTTCACTGTGTACTAAGCAGGAACAAAGCCATACCGTGCCTCCGGCACGGATTTATCAGTGCTTGGCACGTGCCGTCGCGTGCAGTCAAGTCAAAAATCTCCGGCTGCGCCCGAGATTGTGACTTAAAACAGTCAACGAGTAATGCCTGGCTTCGCCCAGGCATTACGCGTTGAAAGCAATAGGCCCTACCCCGTTTGGGCTCGGGCCTAATTAAAGCCGCAAGCGGCATCTAACGGCCCTCGCCGCACCGCTGCAAAGGAGGTGGCGCTGACGGCGCCATATTTTCCCCCCCTGATGGGAGCGACACTGGTCATTTTGAATTACATGATTCAGTGATTGTGTGTCTCTATTGAAGAGGTAAACCCCATCTCTCCGTGTAATACTTGAACTCAGTCTGTAGGGGGCGCTATTGTTGCAAATTTAGTCTTTTACAATTCAGTTTACCCAAACCCAAGAGTTGAACAATCCTTTCAAATTTTGTGAGAATCGGACTTTGTAGACAAAAAATGGTGGCATTTAATGTTGTCAGAACGCCCCCCCTACAATTTAATTATTGTAGTTATACCAAAGGAACACCAAACTAATACACTTAATGCCTGACAAAAGCTTGTGGCAAAGTTTGGTGAGTTATTGTGTTTGTTATGTGGGGTCAAATTTGAGATCAACAACAGAAAACCTAAATACCTTTACCGCCATGTAAACCTTTGACTCAGCCTGTAGGGGGCGCTAATGGACCATGTCATTGTTCACACGTGTCGCCACCCAGTCAGGCAACAGGTTAAACAAAAAGTCAAGTTTAGTGCTATGTTCCTGTGCATAACATCAATTGTCCAAATCACCTTTTGAGAATCCAGATGACCACTTTGGGGGTGTGTCACAAACAGAATTAAAAAATAATCAGATTTGTCATTGACTTTTTGAATCCAATGACAAAACAGAATTTATTGGCAAAATTTTGACAAAAACTAAATTTTAAAAAGCCCATGTAAAACTTTTAACATAGTCTGTAGGGGGCGCTAATGAGCCAATTTCAATATTTCCACTTTTCAGATGACCTAGACCCCTGGAGCTGAACAATGGATTAAAATTTGGTGCAAATCCGGCTTTGTTTGTGCAAACGGGAGCAAAATTTACTTTTGTCAAAAATCCCCCAAAAAATGTCACATTTTGCCGCTCCGCTGCTCGGACAACGTTTAATTGATCCAAATTCTATATTCAATAATAGATGGGACTGGGGTTTAGACCATGTCGAGCGATTTTGAGACAAATCGGTAAAGCGGGCCGAGGAGGAGATAATTTCCAGCCGACATGTGTGAAAAAGATCAATTTTCATTTTTCCATTTTCCAATTAAATTAATGAGCTTCCTGTTTGTCAGGGGGCGGAGCCATAATAACTTTTTTTTTCATGTCTTGACCTGAGGAACATGTGTACCGAATTTCGTGGCTCTACGACAAACTTGACCTTCGACCCCCTCCCATAGGCGCAATGTAAACTGACTTTTGTATGGGGCGCTGTTCCGTCATTTTTTTAGTCCCATAAAAATTAATTTTTCACCGGTTCTGAATTTTGGGCAAAATTTCACAACTTTTCATCAATGTTCAGGGGTCAAATTAAGGTTCAAAGTGCAGAAGAAAAAAGAAAAGAAAGAAAGAAAGAAATAAAAATAAATAAATAAGGAATTTTTTTTTCAAATCTTCGAGCAAAAACAATATAGGTTTCCATAGTAACCTATAATACAAATGATACGTCGTTTTAAAGCGAACGACCAGACGAACGCAACTATTGGGTTCTCGCCATCATGAGGTCACCCACCCCCCCCATAGGACCCCATTGATTACACTGTGTACTACAGCAGGAGCAAAGCCATTCAGTGCCTCCGGCACTGTTTTGTCAGTGTCTGGGCACGCGCCGTCGGGCTTGGGGGACGAATGTCCGGGCTTTGCCCGGACATTCGTCCGTAAGACAGTTGAAGGAACCCCCCTTTAATGGGACTTCAATCATTTTACTGTGTACTACAGCAGGAACAAAGCCATTCCGTGCCTCTGGCACGGATTTATCAGTGCTTGGGCACGTGCCGTCGCGTGCAGGTCACGATGAACTGTCATAAGTCACAAGGATTGTGACTTATGACAGTTCATCGAGTAATGCCTGGGCTTCGCAATAGGCCCCTTACCCGGTTGGGGCTCAGGCCTAATAAAAAGGTAATTTTCTTCTCTATAGCATGAAGATTAGACAACAGAGATAAGAGCTTCACAATTCATCAAAAACACAGTTGTGTATGGTGGCAAAAAATCCTGTCCACAATAGAATGACAATCTAAGGGCATCCACAGCAAGCATAATGTACAAATGAAGAACAAACAAGATATGACAATTACAGAAAAAGGATATCAATATAAAATTAATCAATTAAAACACAGTGATCACTGCTGAAGGGAGTATGAATAATAAGACTTGGAAGCCAATACATATTTTATATTTTGCCAAAAACAAAAAAGATTAACAAAAATATTCAAATCTTAATGCTCAAAAGTTGTCATTGAAAGCAAAATCAGTCAGTTCATAATGACAAGTGTATAAGCTTGTAAAGGTGCTTGACAACTGGGAGACCGACCACGGAAGAGCGAGATCAATATGAGGTTGTGTACGTGCGGAGTGGCTTTGGCCCAGCGCACACGTCACTGCTGACCCTGCTCCAACACTGACAGACATCACACACAGACTCAGGGGAAGCCAGAAATGCACAGAACAGCTCCAACACTTAATGAAAAACACATTAGAGCAATTGCATTGATCGCACAGACCGCTCGAGGCACAGCTAACCAAAATAAAACTAATATACAACTCTTCCCACTTCTATTAGACTTACGATAAATTGAACAGCAACTTGAAAACGTTCAGTTCAATGAATAGTGCACAAAGTCATCCAGCTGCAGCAGCTGCTTGGCCGTGTCAAGCTGAAACACACACAACTGCACTAAAGCAACCCTGAGAGAGAATAAGTGCGGATGGACACACTGGCATATCTTTACCCAAGAAACTAAAGCATAAGCAAGTTTACAAAACTTAAACTCACAGCAGTCTTCTCGAAGGTCTTAACAAAATTGTTAATTTACCAACAACAAGTGAGGAAATTAATTGAACTAAATGAATGACCAAATAGGACTGTTTCAAAGTTGAATGTAGAGTGAAAGAAACTCTCTGGGGCAGCGCTGGAAGCCTCCGGTGGCGATCGAACGCTGTGCATATTCAGCAATGCCCATGTTACCTGCTGCTTACGCTCTTTGTGTAAATTCCCCGTCAGTTTCATTGTCTGGAAAGAATGTGTTGAAAGCACCGCACCGCAGTCGCAGCCAGTGTGATACTGGGTTATTACCAAGTCATTCTTAAGTGTTGTACAATTTCTAAAAAGTCTAAAACAAGATCAGGCTGCGATCAAAGATCATAAGTTTGAGGTGTGACAGGAATCATGATTGATGAATTGTATTATGACTTGGGATTATAATAAAAGACACGTCTCCAATTATTTAAAGTGTGAAGATTGTGCAGTGGACACCGAGCTTTAAGAGAAAACGTACTTCATCTGTCGGTCCGCGCTCTCCACACACACATGCTGAGCCGGGACCTGTTTCCACCGCTCCGCCTCCTTCACCATGGCCTCAGCGTCCATCAGGCCAAAGCCATACAGGTGACTCACTAGAACACACACAGTTCAGGACACAGGAATACAGTGGTTCATAAGATTATCATAGCTCTTTGCAAGAGCCCTGACTTGCACACTTGTTTCCCAAAAAATACACCAAATCAGCTGGGACGCTGCTGATATGATGGAGGACAAGTCTCCTCTTGAAACTCTTTAATAATTGTTTATTTATTAGGGCTGTCAAAATTATCGCGTTAACGCACGTTAATTAATTTTTTTCTCTGCATGATGAGCTATGGACAGCAGGTCCCACTTCCAGCGGCTGTGATCACGGCGAGCGGCGCTGCGTAATGTGATCATATCCAAGACCACGCACAGAACTATTACAGAACTATTCTTTAGTGTGCGTACGTGTCTTTGCGTAACCGATGCACACAATATGTACAGCGCTGAAGCTGGACTGCGGAGCCTCAGTCTCCTCCGTGTCTTCCCCCGAAGCGCACTTGCTAAATTAAAGCGGAGGTACCTAATTTTCCTTTCGACTACCAGTTCATGTTAGTTGTGCCAAAAAAGTAATGGTGTGAGCAAATCAAACAGATTTAATGACATTCTGCATTTCAGACTATTTTGAAATGTCCCTCATCTGTAACAAACAATGGTTTTGGTCTGAGTCTAAACAGAAAGACAGAATGTTAATAACGTTAATTCCATTTTATATGGATTTATTGTTATAACAAACAAATACAGCACATACAGTATGTTCACTAAGCTGTCATTTATCTTTCCATTCAAACAACAATTTACAGAAAAATATGGCATAATTTTGCCAATAGTTTAAAATGCGATTAATTACGATTAATTAATTTTTAAGCTGTAATTAACTCGATTAAAAAAATTAATCGTTTGACAGCCCTATTATTTATTAGTTATAGTCTAAAAGTGATGTGTTTTACAAAGCACTAATAAAACCTGATAGCTCCGACAAATATTTGATTCGATTGTGAACATAAAGATATAAAAAAAATATTTTTTGTCATGAATCAACAACAAGTGGGACACAATCGTGAAGTGGAATGAAATTTATTGGATAATTTAAACTTTTTTAACAAATAAAAAACTGAAAAGTGGGGCGTGCAATATTATTCGGCCCCTTTACTTTCAGTGCAGCAAACTCACTCCAGAAGTTCAGTGAGGATCTTTGAATGATCCAATGTTGTCCTAAATGACTGATGATGATAAATAGAATGCACCTGTGTGTAAACAAGTCTCCGTATAAATGCACCTGCTCTTTGATAGTCTCAGGATTCTGTTTAAAGCGCAGAGAGAACCATGAAGACAAAAGGAACACACCAGGCAGGTCCGAGATACTGTTGTGGAGAAGTTTAAAGCCGGATTTGGATACAAAAAGATTTCCCAAGCTTTAAACATCTCAAGGAGCACTGTGCAAGCAATTATATTGAAATGGAAGGAGTATCAGACCACTGCAAATCTACCAAGACCCGGCCGTCCCTCCAAACTTTCATCTCAAACAAGGAGAAAACTGATCAGAGATGCAGCCAAGAGGCCTATGATCACTCTGGATGAACTGCAGATAACTACAGCTGAGGTGGGAGAGTCTGTCCATAGGACAACAATCAGTCGTGCACTGCACAAATCTGGCCTTTATGGAAGAGTGGCGAGAAGAAAGCCAATTCTCAAAGATATCCCTAAAAAGTCTCGTTTAAAGTTTGCCACAAGCCACCTGGGAGACACACCAAACATGTGGAAGAAGGTGCTCTGGTCAGATGAAACCAAAATTGAACTTTTTGGCCACAATGCAAAACGATATGTTTGGCGTAAAAGCAACACACCATCCCCACCTCAGCTGTAGTTATCTGCAGTTCATCCAGAGTGATCATGGGCCTCTTGGCTGCATCTCTGATCAGTCTTTTCCTTGTTTGAGATGAAAGTTTGGAGGGACGGCCGGGTCTTGGTAGATTTGCAGTGGTCTGATACTCCTTCCATTTCAATATAATTGCTTGCACAGTTCCTTTGTCTTCATGGTTCTCTCTGCGCTTTAAACAGAACCCTGAGACTATCAAAGACCAGGTGCATTTATACGGAGACTTGATTACACACAGGTGCATTCTATTTATCATCATCAGTCATTTAGGACAACATTGGATCATTCAAAGATCCTCACTGAACTTCTGGAGAGAGTTTGCTGCACTGAAAGTAAAGGGGCCGAATAATATTGCACGCCCCACATTTCAGTTTTTTATTTGTTAAAAAAGTTTAAATTATCCAATAAATTTCATTCCACTTCACGATTGTGTCCCACTTGTTGATTCATGACAAAAAATATTTTTTTTATAGCTTTATGTTTGAAGACTGAAATGTGGCGAAATGTTGAAAGGTTCAAGGGGGCCGAATACTTTCGCAAGGCACTGTAGTTCTTCCACGCCAGTCACATGGCCAGGTGGCAGTACAGCATAGAAAGCTAGCTGGATGCTAGAGAGTTAGCTATTTTTAGACGTTTGGAGAGAGTTCATAAACATATCTAAGTTTTGCAACTACTTTCACTGCGCACTTGTTCACTCATTCATTCATTCATTCATGATTGATGATTAATTTTAAACATTGCATTTTGGTTGCTCATCCCCACGGCTTCCTGTTCCACCTTTACCGTAAGTAACAGCAAACAGGGGCAACCCACTTTTAATGTGTGGCAAAAAGCCGGGCCACTTTACTACGGTGAAAAACATTTTTCACCAGGGACCCTTGTTGAGTGAAGGGTCTCGGGTTTTCTATGAAGTAAGAATAAATGTCTCCGAGTCCCAGTCCCAGCAGATTGGTGCCAAGATAGAGGTGAGTCTGACCAAAGTTTTTTCTCGTCATCCCAGGTCTCATATGGGCTTGGAATTTGTTCAGTTCGGTCTCATATACTTATTTTTAGCTCGTCTTTATATCTCCTCTGAACTTCTTGCGTTAAAGTGCTTTTATACTGAGTCTTTTAAAGGTAGTCGTCGCATCCATGCTTCAGTATGTGCCGTTCTGTCTTCTTGCCACCCGTGCGAGGGGCGCATGCGCACGCGGGTGTAAACAAAGATCCTTCAATAATATATGAACAATAGCCATTTAATTTACAATTACAAAGTTTGAGTAATTAGGGAAAAGTTACGAGCCTTTGAAACTCAGTTATAGATGCAGCTAAACTAGTACCAAACCAGAAAGAAACAAAGATAGAACTGGATTGACTGTGCATGGGATGAAACAACAGCAATATACCATTGTATCCTGCAGCGTTGGTTTTCCAGTCTGGCGCAATGAGGTGACCCGCTCTTGATGTTTTCACAATAATATGTTGAACATCTCTCCAGGTGAGAAGAGGACTGCAGAAAACAAATTAAAGTTTAGAGTCAGACAAAGATAGAACATAACAAACTCAGAACTCTCATTGGCAGAGCACAACAATTAATTCACAATAGTAGAAATTTCATACAGACACAAAGTATATGATGAAACCTTGGGTATAAGCAGAAACTAGCCCACTTTGTCCTGGATTCAGAGCTTCTTGCTGCGAGGCAGAGAACTATATTCAGGCTATATTAATAACCACATAATAATCCACAGCTTTCCACATAAAGTGAAAAGCCCACGGTCACAAAAGAATGTTATGGAAGAGCTGCTTTTGAAAGAGGTAACAGCAAAAAGTGCCCCTGGTGCATGCGCTCACGTGAGAGGCATTATGGGCCGTCAGTGTCCCGGGCCTTTGATCTGAGCAGCTCAAACAGGAGGAAGTGGGTCAGAGCGTTTCCTGGGACTCCCTCGTCTCATCTGCCGACCAGATGCTGCAGGCTCCACCACCCACCCTCTGCTCACGTACAGTACACTCATGATTAAAACTACTAAAGCAAGTGGCAGAGGGCGCGCCGCTTTAATAGGTTGCATTCATGTTGTAGAGTTCTTTTTCATTTGGAAGGCAGCTGCCAAATGAAGACTTCGTTGGGAAGTCCATTCTACTTGCCAACATCATGCACGTCTTTCTTGATAATTGTCAACACTTCTAGAAAATAATTTTCCCATAGTTGATATGTACTGATTAAGCTAAAAGTATGACTTTTACCAGGAAAGTAAATTATAGTAAAATAAATAATGTTAGCTTTAAAATAAGGTATGTTTTATTGTTGTTTAACCAGGAAGGTCCCGTTGAGATTCAAAGATCCATTTTCCAAGGGTATCCTGGACAAGACGCATTCACAACTAAAAACCTATAAAAACCTTTTATGTAAAACATCCAATGCATTGCCATGATATTGGCAGATTGGAAAGAGCTCATAGCAGATATTTCAAAAAATATCTACTCTCGAATAAAATACAATCAAGTGATGTAAGTTTGTATTACCCTGACAACCTCTATTGACAAATTAGATCAAACACACAGGTTTTCCTTTCACTACATATTTGACAATCCAAGAACCATTTTGTACAGCCGGGTGGCTTACATCTGGACACGCTTGTCACTGTGTTTGTCTCAAAGTGGCAGCAGCAGCGCAAGAGCAGCTGATAATCAAGAGGAGAAACAAGCTTATGAGCGGCCTCTGCCTGGTAACACTGAATATTGTCGAGAGCAGGATTTGATTGGATTACCAGGTTAAACAGAGTGACCTGAGAGAGCTGCTCTGAAGTCTGCAGCACTGCACATGACTCACTTACGTCTGACACACTATAGGAGTCAAACTCAGGAAGCGGGCTGCAGGGTCAGTAACGTGGACGGCTGAAATGACACGAGAAATCCACATCGCAGCGGTCAGGCCCAGAGCCCTAATGGTACTAGACACTGAGTACGGGAACTGGTGGGCAAGTGAGGCCGTGGAGAGCAAACGCCAACTAAGGGCTAAACGGGGGAGACACGGGCATGCATCGGCAGGTTAAGGGAGCCGGTCTTATCTGGAGAGTAGACGGGGCAAGTAGTCCGCACGATGAAGCAGGGGAACTGGCATACTGATGGGATGCGGCAGGCGTGCATCGGAAGAAGAAAATGAAAAAATGCACATGGGTGTGGAGGGCATAAGGCGGCAAAGGAAGGGGAGAAGGGGACCGGGTGGGCGGGCATCTAAAACAGAGTCGTCCCACAGGCGGGAGAAATGGAAAGGGGGGTATACTTTTGGTAAAAGCGAGTCAATGAGTCCGTATCCTGTAGTAAAACCAGGGGTTGGGGCGGGGGCCGCGGCCTGTCCCGGCTAGTGTGGTAGCATTGTGAGGATAGCTGCCTGACACACCGGTAATTCCGAATAAAAAAAAAAAAAAATCAGATAAAGAACATAAGAACGAGCCCCTATAAAAAATACAAAAATCCTAAATTATCTCGAGATTATTTATATAATTAAATAATATATAATAATAAAATAAAAACTCCCCCCAAACAACTAAATAAAATAAAAAAAATAAATCTACGGAACGGCAAACAACAGATCTTGCTGCACAGCTCACACTGTTCGGGCGCCTAGCTGGTTCTAGTGAAAAGAGTGAAGGAGTCAGACGGTGGCCTCGAGGGCCATACGCTGGAGGAGGCAGCGGCCTAGTTGGAAGCAGATGGCTGACGACCCTGGGGGTGCGTGTCTGTGCATCTGTGCCGCAGGTCTAGTGTTGATGCTGTACGATAGATGAGAGCTACTTAATGCAGGTGTCACAGTAGCAACCAGAAACAAGTCCAGCCACACAAACAAATACAAATGAGTGAGTAAAAAGCTAAAAACAGAGGAACAAAAGGTAAAGATAAAACAGCAGCAACACAGAAGAATATCCACAAGATCAGTGAGTGTAGAGAAAAACACACAAAGGGGGCATATACCATTAAATAAAGGTGCATTTAAGGGAATCAATGACATATTAGACATGTCCAGCGTATGTATGGTGTGTCCCATTGCTGTGAAGATGAAATAATTATCCATGCTAGAGTAAGTAAGTAAGTGAAGTCGTGTAGGTATTAGTCCGCCTCTCACACCAAGGGCAACAAAGCGGTTTTACCAATATTATTATGTGTGGGGGCATTGGTCCGCTCACTCCCGCAGAGATTGGTGGCGCGGGTCCGCCAGTACAGGAGACGCATGCCAGTACTGGGTGTTTCTAGTGGTAGGGGGGGAAACCGAGGACCCGAGGAAACCTACGCAGAGACACCAGGAGAACAGGCAAACTCCACGCAGAAAGGGCCCGGCGCCGACCGGGATGCGATACCGCAGGACCGAGCTGGCGGGAGAAGCGCTGAGTGGCGATCCACGCCGCCAGAGGCCCCCGCTAGGACCACTTGGTCTAATGACTTTCACATGCAAAATTGGCCATGTGTGAACGGGATAGCAGTCCGCTGGAGCACCAGCATCATCATAACAGCCGATCAGTATGTAGCAAGACGTGGATTTTGCCAAAATCCTGTGAAAGGCCACTGAATCATCTTCAATTAACTAAATAAAGACCAGTGGCTATGTATTGGTCAAGTGGAAACATGAGAATTTAAAAGAAATGTTGCCTACAGATTAAAAGATGACTCAAACATGAATGATCATTGTAAATATAACTTCAATTAGAAATGAGAAGGGAAACCATTATAAAAGTTGCAACCCTTGAGAAAAAATATGATTATTTTTAAGCTTTGTCTATTGTCCCCATCAGCCCTGCTGCTGCATAGGACAAAGGTTAACAAGCGATGGGGCAGTGGAACGTGCAGCGAGAGCGCGAGTTTGGCTCTGAGGTGTGTGGACAAAGTGAAGCCAGCGCCTCCGACAGCTGACAGACTGCGAGCCAGAAAGCTTGGAACACTTCCCAGGAGACTCCACTGGGACCATGAGCACGAGAGGGAGGGATTACAGACACAAACACAAAATCGTCTGAAACTGCTTAAACCACGGAGGTTGAGGTGTGATCAGACATGAGGATGAATGAGGAGTTTCTCAGCCACACCGCTGTAACATCGAGCAAAACAGAGAGAAAGCATACTTTAGGCAAGCTGACTGTGACAATGAAGATTAAACTAAACCTCAACCAAAGGAGAATTTAAGAGTACTCCTGTTCACAGAGTAACTAATATAACTTCAAGATGCACGTTCAAAAGCGTGTGACTCGTATTTTCTTAAACCACACCATAATTTGTTACCCTTTGGAAAAGTTTATCAGTCCTTAAAATGCAATCAAAATTCTGTATTATTGTTGGATTCCTTTATGCTTTTAAGCTGTGATGGATTCATAGCTATGGAGTGCTTTAACCCTTGATCTTACTATAAGAACAGCACACAATCCTCACTAGACTGTACAGGTTCCAGGAACACTGGTAAGTTTTACATTGAATGTGTCATTTATGCGTCATTCTTAACCACTAATGTAAATATATTCAAAATACTAGGAGTCCATCTTACAATCTTGCGGTCATAGTTCTCCCCACTGCTGTAGGTGGTGGTCAGCGTGGATGAGCACTCCTCCAGGTACCAGGGCTTGCGTCCGCTCTCCGCTGTGCTGGAGATGGAGATGGTGTAGATGGAGTTAGTGTAACCATCACAGGAGCAGTGATCTCGACTGCGGCCCCCGTTTCCAGACGCCCAGACAAAGATGGAGCCCCGACCCTTCCTTCCCTGCAGACACACACCGGGACATCAAACCACTCACCCATACATGTGTTACAACTGTTTACTGTCAGTATATTTTATTTATTATATTTGTCCTTAGACCGTGACGATGCAGGACATTCAACGACATGTATGGACATTGGTCGTCTGCCTCTTATGGACTAATAGCTCCATGAGTTTTTGAGTTTGAAAGTTTTGCATTTCTTGTATTTGAACCATTTGATTCTCTGATCCGTGTTGGTGAATTCAACGGTTTTGCAAAGTCCTCTGAGATAACTTCTGTTGTGTGTTTGTCAGTTTGTTGGCCATGGATTCTCACAGTGCACTTGTTTTAGTATAGATTTGTACAGTGAGTGTACCATGCGGATGCCGTTCTCAAAGGACTGTCGGGCGAGCGAGGCAGGGCCGTCTACAGTTTTGCCGTCATCGTCTGGACCCCAGCTTGCACTGTAGATGTCGATGTGCTGAGGGTGAAGACTCAGGGACTTGGCTTCCACCATATCCGTCACATCTCCATCCAGCATTCGCACCCCTGACACACACAAAGACACATTATTCACTTAGTGTGGATTACAAACACCAAAGCAGTGGTGTGGTTTGTCACCACAGCTTCAATCAGCAACTGCAGAGGAAAATACACAACACAACTGTGTGTGTGTTTAGACATTTGACACTTGATCTAAGTCAGTGTTTTTCAACCTTTTTTGAGCCAAGGCACACTTTTTTCACTGAAAAAATCTTGCGGCACACCTCCAGAAGAAAATGTAAAAATGTATACAGTACTAATGTAAAAAAATATATACTGTACATACTCTGTGTGATATATAAAGTATATCTTATCTTATAATGCAGTGTTTTTCAACCTTTTTTGAGCCAAGGCACACTTTTTTCACTGAAAAAATCTTGCGGCACACCTCCAGAAGAAAATGTAAAAATGTATACAGTACTAATGTAAAAAAATATATACTGTACATACTCTGTGTGATATATAAAGTATATCTTATCTTATAATGTATACAGTATACTCTGTAGCCTATATTCACAATATACAGTTATTCTCATCAAAATGCTTAAGTCCAGGCCTTGACATTAAGCTTTATTTAATATTTCTCGATACAATTAACAAGAGTTTGGGAATAAAGTGGCACTAACTGTGTGGAAAAAAACTAAGAAAATCCACTCTCTGCCCAAATAGTCAAATAATAACTCACACAAAGAACATGCATTTTTAGTGCATGGGAAAAATTTTGGTATCCGAGCTTTAAATTCAGGAGTTTTGGATGAGGGACACGGGAGGTCCTGAACGCGAGTCCATGGTTCTGTCCGGTCCGCATGTTTGTGGTTCTGTCCACTCGACTACGGTCTGCGCTCGGTACCCAGTTCAGAAGTGCGTTCGCGAGAGCTGTTGTACAAAAATGGTACATTTCATAGTTAAACCACTACAACGCGGCCACAGCTGCCCCGGGGCAGAGCGGAGGATGTTAATCCTGTTCAGAAACGGCATAATTCATTTTCAAAAACGTCTCTATCACTTTCACTTCTCACTCGCCACAAAGCTCTTGTCTCGCTCCCTCCCACATTTGTTGGTCGCATCCAATTTTACCTTTCTCGCCACAATGCTGACCTGTTACAGCCAGCATCCAATTTTTCAGTTTCAAAGTACTTAGCTATCTGCTGCCATCTACTGATTTGAAAAAGTATTACATGGTTACTCACAGTTCAAAACAAGTCACCGCTCGTCAACAGCGAATGCAGCTATTTTTAGACAAAGTAGACGAATTTCTCACGGCACACCAGACAATATCATACGGCACACTAGTGTGCCGCGGCACAGTGGTTGAAAAACACTGATCTAAGTAAACACCAAACTCCCTGTTGCACCAGAGCAGAAGCTAAGTCGCATACCTCCGATTCTGGCATTGTAAGCAATTCCCACAATGCAATGGGAGTTGTTTGCAGCTGCAGCCACTTCACCAGCACAACGCGTCCCGTGTCTGAGGAAACAGAGCACGCAGATAAACAGGAGGTACAGTACGCACATCTGTCAGTTATTATTAAAGGACACAATGAGCAAAATCAAGGTTCTCCATTTTAAGCATGTTCCAACATTGTTCCCTCATTAAAAACATACCAATATTGATACTTTAGACAGTCTAAAGTATCAATGTCAAGTTTATTTATATAGCACATTTACAACAACAATGGCTGCCCAAAGCGCTGCACAGTATAATACATCAAATACAAAAAAGCTATAGTAAAAACAGAAGAAATATTACGAAAGTGCAACACCTCTTAGTTGCCAAAGGCCAGAGTGAAAAAGATGAGTTTTTGATGAAGTCTTAAAAACATTTAAAGAAGCTGCACCTCGAATAGACAAGGGGCGGCTGTTCCAGAGTTTAGGAGCAGCTACATAGAAGGCCCGGTCACCTCTCGTTTTCAGCCGTGATTTGGGTACACTAAGCAGAAGCTGACCACTGGACCTCATATGTCAATAATCAGTTATTAACCAATAAATAAACTTCTTTCCCCCCAGTTCAAAATATATATTTTTTTACTTTGATTGATAGATTAGTTAACTTTCCTAAAGGATTGAAAGATAAATACTGTATAAATGTTCATCATTTCTATGATCTACAACATTCTTATCTTTGAACAACACACAAATGAACTATGAAATTAAACTTTGTAATTTAGCTCTTTAATGGATGAATTTATTTCTAAATCCATCATGATTCATATTTCCCTTTCTTGAGACAAAGGTAACATTTGAATTGAGAAAGACAAACTGCGGTGGTCTGTGCGTACAACGGAAGGATTTTATCTCTACTCTAAACTAAAAACACAACATCTATACGCACAAAAACAAAATCTGACTAAATATTTAGAAAGATAATTTTTGTGAGTGGAAGCTGATGTAAATTCCTGCAGATTTTGACGGATCCAAATTATGAGAGTGAAATCAAAACTCCTTTAATTGTGTGATTCACTGCAACAATGAGTTTTGTCTCTTTAAGACGATGCACGACCAGCCGGGACTGAGCCGCTGCCAGAACTCGGAGCCAAACTGGCACCAGGCGCATCGCAGACCAAGTCTCTCAGCAAAGAAAACAACACTGCAGCTATATCCCAGAATGCACCACTTCAACGCTTCTGTTTAGCTGTGCGCATCACCTGCCCTTTTAGATTTGGCATTTTTACTGATTGATACTTATTAAGGTGATTACCATAATGTTTTTTATGTTCTGACTTTACTAAATCGATTTCTGTATGAATGCTTTGCTTTCCGAACATGTATTTTTGACTTGGCTGCACATGGAAAACAGTGGCTCTTACTTGTTCTCGTTAGTTGCGTCATATCGAGGCATTGGGTCGACGTCGTTTCCATTTACATCAAAGCTGGCCTGGGCATCCTGCTCAAGGCACAAAGAAACATTAATGCACGACAATCATAGTTCCCACAGAGTTTTGAAACTTCAGCTGTCAATAAATAGGATTTCCAGATATCCTTCTTCAGAGTTATTTTGTCATTGGCATAACATTCTGTAAATGGTTGTTTGAATGGAAAGATAAATGACAACATAGTGTACATATGTACTGTAATTGTAACAACATTATAACAACAATTATAACAACAACAGATCCACATAAAATGGCATTAACATCATTAACATTCTGCCTTTCTGTAGTAGACTATACACAGACTAAATGTATTTAGTGTCAAGAGCCATGGCATCGTTATGAGGATGGGACCTCAGTGAAGGCTCAAGCGAGAAAAGCATAGCCTGCTAGTGTAAAAACAAAACTTAAAGTATAAAATAAACGTTACCTATAGTCCTATTTTTTTGTTTTGAGATAATATCTGCTCTGATTTATGTTGAGTGAGGCTTGGGTGAACATAAATGACAAAATAAAGAACTCATGTTGACAGCTTGTAACTGTAGGTTTGGTAGGTCTGATACACATGTCATGTACTGCCCTGGGGCATACATACACACTCACGTAGTTCTGAGACAAGTCTGGGTGGTTTCTCTCGATGCCGTCGTCCAGAATGGTCACCACTACATTCCTGCCTGTGTAGCCCCTCTTCCACGCACCCATGATGTTCATGTCCGACTGGCAGTTATGGACGTCATCATTACAGTGCTGAGAATACAGAGACACCAAATTAGTACAGCGGAGGTTTGCAAACGTTTCATACAAAGTATGACCCAAGAGGACACATGATACAGTGCCTTTCAACCTTTCGCCACATTTCAGGCTTCAAACATAAAAGATTTAAAAATTATTTTTTTTTGTCAAGAATCAACAAGTGGGACACAATCGTGAAGTGGAACGAAATTTATTGGATAATTTAAACTTTTCTAACAAATAAAAAACTGAAAAGTGGGGCGTGCAATATTATTCGGCCCCTTTACTTTCAGTGCAGCAAACTCACTCCAGAAGTTCAGTGAGGATCTTTGAATGATCCAATGTTGTCCTAAATGACTGATGATGATAAATAGAATGTACCTGTGTGTAAACAAGTCTCCGTATAAATGCACCTGCTCTTTGATAGTCTCAGGGTTCTGTTTAAAGTGCAGAGAGAACCATGAAGATAAAGGAACACACCAGGCAGGTCCGAGATACTGTTGTGGAGAAGTTTAAAGCCGGATTTGGATACAAAAAGATTTCCCAAGCTTTAAACATCTCAAGGAGCACTGTGCAAGCAATTATATTTAAATAGAAGGAGTATCAGACCACTGAAAATCTACCAAGACCTGGCCGTCCCTCCAAACTTTCATCTCAAACAAGGAGAAGACTGATCAGAGATGCAGACAAGAGGCCCATGATCACTCTGGATGAACTGCAGATAACTACAGCTGAGGTGGGAGAGTCTGTCCATAGGACAACAATCAGTCGTGCACTGCACAAATCTGGCCTTTATGGAAGAGTGGCAAGAAGAAAGCCATTTCTCAAAGATATCCATAAAAAGTCTGGTTTAAAGTTTGCCACAAGCCACCTGGGAGACACACCAAACATGTGGAAGAAGGTGCTCTGGTCAGATGAAACCAAAATCGAACTTTTTGGCCACAATGCAAAACCCTATGTTTGGCGTAAAAGCAACACAGCTCATCACCCTGAACACACCATCCCCACTGTCAAACATGGTGGTGGCAGCATCATGGTTTGGGCCTGCTTTTCTTCAGCAGGGACAGGGAAGATGGCTAAAATTGATGGGAAGATGGATGGAGCCAAACACAGGACCATTCTGGAAGAAAACCTGTTGGAGTCTGCAAATGACCTGAGACTGGGACAGAGATTTATCTTCCAACAGGACAATGATCCAAAACATAAAGCCAAATCTACAATGGAATGGTTCACAAATAGACGTATCCAGGTGTTAGAATGGCCAAGTCAAAGTCCAGACCTGAATCCAATCAAGAATCTGTGGAAAGAGCTGAAGACTGCGGTTCACAAATGCTCTCCATCCAACCTCACTGAGCTCGAGCTGTTTTGCAAGGAAGAATGGGAAAGAATTCCAGTTTCTCGATGTGCAAAACTGATAGACATACCCCAAGCGACTTGCAGCTGTAATTGCAGCAAAAGGTGGCGCTACAAAGTATTAGCGCAAGGGGGCCGAATAATATTGCACATCCACTTTTCAGTTTTTTATTTGTTAAAAAAGTTTAAATTATCCAATAAATTTCGTTCCACTTCACGAGTGTCCCACTTGTTGATTCTTGACAAAAAAAATAAAAATGTATATCTTTATGTTTGAAGCCTGAAATGTGGCGAAATGTTGAAAGGTTCAAGGGGGCCGAATACTTTCGCAAGACACTGTAGCTGACATCAGGATGACAATTTAGGTTGTTGAAATAAAATATTGACCATCTGCCAAACTCCTGCATCATTTTTGTGCACAAAAGTTGGGTATACCCAAATGTCTTTGCATATTTAAAAACACATCTTACATCTCACATGCTTGTGTGATGTATCATATTAAAGTGAGAGCCTTCTAGTTTATGTAAATATACACTAAAATAATGTATGTCATTCCTATTTCACTCTGCATTCTTTGAAGTTTGGGGAAAAAAAACTTGTTTTAGCCTCGCCTAAAATATTCAATGTATACATGCCCTAACAAAGGCATACTTCATTGTAAGATCACAATATTCAAACCCTATATGGTCATGGTGTTGTTGACAACAACTGTCTAAAGTTTCAGACTTCTAAGTTTTATAGTTTTTATGTAGTTTCTTTTTTTTATGAATTAGTGCCATTCGGAACCAATTTGGCACACTTTTCACAGAAACTTGGCGAACTGTGAAAGAGCAGTCTGCAGTCTGTAATTTGGCACACTTTGTGCCAAATTGCTTTACTGACATTTCATCATCATAAAAACCATACTTTTTAGTTTTGGTACTCATAAGATACAAATCTGAGTGATTTTTTAAAAAACATTTTCAAAATTCATTTTTTAGTAGTGTAAATGCATATAAAATCTGCGTAGCCCCGAAACAGGGTCTCTCTCCCTGCTTTACGCACGCTTGTCCTGTGAGAATTAAAAGGAGTCCCCCCATGTCCCACCCATTGCTAGAAAGCTTTCCTTATTGGCTACTTATACATGTCAATCATTCAGCAAAAGAACACTTCCCTAGCCGTCTGGCTAACAACAAATACAAATGGACCCTGCGCAAAAGCATGCTGCTTATCTTATTCACAAGGTTATTGCGGACGGACACCTGCTCGTATCTCTTCAGGGAAGCTCTCATTTAGTAGCTAACGAGTTGGGGAACATGAGCCTACCCTGTCTTTGGGGATAAACAAAGCTGAAACTTGGCAAACTGAGAAAAAGAGCAGTCTGTATGTTCTTTCAGAACTTTTTTTCGCAAAAGATAAACGCATATTTTTGGATTATTTCTGCAGAATGGATTATACTTTGGAAAATACAAGTATTATTCTTTTTCCATGGACATATATGGAGTGAAAGAGCCTAAGCAAGGATCGGGGAAGTCTAATTTGTTTAAGCAGCAGAAAGATAAACATTTACAGACCTGATTTATTTTGTGCCTATAATATGTGTTATATCTTTTTAATGCAAAGTCTGATATTGTTTACACTTATATATAAATGTAGATGAGAAAATAAGCTTTATAATGATATATAGCTTGTGGGTTATGAAGTTCAAAATACATCTGCTATTGCCAGCAAATGTATTTTGCTTAAGGGGTTAACTCCCATCTGGCATGCCAGCCAGATTCAATTTGATTTTCAATGTCTTCAATGACTTTGTGTGCTAGGATTGTGATGGCGGTGATTCTGCCATGGATCCGCCCCATAACCACAAAGCACGCTTTGAAACTGAAATGCGTTCAGGGCCAATTGGAGTGGCTACTCGAAGAATCACGCAGGGCTAAGATGTGACAGTAGAAAAGACAGACAATGGCACTGCAGAGAAATAAAAATAGCTAACAATAGTATTAAAATGCAACAACACTTAAGGTCACAGCAGCAGAGGTGGTGCAGTCGCTGTGTGGAGCAGGACAGGTTACAAAGATGAATCTGATGGCGCTCAGGCAGTAAATCACAATTAATTTACAACTTAACTCATTCATAAAATAATACATAGACTTGAGACCTGACAAATGACCTGAGACTGGTACGGAGATTTATCTTCCAACAAGACAATGATCCAAAACATAAAGCCAAATCTACAATGGAATGGTTAACAAATAGACGTATCCAGGTGTTAGAATGGCCAAGTCAAAGTCCAGACCTGAATCCAATCTAGACTAGAACAGGGAAGTATGATCACATTAGTCCTGGCTTCCTGTGGCTCAGAGAATAGACTTTAAAACAGCTCTGCTTGTGTAAAAGTCTCTCCATGGCCTCGCACCAAAGTACATCTTAGACAAGTTAGTGCCATATGAACCAACTCAGACTTTAACTAAAATGTTCAAATCCAGGTTAAAAACAGTTGTTTAGCTGTGCATATAACTGAAGGATTGTATCTCCACTCGGTTTAATGTACTGTTAATGTGATTTTAATGCCATGAGTGATTGTTTCGTTTTAAGCACATAGAGTTGCCTTGTGTATGAACTGTGCTATGCAAATAAACTCTTTGAACACCACAGTCCTAACATTTTTATTCCCTCAATCTTTCCGTGGTGACAAGAGTTCAGGCGGTTCTGTCCTCCACAAACAGTTTTCTATGTAACCAACCTTAAAGCTCTTATCAATGAGTTATCCATTAATGAGGTCTGAGCGAGAAAGCGGGGATGAGCAGGAGCTGCCAACAACTGGTCCTCTCAGACTTTGAACAAAGATTATTCTGCAGAGCGGCTTTGCGACTAAGAGTTATTTGTTTTAGATAATGAATTGTAGTACACAACCTGATCAATACCAGTATCTTCAAATCTTGATATTTGTAGATACGGATTATAAAATGTAGCTCTCTCACTATAGCAATCCTTCAACAGTTTTCCTACGGAGAAAAACACCAGGAGTAGAATAGATATAATCTTCAAACTCTGTTAACACCAAGAAAAATGCTCTAACGTTGATGCCTTCAGACACGCTAACTTCTAATGAGATGAATGTTACAAATTAGTGTCCATGGATAAAAGCAGAGTGGGTCAGTGCACACAAACGTTCACAAAAGTTCATTACAAGATTTTCAAAGATTAGTTGTGGATATTTAATCGGATACAATGTAGAACAAAGTAAATATTTTGTTTCTGTAATTATTGAATATTGCGGCCTACATTATTTACAAACTCTTCCTGCTCACTTACACAGCGATTGAAAAAAGTTTCAATGAAAAGCTTGACAAGATTCCAGACATTAAAACAAGACGACAATCCCGCAGCCACTAGACATCTTGAGCTGACTCTCTTTGCAGCTGTAAATGATAAAACAATCCGAGAGATCATCTCCCGTCTGGTTCCTCCACATGCAGCCGGGATGTATTTCTGTTCTGAGAAGTTTGCCTTCCCTCACGCACATAGTAAACGTGAAAATCTGTGTGTAATATTATTTGAAATTCCTTTAGATTCTGTCCATGTACTATCAAATACAAAAAGTGGTGAAATACAAGCCCTTTTCAGCCACTCACTACTTTACATCCCTCTATAATGCATAATTTAGTGCTCATTTAGACTCACAGCCACAAGCAACACATGCGCTTCCCCATGGAGCCTGTGCACTCGAGCCCATTTACACACGCGCTGTGGCTGACACGCATCAAGAGAGAAGGCGGTCAAATCACGTCTGTAACGTGACTGCTGCTCAATGTGTTTTGACAGCACATTCTCAAAAGCAAGCACTGAAAGCACCCACGGTCAAAGTTGAGAGTAGTAAACGAGGTGTGGGTGATTCTGACTATATGAGTACTAAACAGTTATAAGTTACATTTACAACATGAGAGACTCTACACAAGCACATACCATACATACATTGCGGGGCAGATGTATGTTTAGATTTATAAGTAAATATTTAAACTGATTGTTTAAGTCTAAGTATTTTTTTTCTGTCAACAATATGTGAATGAAGACGGCATAGTCATTAATTGATCATGAATCACATGTGCATCATGAATCGAACCAAATGTGATGTTCTGAATTCTGACACACAGCTCAATGGTTGCTGTAAAAGTACATCTGGTTTGATAGTATAGAGTGAGCACTCCTGTGACCGAGCTTAATCAATTTTTTTTTAGATGTACAAACTATTGGAAAGAACATAGTGACTCAGGGTGGCTGAAATCTTTTGCCACACTTTTATTATATTGATCAAGAAAAAAACAAAATAAAACCTGGACTCATTTTGCTTTTACTTTATAATTGTCTGCCGCAAGTGTTAGTCTTTTTCATAAAAGAAACATATTTTTCCTATTATTATTCATGTTTGTTGACCACGTAAAAACCCTAGCCTGTATATAAATAGACAATGCTTACCCTCTAGCTTAATGAAGTCTAATATGATCAAAACAAGGATCTGGGGGGGGAGCACTGTCCCTCTACAGCACATGTGTCAAAGTCAAGGCCCGCGGGCCAAATCCGGCCCGCGAATGAATTTTACATGGCCCGTTGCCTGCCATTGACGCACTATTACGTCAATTGCGTTTTCCGCTATTTTCATGTTCCCAGATGTCTATTATATCTAATATGTATGGGGATAAGCTTGAGAGCATATTGAATCGAGCCAGCAGGTGGCAGCAGCGCTCTCTGAATGGTTTGAAAACAGCTAGATGCACTTGTTGTGCCTCTTTTTTCTCAACTTTTTGGTGATTTCAGTAAAACTTCCCTCTACTCAACTGGGGATTACAAGCTAGAAACAAAATTCTTCTTGCTGATGAAAGTAGACAGTCTATTCTTTCAGAATCTGGTTTCGGATTTCAGATAGTCATAGTACACAATATTCTGTGGTTCTTGAAAAATCTATAAAAATCATCAGAAACTGCTGGCAATATGAGAGTACCTGTTCTGAAATAGGCTGGCAGGTAATGAGTTAATAAACATTGAACCAGTCCGGCCCTCGGCTCGCAGCAAATTTGTTTTTTTGGCCCTCTGATGTATTTGACTTTGACATGCCTGCTCTACAGGGACGCTCCATCCGCCAGGACCACTAAGAGGTCCAGGCTTTTCACCATGACATCACAATGAAAATATTTAGAAAGCTTATATGTAAACATCATAACAATAAAAAATAAACCAAGTTGGGTGGTTAGTTGTGGATGAATGTAATATGTTTTTAATACGCTATAGGGCAAAGATAAAGAGAGGTCACTGCAGAGTGCTGATCCCTGCATTGTGATGCGGAACATGTCTAGAAGTCGGGACATACATTGTACTCATGTGACGGTTCTGTCCACATACAGCAGCAATATTGTACGCAGTTTGTTGAATGGAAAAAGTCCATCCACCCATCGATTTTGGGTTGGGGGGATGGCAGTCAGAGCTGCACCCAATTCACACAGCACCAGCCCCTCACTGATCCTCCTGCAGGGGGTGAGTCCACAGGAGCATTGATCTTTCAGCGGGGGCTTCAGGCAAAGTGGGGTGTTTAATGGAAAAAGTCAACCTCAAAATATTGCACAGAACTTTTGCCAGAGTACTTACAATGTACCACATGTTACTCCACTTTGCGTCATTGAAGTGTATAGTGTTGTGGGCGGGGCTGGAGAGTGAAAGGGGCGGGGCTATTTTGTAATCTCTCTTGATCCGCCTCTTCACCACCTGCTGTTGGATCCACTCCACCTGAAACAGACATAGGAGAGAGTATGTTACAGCCTGCTCTCATAGTAGTGGGTGAGTCCACAGGAGTATAGCTGCTCTGTCAATGACAGCACAGCCTTGATCTTTCAGTGGGGGCTTCAGGCAAAGTGGGGTTAAATGTCTTGCCCAAGGACACAACAGCAGCAGACATCAGTGGGAGTCACCTTTCAGGCTCAAAGGCCAATGCTCTACCAACTGAGCCACTGTCGCCCCCGTGCCTTTCATATAAACCAAATATCACTCATTTCAAACAGACAGGTCAAAAATAATGATACAAACTGCGATAGTTAAGGAGAAAAGAGCGCAGACCTCCGACAAGAGGCACAGTTTTGTCCGATTCCAGAGGTTTCCTAAATGTTGTAATTTCATCTGTAGTAGGGCTGGGCAACATTGCAAAAAAGCGAAATCTCGATTTTACTTCCTGCTTTGGACGATTGATTTTAAATCGATTTTCATTAAAGTCACCGAAGACAGACTTTGCCCTTAAAAATATGTTTTGATCTTTCCGCTCAATATTCAAGTTTCAAAACTATTTTCAATTTGGTTCCCACAATACGTATGATAAAAGTCTTTACAGATTGTGCTGATATTGCAAGTAAAATGTATGTGCTGCTGGAACTCTCACAATATCCTTCATTCGATTTCACGATTTTCACATTTTTCACAAATTCAATATTTTCAAAAGCCGATTAATTGCCTAAATTTGATTTGTTGCCAATCCCTAATCTGTAGCATTTAATTATATTAGTATTCTATTTTTTATCTTTTTAGTAGAAAGGTGTTGACCCTGTATTACAGTGCAAACTGACATAAACGTCTCTGTGGAAACATCAATCTTTCAAAGGTTATTGCCCAGCGTCGAGACACAGGCATTCCTGGAAGCAGTTGCTCTGCTTTCGCTGGAATTTTCCCATTTCCAAATCAACATTTTTTGCTAGTGTCTGGCCACCTCTTTAGGAAAGCCTTAAAATTGAGTGCTTTTGCTCTATGCAGCATTACTTTAGCAAGGACACACGTGTAAACTACATCAATACTTCTCCCTCACTCTCTGGAGATTTTAACTCTATGCAGTTCTCTCAGAGCAAAGCACAGGAAGATTATCTGCTTCTGAGGACGAGGAGTTCTGATCACGCTCTTGAAAACAACGTGAAAAACGCTTATCCTAATAGCTACACCACTATATGGAAACAAATGCATAGGTCCTCTCAGTCAAATGTGTGAGAAATGCAAATCACTTATATTTAAAGTGGTTTTACTGTTTAGAAAAGGGGTGCCTAGACTTAATCCAACGAGTGAACCACAACTTACTGCTGTTTATGTAGGGGTGTAAAGATGTAAGGGTATAAAGGTTCAGGACATCTGGATTTGGTTTGAATTACCGAGCACATGTGCATTTTCGAAAAGCGCAGCATTTTTCAATACTATTATTTATCTATACTCAAAAGAGCCCCACATAGAGTCAGCCAACAATTGTGCAAGTACTTCCACTTAAAAAAGGAGATGCCTGTAATTATACAGGTATACATATGAGAGACAAAATGAGAAAAAATAATCCAGACAAATCACAAAACATATTTGCAAACCAAGGTGGATAATAAGTAATTCGTCAATAATAAAAGTATCTCAATACTTATTATATACCCTTTGTTGGCAATGACAAAGATCAAAACGCTTTCTGCAAGGTTTTCACACACCGTTATTGGTATTTTGGCCCATTCCTCCATGTGGACCTCTTTTAGAGCGGTGATCCATCTTCAATGCCCTTACTGATGCAAGGAGGTTTTCAATCAAGATCTCACAAAACATGACCCCATTCATTCTTTCCTTCACATTTATTCACACATTACCATTACCCCGTGAACCCAGAAAGGTATTGTTTTACATAATAAATTCCTAACTGCTTAATATATACAGATGAATCAGTATATTCATCAGTGCATCAATTAATGTAATTGTACATGTGCAGCTCATCATCATATTGATTTAGCTATCCCTAAACCAGTGAGTGCTGGTTTAGGGATAGCTCTGCTCTGATCACATCTTTGACTCTGCAGGTGGCTTGCTCCCACTCTAGAGTCCAGAGAAAAGTGGGGAAGAGTTCACAGCACAATTGTCCCTCTCATGGAGCCACAGTGCTCTATTTCACTGCTCACACCGGATCTGCTTTACATTAAAGATGAGCCCAGGAGCATGTCCACAAAGAATTTACATGGTGCGGTGTTTACATAAGAGGGAGGGAAAGCAGCCACAAAGATTAACTAGAGAGCTCTGAAATGTTAAAGCTTTTATTGGATAAAAACTCAGGCAATAAGATATAAAACTAATTTACAGATGTTAGGTCATATTGTTGAATTGATTTTATAGCTTACAGCAGTACATGCCCACTACACTAAACAAAAACAAAGTTTCATTTTCAGTGGCATTGAAAAAATGCCACAAAGTTCAAAAGGAGTGAGCTGAAGTAAACGTTTTACAGAAATTGAATAACAAGTAACACAAATTACAGCATAATATTTACATGGGTGACCTGATCATGTACATGAACACTCCATTAACGTACAAGTACAATTCATATGTGAGTAGGATACATTCATGTATATCCGCCGTACACATGCCCATGAGCACTGTGCACGCACAAAGTTTATAGAAAAGGCTGGCAGCAACAGAACAGTGGGAGTTACAGTATGCATAGGTGACACAACCAGCATGGCATTGCTTCCCAACGCATTTTTGCTACAGTTTGCAGCGTTCTTCTGTTGCATACCACTAGTGCAGGGTTCATTACTTGGGAGGGTGTCATATTTCATGTTCTTATGACACATCAACAGGTCAGTTCATGTGATGATTCTGTCAATCACTCCTTCCTTCATAACCTCAAGGATCATCATCCTTTTGTCTCTGCATCTTGGCTGCAGTAGTAGTACATGCTCTGTCCTCTTAATCATCCCCACAACTTCTTGGTGCATTTAAAGAGGTAAAACATGATGTTAACATACTTACCCATTAAAAATGTCCCATGAGTTCATTCATTCATTCATTCATTCATTCACTCAATACAACCCACCACTTCAAATTAGACGAAATGTCTTGTGCAAACTGAGCTGGATTCTCTGGGGTTTTTTTCTTTTTAGTGGATCCTGAATTTTTTTAAATAATGTTTTTTAATGTTGTTCTTGTAACTTTAATGTTACAAGAGATTTACATTATTGCAAAAACAACACTATTTGACAGGACTAGTTTTAAGAGTCCCCATGTTTCAGAACACATATGGAGCCATCAAATAAGACTAACAAGATTATTTTATGTTGGAACAAGCAACGTGTATTAGCAGGACAGGAGTAGACTCAACAAGCTGGTCAGGAGGGCCAACTCCACTCTGGGCTGCTCCCAGGACTCTGTGGAGGTGGTGAGGGACAGAAGGGTGCTAGTCATGGACAACACCTCCCACTGCACAGGACTGTAGAGGAGCTGATGAGCTGAGGAGCTTCTTCTGTGGAAGACTGAGGCTTATCGCCACCGCTGCCAGACTGTACAATAAGTCACTTTAAGTAACTAATGCACTAGGACTAAAACATGGACCTCAATGGGTAAAACACCTTTGAATATAAATTGTAAGTGCATTTCTCCCCAGCCCCATGATTGAACAATGCATTGTCAGAATCTTTCAGAAAAGGTTTGTGGTGAAACATGTCTACATTAGCTCAAAAGAGTGTGTGTGCACCAAAGTGAGTGTGGCATTTATGAATAAGTGTGCAGTTGTCCTGCCATACTCAGAAACAGCTGATAAATGTGGTGTGAGGAAACCGGGGTCATTTGAATAACACGCCCCATAAAATTACTAGAGGCACTCATGAAATGCTGCATTTGATCAAAGTAGGAAATCGTTGGAAATCAGAGTGGATTTTTATTTATTTTTTTCACACACAGCTAGTGCCACTTTATTGCCAATCTCTTGTTAACTTGTTGTATTGAGACGTGTGTGTTATTCTCACTTTATTTTGGTTGTTTCATGATCTTTCCTGTGTGGAAGTTGTTTATTTTTTGTATTAGTCTACTGAAGGTTTATAATAATACACTCTACTATTGAAAGCCACAGGTGTCAGCGCTCAAATTATTTTGGAATTATGTTTCTATCTGCTACAGAGGCTGAGATATTAATCATTTAGTAGACGTTGAATTTCAGGTTTTACTGAAAGGTTTACAGGTATGTTTTCCCAGGCGTTCTGGGCCTAAATGGGTTAAAAAGGACTAGCGAATACGGTGCTACCGGAGTGTTTTGTTCAGAGAATTGCAGCACGAGCCTGAACTCTTCCCAGACACACTCAAGTGGAAATCCTTTTACGGTCAGAGGGCAACAGTCTGTCTGTGATGAGCTGCATAGAAACTCCTCTTAGACCCATGGCACAATGGAGCATAGCTCAGCCAGAGTCTGGACACACAACAGTGTTTGTGTGCCCTGGATCAACCAGACTAGTGTCGGGGCACAAGTGGACTAATATATCATTAGGCTGTAGTCAAGACATCAGTGCTCATTGTTCTATCATTATTCACACAATTACCATCAACTGAAATTACATTCCAGATTCATTGACATTTCTATGTCAAACCATGCAGTTCAATTGAAAAATCCCAGATCAAATTGTGATGTTTTAGGAACCGATATGAATAATCTTCATCCATTACAGCTCTGTGTGTTATCAGCCACATGATGCACTGATGCACACCGGGCTCAGTGCATCATGTGACTGGACGGAAGTACCGCAATGTTACACATACCAGTGTTTCCCACACATAGACTAATCTGTGGCGCACCGCCACAGATTAGAGACCGCCCGCCACAAATTGCGTTTCGTATTATTATATATATATTTTTTTTGTTACGCTATTTAACCCTCTAGGCGCCACGGTCGACTTAAGTCGACAAGCTGCGGTACTGTTAAAAACGGCCGAGTGTGACCAACTGAGTGTCAAAATTCATTCATACTCCCTGCCACTAGTTGGCAGACATGTCAGACTACCTCCCTGGCCCCAAAAAACGTCATGCTTCTATACAAAATATTCGAGCAAGACCGCGTTGAACCAGTGCTGAAATCATAGCGAAGCGAATGCAGCTGCGGGGCAGCCTGCGAGTGTTGTACCGCACCAAACACTAACTTTAGACACTTTGCACAGGGTCTGCAGTGGGAATAGTGTTTCTCAGAGTAAGGCAAAGTCATTGGGAGGTTCGGAGACAGGTTAGATTTGCGGAAAACAAGCCTGGAACTCGGGTCGGGGCGCCGCGACCTCCCGCCTCCGCTGAAGTTTCCGCCAAAGTCTCCGCTAAAAGTGCTTCCCACATATTTATTTTCAAGCCTCACGTAATCACCGGGACAGTAATGTGTTGTAGAAGCCTTGTCTTGTGTGTGTTAGATGAGAGAGAGCAGGGGAGATGAGAGAGAGAGATCAGGGGAGATGAGAGAGAGAGCAGGGGAGACAGCTGCAGCAGCAGCAGGGTCGCGGTGACGCGCGCGTCTGGGCAGACTGCTCACAGCAGCATCATGATTTATATTTTTTTACTATTTTCATGAACATTTACAATGTTACAGTGTGTGCTCTGTGTGTGTTTATGTTCTAGTGATAAATATATGTCTGTCAGTTAGAAAAATACAAATATTGTATGAAAATTCTAAAATCCACTATTTCTAACGCCAAATGACGTCATAATATGCTAATTAGATGGGGGGATTTATTCTCTACATAAACTTTGGACCATCCTTTATATTTTTCTAATTTACAGAAAGCCTTTATCTCTTATCACTTTTAAGTTATAGCCTTTTGAAATTAAGATGTCAAAATTGAGCGTTTTGGAAAAAACCTCTGGCGCTTAAAGGGTTAAAACATGCATCGTCTAGTGCCGCCGCAGCGGTCAATTTGACAGCGGGGAGGGGGGTTTAAAATGTGGCGGCCCTTCGTAACTCTCACTCAAGCTACGCGTCTCTCCCACATACAGAGACCTACACACACACAGCCCCTCCCCTTCGTGCACCCGCGTGTCTCCGTCTCCATCAGCGATCATCGCTGTAAGCAGCTGTGTCTATTAATTTTGGTGCAGAGAAGACGGCTGGTGAAGTTCACTAAAGGTTGGTATCCCGTGATCTCGTAAATCACACATTAAAAAGTGCTGAATGTTCAGTGTCAATGTTGAATTTCCGTCCCGACTCCCTTAACAAGCGATGACGCTTTCTTTATAAAGTTAATTAGTCGCAAGTTTGCGGTATGTAGTTGGGTTGTCGGGGTCAAAACACTATGTAGCAGCTGTAGCAAGAAATAAAGTTATAAGTAACTTTATGTCATTTTTTTACTCTTACACTGAATGTTTGCTGCTTCAATCCAGATGAGTATTGAACAATATTTTCCGCGATTGAAAAAGACACGCGTTGAGGATGAGGATCAGCCTGAACCAGAGGTATCGGTCTGAAACAGTCCGCAGTGTAATTAGCTATATAAGTTGTTCTTCTGGCAAGCATTGCTTTGGTTATCCCTGTTTCCTCTGTGAACTGTGAACGGGATTTCTCTGCAATGAACAGGGTAATAGCAATAAAAAATTCCCATTGTCTTTATATTGGTGCATTTTGCATTGATAATAATTTATCATTTTGCTTTATCTCCAGGTGAAAACAGACCTCAGGAACAAACTCCATCAATGGACCCTGTCCTGAGGACTTCCCTTATGATATGGCATTAAAATCTTTTTTTTGCCAGCCCCGAAAAATCAGGTGCTCTGATAAAACATGCAAACTTTGCAACAAGTAGGTTTATACAGCGTTAACAGTATTTATAGTGTAATATACAGCGTGTGAATAATGTTTGATATTTTGATCAGTCCAATAAAGCTGTATTTGACCAATTAACGATGTCATTGTTAATTTTTGCCGGCAGACCAGAACCCCCCCCCCCCCCCCCCGCCGATGACCACCACACATTGCCTTCAAACCTGTGGGAAACACTGCATACTGTGATTGCTTTGCACGTTCTGAGAATTTGATGAAAGCAGATGGCTCCATAGCTGGGTTTTCCACACTGCAATTGGCACATTTAAAAAGACGACAGCATCACAACTGGCTGCAAATATTTAGATCAAGTAACTTTGGCTTGTACGGTATACTAACTGTGGTGAGGATTTGACCAAGGCTGCCAGAACACTTGGTCAATGTCAAGTGCACAAAAAGCATAACACTTGCTGCTTAGAGCTGGAAAAGTATTTTACCTTTGGCTCCATGCTGATGAAGCTGTGTCGCCCCCTGCTGGACAATGTGGACCTCTTGATGGTTCGACTGTGGAAGAAATGATAATGGTCTTTGAGATCCCCAATCTGAAAAACATATACAACAAAGCTTTACAACCAACAGCACAAACGGAAGCACTCATCTTTGCATCACTTTTTTAGAGGTATTGTGTTCCATTTGAGCCGTTGTTGGCCATGGATAAAGTATCTTCTGTAGGTTTAATCTTGATTCTTGGTCCAGTTTTTTTTTTAAGAAATAGATAAATATCGGGTGGTACATACGCATACAACTGCTGTATCTACAGTATGAGAAAAACGTATATCCACCTGAGGAAAGAGCGCCCGATCCACCAGCGAAGTGAGGCAGCCTCAACCGAAGCCAACGCGCAAACAAACAAGGCAGTGGTTTCCAACAAGTAAATCTGACAAAAAACATTTCACTAAACTACTGTAAAAGAACTGAAGAAAACGTCAAAAGATGCGGAGGTCTGGGATTGTCACAACAAAAAGAAATGTTATGGTTGGTAAAGAAGACACAGCCCAATTTTTGCATCGTGCATGTGATTTTATACCAGACAAAACAGACACTCTTCTAAGAATCTTCTACAGCGCCAACAGTTATGTTAGCTTAGACTTTCAAAAAACTAAAACATCAAGTGGAATTTCACTGGTTTCTGCATAGTGATAGAATGAAATGGTTAGATTAAACCATAATTGCTCCAAAAGTGGTATAGGAGATCCATAGACCATCTATGTAATGAGACAACTTTGTTTATTTCATGCATCGCACTGCATTGTGGATCCTTCAATAAACATACAGTATTAAACATCAGCATCAGCAGGTGTGGCGGTCTGAATAATTGATCAAGACTTCTGTCACTGCTCTCTGTGTTCTTGTGCCCTCTCACTGATCCTAGTTACATTAGCCTCAGTAAAATGCCAGTCTGGGACCACAGCTATGGAACAAGCACACATGAGACTGTATTCATAAACAAATGGCTTTCATCTCTTCAACAGGTATCAACGTGTCACCTGCCTCTATACCTGTGATCTGACAAACCAGCCACCCTCTGTGCAGTACCCACTGGGGGAGCTTGACACCCTAGAGACACTAATCAAAACTATCTGCTTGTAAAATGGCCTTTTTTTATGGCTACACACACTTTTTTTAGACAGTTCGCCTTAATAATACATGTATTACATCTATTAAAATCAAAAGGTATTTAGGGAGATGCTTGGACCAATTAATAATGTAATACGTCCGAACAAAATTGGAGTACATTACTCACCATTAGAACCTAACAGCAGTTCTTTGTGAAGGAATGCAAAACATTTCAACGGGGTTGCTGAGAAATTGCAAAAGACAGAAGAAGACCGGCATAACACTAGGCAAAAGACAGGATAATAAAAAATAAAAGTTGTGGAAAATGAGAGATTGGACTTCCAGCAAAATCTTGAGAAATGGTCTAGGACAGGGGTGGCCAACCCGCGGCTCTTTGGCTGGTTCAATGTGGCTCTCGGGCTTTCACAGGACCAGGACAAGAAACCAGAAGGTGTTTTTTGTGGAGGTAGCGCTAAGGACGGAGCAGAATGATATCCACGGACATCACAGTGCAGAGAAAAGTTAAGAAGCTTGAAAGTGATTATCGTGAAATGAAAGATCACTACAGCAAAAGTAGAGGCAAAACCGAAAAGTCTGGAGGTGGTTTGATCCGATGGATACAATGTACGGACATTGGCTAACACCAGTTAACACGCTAACACCAGCTACACCAGGAGAAAAGCCTCAACTCTGCCAGATGTTAAGTTTGAGAGAATTGGTCAGTGTCTGTCTTCAATCAAGTTAAAAAGTATCTGGTCTTATGCTGAACATGTGTCTGTGGTTCTAAAGTCTAGAACAGCTGAAGTGGTGTTGGTGTTATGTGTCATATTTATATCTTTTACTAAACGTAGTTAGAGAGTGAATAATGGAGTCGTGGTTTAGTTATATCAGGGGTGCTCAATACGTCGATTGCGATCTACCAGTCTATCGCAAAGGTAGTATTGGAAGATCGCATTACATAAAAAATAAAAATAAAATAAAATCTGTTAATGCATTTGCGTGTGGACAGAGATAACCGGAGTTTTGCGTTTTTTCACGCCACAGTATGCCCCCAAAACAACAACAAACAAAACGTGCGACCTCTGATCACTGCCTTAAAAACTGTTCACTGCTGCAGCGGTTCACAGCAGCGATCCTCGCTCCACATCAGAGAGCAGCAAAGTGATCACGCACGCTCGTAAAAAACCAAAACAGGAGCTAAACCAGGATCTAACCAGGGCTGAGGACTGGGGTCAATGCTTGTAAACATATGTCTTCACCATGGATCTATAATAACACGTCTTCACCCTGAATTTCTACTATGACTGCAAGTGCCGCTACAGAACGAAAGTTACGAATGTACCTAGTTACGGTTCTATGAATCCTGGATGACCGCCAGAGGCGGTGCTTGAATGCAAATTATTTCATAAATCATGCGGTTTTGCATGTACATCAACATACATTGTAGATTTAAAGAATCCTCAATATATTTAGAAATAAATATATGTTTTGCATTTTTGTAGTAGGTAGATCATTCTGACTTGATCATTTTATAAGTCTCGCATGACAGCGGTGAAGTTAGTTTGAAGTTGGATATCCGACAGACATTCAACGGTCTTTCCCTCTCGGCAAACCTCTCCTTCGCTCTGGGTACATTGCGACTCAAAAGCCGCCGCAACATTTAAGTGCACCCGTACTACAGACAGTACGGTAAACACACGGAGACATGTACGCTGGTATTTTATTATTGAGTGTTTGGTTTTAAATGTTAAATTGATTAAAAATACTTAAAGAACTTAAATGATAAAAGAAGAGGTGTATCTCCTGAAGCTAGTGGAGGACTATGATCCTGACTAATTTGGAGTCAATAGATCACATGACCTAGAATCTATTGAGCTAAAATGCTAATAATTACATATAAAAATTAATTTGGAGTCAATAGATCACATATGGATAGCACGTTATTTAGAACTGTGCATGGTACAGCCGGGGGCCCACTCTCGAGCCAGGCCTGGGGTTGGGGCTCATATGCGAGCGTCTAGTGGCTAGGCCTTAGCCCACGGGGCCGGCCGGGCTCAACCCGATGGGATGACGTGGGCTGGCCCTCCTGGGACCGAACACCCACAGAGGGATCCGTGGTGCAGAGGTGTTGAGAGGACTGGGCAGCAGTCGAAAGTGGAGACCTCACTTGGGCGGAAGAAGCCCGAGCTCGTGGGGGAGGTTGATCTGGAACCCAAATCCTTGAGAGGGGTTGGACGCTCCACTTTTCTGGTGTTTCTCGCAGGGAGAGGCGGTGACGATTCTCATTGCCCCCCATCTCAGCCGCCACGTGTTGGAGTTCTCCCCGGTGAATGAGAGGGTCGCGTCCCTCCGCCTCCGGGTGGGGGACAAGTCTCTCACTGTTGTGACGGCCTACGGGCCTAACGGCAGTGCAGAGTGCCCAGCCTTCTTGGAGTCCTTGGGAGGGGTACTGGACAATGCACCGCCCAGGGACTCTATTATTCGACACTCTACAACACTCAGATCTATGTCTCACTGACTGCAGGAGAACATGGACCAGTGGACTCACTCCTTCACTGTATCCAACAGATCAGTGAGTGGATGCAAAATAACTTCCTTCAGCTAAACGCAGACAAAACTGAAATGATTGTCTTTGGTCCCCAGAAACAAAGAGAGAGCGTCATCTGTCACCTACAGTCTCTTTCCCTATAACCTTCAAACAAGGTCAGAAATTTAGGGGTAATACTGGACTCAGACTTAAATTTTAAAAGCCACATCCAATCAGTAACATCAGCGGCTTTTTACCATTTAAAAAACATTGCCAGGATCAAAAACATAGTGTCTAAAGCAGACTTGGAGATTCTTATCCATGCATTTGTCTCCAGTAGGTTAGACTACTGCAATGGCCTGCTCACAGGTCTGTCCAAACAGGCTGTAAAACAGCTGCAGTACATTCAAAATGCAGCCGCTCGAGTCCTGACTAGAACCAGGAAGTACGATCACATTAGGCCAGTCCTCAAGTCTCTGCACTGGCTTCCTGTGGCTCAGAGAATAGACTTTAAAACAGCTCTGCTTGTGTACAAGTCTCTCCATGGCCTCGCACCAAAATATATTAGTGACGTATTAGTACCATATGAACCAGCCCGGACTCTGAGGAGCACAGGGACTGGACTCCTGTTAGTGTCCAGAGTCAGAACTAAACATGGGGAGGCTGCTTTTCAGATTCATGCTGCTAAAATCTGGAACAATCTTCCTGAAGATGTGAGACAGGCCTCCTCTCTGACAATGTTTAAAACCAGGCTAAAAACAGTCCTTTTTAGCTGTGCATACAACTGAGGGATTTTAGATTATTTTTTTAGTGTACTGTGATTATTTATGATTTTAATGCTTGTGCTTTGTTAAGCACTTTGAGTTGCCTTGTGTATGAAATTGTGCTTTACAAATAATAATAATAATAATAATACTACATTTTATTTAAAAGCGCCTTTCTAAACACCCAAGGACACTGTACAGAGCATAATAAAAACATTAAAAACAGAAGCAACAGAATAAAACAGTAAAGTACAATATGGAATGGTGGGTGCGTGTGTGTTAGGTGGGGTAGGACAGTCTGAACAGATGGGTTTTGAGTCTGGATTTGAAGAGTGGGAGAGAGTCGATGGTACGGAGGTCAGGGGGCAGAGAGTTCCAGAGCTGGGGGGCAGAACGGCTGAAGGCTCTGTGTCCCACGGTTATGAGCCTGGCTGGGGGAACAGAGAGTGTGAGAGTGGAGGAGGAGCGGAGTGTGCGGACAGGAGTGGCAGGGTGGAGGTCGTCAGATAAGTACGGAACGGCCAGGTTGTGAAGTTGTGTGAAATAAACTTGCCTTGCCTTACCTATTCTCCTGGGGGACTTCAACACCCATGTGGGAAATGCCAGTGACACTTTAGAGAGGGGTGATTGGGAAGAACGGCCCCCCTGATCTGAATCCGAACGGTGTTCAGTTGTTGGACTTCTGTGCTAGTCACAGTTTGTCCATCACCAACACCATGTTCGAGCACAAGGGTGTCCACCAGTGCACGTGGCACCGGGACACCCTAGGCCGGAGGTCGATGATCGACTGTTGTTGTATCATCTGACCTTCGACCGCGTGTCTCAGACACTCGGGTGAAGAGATGGGCGGAGCTGTCAACCGATCATCACCTGATCGTGAGTTGGATCCGCTGGCAGGGGAGGAAGCCGGTCAGACCTGGCAGACCCAAGCGTGTAGTGAGGGTCTGCTGGGAACGTCTCGCTGAGCCCCCTGTCAGGCAGACTTTCAACTCACACCTCCGGGAGAGCTTCTCCCAGGTCCCGGCGGAGGAGGGACCAGTCTGAGTGCACCATGTTCTCTTCCTCTATCGCCGAGGCAGCGGCTTGTAGCTGTGGTTGCAAGGTCTCTGGTGCTGGTCCCGGCGGTAACCCCCGAACCCGGTGGTGGACACCGGCAGTAAGGGATGCCGTCAGGCTGAAGAAGGAGTCCTATCAACTCCTGAGGACGCTGTACAGTATCGACAGGCCAAGCGTACCGCGGTCCGGGCTGTTGCAGAGGCAAAAACCAGGGACTGGGAAGAGTTCGGAGCATGACAATCGGTCGGCCTCGAAGAGATTCTGGCAAACCGTCCAGCGCCTCAGGAGGGGGAAACAGTTCTTTGCCAACACCGTGTAGCTCTCGATTCATCGGTCAATCTTTGTTCCCTCCCTCACCTATGGTCATGAGCTTTGGGTAATGACTGAAAGTTGTAATGACACGGATACAAGCGGTTGAAATGAGTTTCCTTCGCAGAGTGGCTGGGCGCTCCCTAAGAGATAGGGTGAGGGGTGAGGAGCTCGGAGTAGAGCCGCTGCTTCTCCACGTAGAGAGGAATCAGTTGAGGTGGCTCGGGCATCTGTTCAGGATGCCTCCTGGATGCCGGTTCCGGGCACATCCCACTGGGAGGTGACCCCGGGGAAGACCCAGGACACGCTGGAGGGACAATGTCTCCCAGCTAGCATGAGAGTTTTTGTGGATAGGCAAGTCTAGGCGTCTCTGCTTAGACTGCTGCCCCCGCGACCCGGCAACGGATAAAGCGGAAGAAAATGGATGGATGGGTAGAAATTTAAATGTAAAAAAAAGAGGTGTACCCCCTGCAGCTCAATAGCTTCCAGGTCATGTGATCTATTTACTCCAAATTAGTCAGGATCATAGTCCTC